GAATATTGGAGGGAGGAATCGATCCTTGACAGGCGTGATCAGCTCATGCACTTCAACACCTACAACCTCCGCCATGGTTGCGAAGGCGTGCTGGGCAGTTTCGCGTGCGTGTGTGTTCATATGAGAGAGTTCAAGGCTGAAGGTGACTGAGAGGGCATGAATCGTACTTCTTTCGTTGGTCAGCATTTCTTTGGTTTGGCCAGCGCAGCATTTCCGGAGAATGAATTCCAGAGTTTTTTGGGCAGTTATTCGAGTGCTGGCCGGAACTTCTTGAGGCGTGTCCTTGATGACGAACAGCAGGGCCTTGATGATCTCGAGCTGTTTGCTGTTGAGAAAGGCGTTGCCCAGGTTCATCTTGGTCACGATGATCTGGATGCCTAGAGTAGCCCCCTCTTTGGTGAACCACTCTACCTCGCGACATCGGTGGCAAAAGGTCTGTGTGAGGTGGGTGAAGAAAGGCAGCTTGGCAGCCTTCTCGTCGCTACCGCAAATTGTGCGAGCTGTATCAAGCACCGAAGTCATCGATGCCTCCGCAGCCTCACGCACGAAAACGTTTTCTGAGGCGAGACAGTCGCAAATGACGTCGGCCAGAAGCCGGGTACTAAGATGAACCGCGCCCTCGCCTGCATTGACGTCGAATTCCTTCGTTCGTCGACCGGCGTCGCATAGAGCCTGTCCAAGCTCCACAATTGCGAAATGGCGTGAGATGTTGGATATAAAAGCTTCCGCTTGCGCCTTCAGCTCTGGAACGGTGGTTGCAGTGAAGCAAGCCTTGAGCAACTTCTTCAGGTTCTCTTCTTGCTCTCTCCGCTTTTGGACCGACTTTCCAAACTCGTTCTCAGCCAGCATGTCAGCGTAAGTGGTGAAACGCCGTGCAAGGAGGTCGTTCGCCTGTAACCGAAGCAGAGCAGCGAAGTCATCTGGAAGATTATCGTAACCTACAAACAACTTGACCTGGTTACTGATGTACTTGAACGACTGCTGTTTGTAAAACGGATCGGGAGACTTCGCACTGGTGTTTTTGGATACTTCCGTCAGTTTGCGGATCGCAAGGTCGACGCCGGTATCCAAGGGGAACGCTCGATCCCGGGCGGTTTCCTTGAGTCGAATGTCAAAGCTGGGCTCGTCATCGGTATACCGCCGGTACGAAAGCTGGTGGGGATGGTTCAGAAACTTTCTGTTGCGTCCACCAAGCTTGCCGAGAATGCGCATAGTCGTGTGAGAGTGGAAGTGTTGGTATGGCTGTGGTTTGAGGTGCTCGAACAAAGCCGTCATTAGTTCATCCATGATTGGGGCCATTATTGGGTCCAAGTAGTCTGCTGTGAGATTGTCCACGCACAGCTCGAGCGTTCTAAGCCCTTGACCAACGAGATCAGGTCCTGCACGCAGGGCGACAACCAGAGGCCTCATGAGATGATTCAGATGAGGCAATAGGTGGCTGAGACGTGCCGGAACTGTCAACGTCAACTCTACATAGAGGTCCCGGTCGTGCGGATCTCGAGCCCCTTGTAGCAGATGATTAAAAGTCTCCAGCAGCATTTCAAGCAGTGGAAGGATTTCTTTGTAGAGAAGTTCGAAGCGTCCGCCGCCGATGCTCCTAAACAGCGACCGAAGGAGAATGAAGTAATGGATGGGCTTCTCTGCTGTGACTGCCAGCTGCACACACTGCGTGATGATCTTCGTGATATGAGGAAGCAACACCTGCTCATTGTGCGCAGAGAACAAGGTGACTGCCATAAAAGACAGCTTGAACATTCTCAACAGAATGGAGGATTGGACAATTTTCGAAGAGCCCACTTCCGGCAATTTGTTCATGAGGTATTGCAGGACCATTCCTGCAAATGCCGGTGATGTTGCTTCGCTGGCCAAAAAGAACTGAGGTAGATGTAGTAGGGCTGTGTGCTCAAACATCAACTCGTGCAGGTATGGGATCTCCGCCTGGAAGACTTCGTGGAAGGTGGCAGGGTCGATGCAGTGGAAGACGGTGCCGAAGCTCTCGAGCAGCTCCTTCTCCTCGCGGGTCATCTGAGCCATTGAGTGGCTTGCCATGAAGTCCACAGGGGAAGAGTACTGCATGTCCGGAACTGGATTATCTGCACCGTAATAGCGGAAAACGCGAGCACCTTCGTGGAAGAGCTTGGTGATCACCCGGGTCTCCTCGGCATTGTAGCCAAATGACACTTCGCTCCAGTTCATTGGGATGCTGGCCTGATCCACATTCAGTCCAGGGGGATTACACGTCTTCAACTGATAGAACATATTCTTCAGGCCATTGACGAGATTCTTGAACAGAAACTTATTGTCGTTAACAGGATCTGCACCTCGCTCCCGCGGATTCGATGTCTTGATAGGGGTCGCACTGAATATGTCCACCTTGTCCCAGTCAGGTCTTTGATCCTTTTCGTCCATGTATGTCTCTGATTGTTGCTCGTTCGGTTTTTCTCCATACTGCTTGCTCAACTTGAGCGCATTTTCGTACTGGTAGTTCATAGCGGCGAACTTGTCGCCGATGGCATCAAGAATCATGATCAAGAAGTACCTTGCCTCCTCCTTGTTGTCGAGTTTCGTGATGCTCTCGGCCATGTTGAGGAGGAGCTTGGCGCTCATGGTCTGGAAACTTGTGCCCGGGAAACTGTCGTGCAGATTCTTCGTATAGACTTCGATTGTTCGCCGAATCTGGTTCCGGTCTAGGGAGTCACGAACGTGGTGTATGAGGTCTGCAAGCATGCTGTAAGCTAGTGGTCGCATCGTCTCATACACGGTCAGTCCGTCGCCAATGAGGATGCGTTCGTCTAGTAACTCGTCGATTTTGTTCAGGAAGATTTTCCGGTAGTTGAAGTTGATGATGTGCCGTATCGCTACCAGCAGTTCTTTGCGAGCCCCAGACTTCTCCCGCGGGCAGTCTTTCAACAGCCGGACTACAACGCTTGGCAGAGTTGGCAGGAAATCCGTCAGCTGGTTTGCGTAGACCCGAAGCAGATAGGCCAGGAAGCTCATAGTCTTGACCTGAGCGGTGATGAAGTCCCCAAATGCGGCCCGGTTCCTGATCTCTCTGCTAACGCCAGTGAACATGGTCTTATTGGCTGCGGCCTCGGCGTGTGCCTTCTCTTGTGCTTTCGCCTGCAACAATAGAATACCCTTGATTGATGGCACGAACTTCTTGACGTTCGCGGCCACCGTGCTACGGTGGGCTTGGAAGATGGACACGACGATGATGGGACATTCCGATAAAACCTTGAAAGACTGCATCCCCTTGGCCAGCGGCGCATGCTCCCTTTTCTCTGCGCCCGGATCCGACACAGTCGTGGCTGGCGATGCGGGTCTTGGGGACTGGAACGTCTGACTCTGTGGATTGGACCCGGACGACGAGGTCTGATGAGGCGCAGGCGAATCGAAGGTATCGTGCACGACCTGTTCCATCAACTGAAACATCTCTTGAATGAGATCGAGGAAGGGCTGGACCTTGGAGGCGGTCGCACTTGGCTGGTGTCGCTCAAGGTCCATGATTGTCTTCAGACACAGCACCGCATTGTCCTCGTTTTCCACCCGCACCAACTCCATCAGTGTTTCCACCATGTCGAGCGCAAACGGCTCGACCTCGGGCGGCGCATGTTGGAGTCTGTGCAGGACCTCGAGGATCTGGTTGCGCAGGATGTGCTCGAACGAGGTCGGGTGGAAATCTGGCTTGCCCTCCAGGATCTTCTTGAAAACAGGCCAGAACTTGGTCAAGAACTTCGTATAGACAGGCGGAGGCGAACACAGGCTCTCGAGAGAATCGCGGAGGTCGGTCGCGATGTTCGATTTCGTCTTCGTATCTGCAAAAAGCCAAAGTCAATCAGAACAGCCTCGCATTGGGCGCGACGGGTATAACGTGCCTATCTTCGGATCACTGAGCCTGGTGGCGTAGAGATCTATCTTCTGGGACGCATCCATGGCGGATGCCATCCTCGGCCTGCCTCCAGGCTACACCGGGTAGCTGGACAATCGGAAGAGGTGCGCCGCAAGTGGTGAGCAACCTCATGAGGATCCGACTCTGGGGAGGCACATTTGCAGACACGACTGCGCGCAAAGCGATGGCAGAGAGCGAACGGTTGGTGCAGGTTAAAGGATCGCCTGAGGGAAACCTGAATTAACTATCACTAGAGGCAGCCTGCAACAATACCAGAATAAAGAATGAGCGCGAAGGAAACGTGTCAGGCGAAGGCGCCCTGTTGGTACAAAATGTATGGAGAGTCTGCGGAGAACAGCCATCGAGGTTGAAAAGTGATTGCGAGAGGGGAGCGCGCCTGCCGCAACTCGTGCAGCAGTCACGTGAAAGTGATGCTATCTACATGAGGTAGGTATGCCGGCCTGTCCTGTGCACGGACACCTTCAGTCCTTTCCGCTTTAAGACTCTGCGGAGAGCGTAGCACACACGCAGTCCTGAGGCAACGGTCACTCATTGGCATAGAAGAGGACGATCCGTTGTGCCTGCATACCCTTCTCTTTACTTGGTAGATAACCCTCAAAGGGGCTTTTCCTTCCCACGCATTGCTCGTATCTTCATGCCAGAAGCTGACCATCGCCGGCCCTCATGTACTCTATCATCAAGGACAGCCTCCAAGAACCCAACGCAAAGACCCTCTTCGCCGGGTATTTGATCCCCTGGACCAGGCTGCTCTCAGCTCGAATTAAACCAAAACTCTGTCAAGGTTGTGACGCCCGTTGATCTGTATCAACCGACCTCTTTCCCAGCTTCATGCTCTTCAACCCGGCTCATCCGGCTCACATTACTGGTGCGAGGCTCCACTACCTTGTCGTTGAATATTAGGCATCTGCACGTGTCGGCGGAGGTCAATTGAGCCCCCAGAATGGGTGCGATGCCTCCTCGACTTGTTCTCAGAGCCAGTGTGCGACCGACGTGCTGTTGTCTGTCCTTGTGAATCGGCACGTCGCCTCTGGAGTTTCGAAAAGCCATGTCAGAAACAGCCATCACGTCACTATAGCAATAAGAGAATGTCTTAGTCAATGTGGAGGAGAAGAGGGAATGGCAGGGCGGTGACGATCAGAGGAGCTCGCAGACTTACTGAAGACGGTTTCGCCGACGTCGACTCGTCATGCAACTTGAGCGCATCGAGCCTCTCTTGGTTGTCTTGTTCTGGATCCGTCTCGGGGACTTCCTTAATGCTGGAAGTCGACGGTGGCTTTGCCAGTCCCTTTTTCATGCGGTCCGCTTGTTCGGTGAGTCTCGCCCACTTGGCCTCACGCGCCTTCTCTCGCTGTCCAGCAGTATTCTGCAATTCATTGTAGTCGTGCGAACACTCATCGAAGAGTTGAGGGTTGATCTCCATGAACAGCTTCATTGCATTGTAAACCATTCCGTGAATTGTGCTGGATTGGTCAGCCAAGAATGGGTTGTCTCTGCAATGATACGTACCGATTCCAGTGACCTTTCGAGTTCTCATACAAGGGCGCGAACATGATCGGAAGGATAGTCTCCACGTTGTCGCTGACCAGATTGCAAAAGTATTCGTTGTTCCAGAAATACAGTGCTCGCTCAGCGACTTGGAAATGGGGGCTAGCAACAGATTTGGCAAGCTGATTGAAGAGTGGCTCCTGAACCTTGGCAAACTCTTGCGGGTCCATGACTTCGAAAATGTCTTCGACTTCATTCAGGAACATGACTTCCTTGGTGCTGTTGGTTTTGGGCCAGTATCGCAGCAAACCTAGGACAACCTAGCATGTCGTCAGTTTTGAAGTTTCACCAGATGGAGTCACGGCGTACCTCTTCTGTCAAACCTGCGTCCTTCTCCAGGAACTGGACGATGCAGTACGCCAATTGAGGATGATACATGCTCAGACTCTTGACCTTGTGAAGCGGAATGAGCACTCTGGTCAAGAAAAGCTTGTGCTCTTCTTTGAGAGGCAGAGCAAATCCGTTGATTATGGAGCCGAGGATTTCCAGCAATTCTGCAATGCCATTGAACCTCTCCGTCTCGTAAGTGAACTGGAAAAAGACATTGTTGATGGATCTCCGAATGTACGAACGAAGGTTGAGAAACTTGCCGTAGATGCGGTGGAGGGTTGTTTTGAGGAAATCTCTCTCTCGGGGGTCTTCTGAGTCGAACAATTCCAGTAATTGAAGAACGAAATGGTGATCAATGTAGGCTTTGGCGATGTTGGTATTGAAGTCTTGACTTTCGATGAAGCGCAAAAAGAACTCATAGACCACCTGAATGTGAGGCCAGGCCACTTCAAGAACTGGCTCGTCCTCCTCGGGATCAAATGCCTCACCCTGCGGATTGACCGGTGGAGGCACCGGCCGAAAGAGATTCTTGCTGAACATTTCCACGACTTTCGGATACATGGGTTCGGTGATGACCGATCTGTTATTGGCGACATAGTCAAGCAATTCATGGAGGGCCAGCCTCTTGATCTCTTTCGACTTCATGTCGGCCGTCTGATCGTTGAAATCAAAGATGATGTTGCACTGATCGATCTTCTGCATAAACAGCTCTTGTCTCCGATTCGGTGGGACCTCATGGAAACCAGGCAGTTTCTCCAGATCCCGAGCTCTTTGATCTGACACATCGAATCGTGACGAATGTTGTCTCTTAGGAGTCCGGACGCCTTCTGGCACATCCTTGGGTGTAGATTGTAGCCGATCGAAGAGGAGGGATTTCTGGCCGGCTTTTGGGGGAGCAAGGTCGCCTGGCATGGTTTCAGTGGCGCCTGGTCCGGGGACGTGAGGAGCGCTCGGGCTTATAATAACAGCTGGAGCGATGTGATGACGACCGCCGGGAGTTCCAGGTCCGCCAGGCCCATGCCCAGGACCTTGTGACATGAAGTGTGAGCCCAGCGAGCCGGAGGCTGCGGCAGCGCCAGGGTGGTGCTGGTTGGTGCCATGATTGCTGGCGGGAGGCTCATGGGTCGCGTTCTTGTTACGTAGGTCATTGAGGTTTGTGGAGGAAGATGTCGGGGTCGCGGTGTTGGAGCTATTGGGCGATCTGGAGTCGCTGCCAGGCAGAGTGGTCGACGATGACAGGGGGGATGCGGTGCCGGAACTATTTGCGTCTTTCTTCTTAGAGGACTTGCCGCTATCTTTCGCCCTCGACAACTGCTCATGCTACAACATCAGTGAGTCGAAGCATCGGAAACACGTGGGGATGAAACACCAGAGACGGGTGAAACACATACCACTCTTTGCCGGAAGCCCTTCATCTTGCCAATCTCCTTACAGTCGTGAAGTTCTCATGCAGCACTGCTTGACAGAATACTCGCGGTGATTGATGCGCCGTGTGGTCGATGCCAACGAGGTTGCGGAGTCGGTTAGGTCCTCTTCATTCGAGTAAGGCTCGCAGGATGCAAGTCGATCACGTTCAATGGGGTTGGACGTTCGAGAGAGCAGCGATTGGGTGAAGGGCGGGCCTGTCAATTGTCCATGGTCGAGGAGATGCTGGCCCGGTGAATTGAATGACAATAGGCTGCTTGGCTGCGGTGGGGAGTGGTGATGATTAGCTCCGCAGTCTCCTCCGTGTCGAGGGTCCGGCGTGTCGAGTGACCGTGGTCCACGGGTCAGGCTGAGGAAAAGAGGGTACAAGAAATGGCTAAGAAGATCACAGCAATCGGGAAGAGTTGAGGTGTTGAATTGAGTCAAGTAGCGGAACGTCCATTGAAGAATATGGAGTAGTGGAGGAGTGTCCAGGTCGTCGAGTGCGCCGCTGGAATTGAAGCGCAGCTTGATGGATCGTTCAGTCAAGCGCAAGTCAACAGGATGCGCAGGCGGGGATGCACTCTAGTCACTCTCTCGGTGTCAGTCTTCAGCCGGCTCAGTTGCCTTAAGGCACCACCAATCATGATGTTGTGGGCACTAACAGCCCCTAACTTGTTCATTGGACCGCGCTCGCAATAGTTGCCGGAAGGGGCTGATGGTGCCAAGGCCACCACGAGTTTCTTTGGGCTTTCCAGGCTCACCCTCTCACCTCAACACTCACCTCGGAAGTAAAACATCACATAAGATATTCGCTTTCGCCGCATCTCACGGGGTAGAACTCGAAGACTTGCGCTCCGAACACTCAGCATTCCTTCCACTCCGCCGTTTGGGCTGGGACCCTGGTCTCCTTGCTCCGATTTTGAATGGTCGCAGGAACAGACGTGGTATGACGAAGTGAGTCGGGAGTGACTAATGCCAGCTCTTCTCGTGGAGCAATCGTCCACATAGAGCTACTGGGCACGCGTGGCGACATGTCCGGTTCTTTCGAGACCAGGAAAGGTGCTCCTCTGTTCTCTATTCCCGATGTCCCCACTGTAGCTGTTGAACATCCCTGCATCGTCCAAAACGTTGACAAGGCCATTCGTATGCTCGGTGGTGACAGTGAGATTGCGGGAACGCTTGGACCCGACAATGTCAAGCCACTGGGCCTGAGGTTTCAGCCAGACGACCCTACCAGTCGTGAGGTGGTGTCTTACAACAAGAAAACCAACAATCTCTTGCTCAGGGTGACTGTCCCAAAACGGACGGGAAAGAGGAGGAAGCGAGCCTTAAACGAAGAATTCAGTGAGCATGCTTCAGGATTTTCGGCCAGAAAAGATGTCAAATACCTGCTTCGGTCGTTGAGTGACAATTCTCAACATCGCCAACTTGAAATTGTCGGTCACATACACTCAACACATGTTTGGCGGACCGTACCCGACTTCGTCTACTCTTCCAAGGGCTCCATGTTCCTCCAGGAAGTGCGTACGAAGATCCTCCCTCGAGACTACCCACAACTCAAGCAGTGGTCAATGCCTCGGGCTTTAGCTTCAGCCGCGACAGACACAGAAGCCATTCCTCCTCCGGTGTTCTCCACTCAGAGTTTGCCACGCAGTTTTTCTTACCATCAGGATTCCTCGAGCAGGCCTGTTCCTAGAAAAAACACCTCACGCGATACAGCGGCACATGCAGAAGTGATGCCAGACCAGCGTCGACTCGAAGAAGAGAGCCGACATGCGAATTCTCCTGCAGAACCCGGGGACCCGCTACAACCGTCAGACTCTTCGGCAATACCCACATGAATATGTGACTTCAATGTTTGAGAAAGCCCCTAAACCTCTCCAAGTTGTCCCACCAGGCTCTGGCTTTCTGCGACACCAGCATGGGCATCTTTCCTGTCTTCAAAGGTATGTTGGTCCTGTTCCCGAAGTCAACCCATGTACCGGTGCATAAGACGATAAACGATTTGCCCAATGTCGAACGACTATGCGGAAATAACATTTATTATACCAATTGTTCCTTCTGAAAGCCCTTTTCTTATCCCGCATCCTTTCCAAGTATTCTCCATCAGCTTTCTAACCCGTGTACCAAGCTAGGATCGGTAGCCTTCGTGCCTTCAAAACTGCTCGCCAGTGTCCGTGTTCGGTCAATGTCAGCACTCGATGGTCCGAGAAATATCTCACTCGACGACGATTTGATCCCGAGGCTGTCCACAATGTAGCACGTGCGGTGGCTAACACATCAACGTGAACGGCTCCTTTGCGATCGGTAGCCGTCGCGGCATATCAGTCACGACAGGTGGTTTAGGTCTTGCTCGCTGAAGGCTTCCCGGCATATCTAGGAGTGGACCTTTGAAGTGTGCCCCAGGAGACCTTCACTTAGCTCAATCAGATATGCACCGCTACGATTTCAGCGTAGTTTGAAGTTGCGCACCCGCAGTGACGTCGATGGAGCTCGCCCCGCGTGGTATTCTCAGAAGGCAGCAAGAAACCGGTGGGCGTCCGGTAGATTGGTGGACAAAAGCACAACGCTGCAGCCGAGGAGATACCTTCGGCTGTCAACTGACATAGAGTCATCTAACTGCATCGGCAGTCTTATCACGGTATCCCAAGACAGACAATGGTCTGCCTACTGCTCAACCATCCACAGTTCGTATACTGGAGTCTTGGAATTATGATCTTCCCGGGGACGTGAAAGTCATTGGCCCAGTCGGTAGGAATCGTCACTTCCGTGGTCTGCTAGGGGGGGAACGCCGGGAATGTAACCATTAGTCAGCGAACGGCAAGCCACCGATAGCCAGTCTCCTCCGTACCTTTGGTTGCGTATGTAATAGTGGTGGGCGTAGTGGGTGTCCCTCGAGAACGGATCAATCAGGAGGCCTGACCGGGACGGCCACCGGGCGCAGACATTGCTAGGCATGACTGCGGGCAACTCTCTTGAGACGCCGCTTACGACTGTCAAAACAAGCTGCCTTCTGACTGATCAAGTCTTGCCAGCCCCAGCTATCGAACAGAGTGGTGTGTTGATGCAGCCTCTTGTCGCCAGTTTGCATGATTCAACATGACAGCCGTGGAGTGTCCGCGACCACTTCACACAATCTTCCCCTCGTCGGCAGCGAACAAGACCCAAGAGCCAGGCCGCCGGGCTATCAATGGGTACAAGAAGATCCGATGGAAGAAGTACGACCCCAGCAAGAAGTCGCCCACTCCGAACCCAGATCCTTTCGTACAATGGAAGCCTCCATCATCGTCGCAAGATGCACACCAAGAGGAGCGCATCAATCACCGTGGGGGACAGAAGGACGACGAGTCGAAAGCAGCACGGCAGTCCAAAGTCTTGATGTGTCTCTCGCCAGTCGAGCCTTTGCCATTCAATGGTACTCGCATGAATCCTTTCCTAGCCTTGCCCATCAAAACGACCGAAACGGTCCAGGATACCATGGACTACTTCATCACGATCTGCAAGGGGACCAACACTGACAAGTGGGTGTCCTCGGGCGCTGTCAATCCTCATCTGTCCCTCCTCCTGCCATACGCTCTGAAACATGCCATTCTTTTTGAGTCAATCATCTCGGTCTGTCGGGCGTCTATCCTCATATCGCTCGGTCGACCGATATGGGAAGACTATGCCTTTGTGCAACACCGCGGCAGCACCATCGCCCGGTTGAATGCCAAGCTGAAGACCAACCAGGCTACCGATAACGCAGCCTTACTGACCGTCACGATGCTTATGACCCTCGAATATCTCTGCGGCAACCAACGAGGCGTCCTGATGCATTGCAAAGGGCTGGAGAGGATGCTGGAGCTGCGTGGCCCACTCGAGGACGACGAACAACCAGGCACAGAGTCGGAATGGCTCAAGTTTGTCAAACTCGGTCTCACAGTCTACAAGGCGCTGGGATCGTTCGTGACGGGACAACCACCAGAGGCGCCGCGCGACTCGGTCGCCTACCTCAGCGAAACGTTCCAAGAACTCCAACTCGACCAGCCGCTCTCGTACCCAGAAACCCCCTTCTCGCCAGACGTGTGCATCATCCTGTCGCGCCTCCCCTCGGGCCTCTCGGAACTGTGCCTGACGTCCCAAATTTCCATCCAGATGATCAAGCTGCTGGCGTCCATCTCGGCGGCCACCGCCCTGCTCGCGACCGAACCCGTTGCGTACAACAACCTGCCCATCGACACCTGGACACCGTCTCCCTCCTTCTCGGGGGAGCAAGACCTCCCTCTCCCCGCGGAATCGTCCCAGTTGGACGAACAGCGCAAACACCTCATGATCCAGACGATCCTCTCGTCCCTGCAGCGCATGTCCCTCACGACCAACACCCCCATCGAGTACCACCTCACGTCGGGCCTGCTGTCCTTCCTCTTCCAGCTGCGTGACCTCGGCCCGATAAATCTGTTCTACGACCCGATCCTGCGCAAATTCATCACCACGCTGCCCACCCACACGAAACCCACGTCCCTGCAGGAACAGAGCTGTTTCATCTGGGCGAGCATGGCCGTGGCAGGCACATTGGCCCTCCGCGTCGTCCCCATGCCGGACTCGCATTTGGTCATGGACCACTGCCTGGAGCTGTACCCGCAGGCCCGAAGCTGGGCGCGGCTGGACAAGATCCTGCGCACGTACTTCTTCACCGACGAGATCGGCGCGCACTGGCGCCGAGTGTGGCAGCGCGCGATGAACAGGCGGGAGTTTCTCCTCCGCCAGCGTCGCCAGCAGGTGACCTACACGGATGCCGACTTGGACTACAACGATGTGAACGACGGCGGGGACGACGCGCAAGCCGGCCTCACGACGCCGGACCGGATCCTCAACCAGCTCTCCGTCGAGTCGCCCGCTGGCTTTGATATGAACTCCGAGGCGATAAGAGCGCTTGTGCAGCAGCACATTGCCGGGGCGCCGCGCAGTGTGATTGAAATGTCCCAGGCCATGGGACTGTGTCCGTTGCGGTCGCGGTGGGCCAGTGCCGGAGGTGCCCCTTCCACTCCGGGCAGTACCTCCCAGCGTACGGGTACGGCCACGACGACGCCGAGCCCGCGGAGCGTGAGCACGCCAGTGTCGCCCATCAGTTGAGAGTGTCTTGGAGTGGGCGTTAAGTTCGCAGGAAGGGGTAATTATGCTGCTCCAGCTACCTGACAAGTCACTTAAGTGTGTCCACTCCACTATACAGGCATGTCAGCCCTTCACACTGGGCATGATGCTGCTCTGTGCGAATTTGGTGGCGGTTGCGATCCTTGCCAGAGATTGCATTCACGCACTCTCCCTTAATCGATGTACGCTCGCTTGTATACGAGTGACATGGGGTCAGAGGCCGACATTCGACCACGTGTGGTAGGATGCCCTATGTACCGCAAACCACTTCCCAGCGCTCCTTTCGCCATACATGGGTCGATGATTAAGGGTACCCTCGAGTCGCATCCGATATGTTGGCTCGTCGTCAACTTCTGGCAAAATTCAAAATATCCCACCTCCATCCTTGAGCTTCATGCCCTCCTCGAAGTGAAGGGAGATGGTATGGTCAGTCCAGACCCCTGGGGCTGTGCAGGGATGTATGCGTGATGAAGTCTTGCGTCATGTCAACATTACAACGATGGATGTCAGTGCTTTTCTGAGATGATGGACGTGGGAAAGACCCTTTCCCGCTAACTGTGCTGGGTCAAACAAGCAGGATTCTGCCCGGGTTTTGTGAAGATGACGGCTGTGCTGTGCGAGCGCGGCGGCTCGATTTACGTCTCCCAAAAGCATATTCAGCTAGTCTGGACCACACGTTTGACGGGTCGACGTTGTGCATTTCGAATCAAAACTAATTGGATATCTGACGGCTATATGGCTTGCAGATCTACGGGAATTTGATCAGGTAGTGATGATATAGAGAGGGGGCCGGCACAGGTGAATCGCACGTGTGGGTCGGGTTACGGGTGGGCTCCTGCATGAAGCCATACATCTCCTCTCTCACAGTCATGGTGCCATCCTATTATTCATGCTCTAACGCCTTGCTGCAAGTAGTGAATTCAAAGGACTGGAAAACATCATAAATCATTTCGTGAGGCAGGTCAACCCGAGGTCAAACCCTTCAGAGTCTCTTTGATGCCATGCTTTAGAGCCGGCAGGGCGCGATACTGTAACCGCTGGAGGACGAGCGGCGGGTTTCGCAGAAGTTGAGCTGCTCTCGAAAAGACCCTGTGTCCGTAGCAGAGCAGAACGAAGGCTGTCATGAACCAGATGATGTACACGACCATGGCGGCTAGGTATAGTCTGATCTGGACGATCGCTGGAATGACAAGGCCGTCCCGGACACCCTGGTATCTTGCAACAATGAAGTTGCGGATAGGTCTTCTCCACTGCTTGCGTTGCAGGTGTTGTCGCAGTCCGTCGGTCATTTTCCAGGCTACCCTTTGGTTGATCTTCTCCCAGGTGACGTCGCATGTGTATCGGCGGGCGGCGACCGCCATATCCGAGTGCAGGTCCTTGTCGGACCGGAGGCCCTTGATGAGAGCGATATACTGCTCAAGGTCGTGCGGAGGGACCAGATACCCCGTCTCTCCATGTAGGATGATATCGGAAGGCCCTCCCTCATCACGCGCGATCACCGGAAGGCCACTGGCCATCGCTTCCAGAACCACCAGGCCAAAAGTCTCCGTGATGGAGCAGTGAAGGAAGACGTCACCGGTAGCGTATGCTCGGGCTAGATCGACCCCGGTGCGGAAACCCGTGAAGACAACGTGCTCCTTCACATCATCAAACAGGTGGTGCACTTCGTCCTCAACCTCGGCGCTCATATTCCCTCCCACAATGAGCAATTTGAACGGAAATCCATCTCTGGCTAGTCGCATGGCAACCTGCGCCAAGAATTCAAAGCCTTTCTCCGGTGCCAGTCGACAGACACATACTAGTATCATCTCTCCATTCGGCGCCAGTTCTTTGCGGTATCCATCATCCCGGCGGGACGGATCGAATAAACTTGTGTCGACTCCTCGACCCAGCTTGACCATCTTGTTGCTGGGAGCGCCTGCCTTCTCAAGATACCGACGGACGCCGGACGAGGGGTAAAAGATTGTGTGCACGGAGCAATGGTTGAACAAGAAGCCCTGAACAACTCCCAGCAGCCAGACGGAAAACCGGGCGACAGGGCCGGGGAAGAGAATCTCACTGTAAGCCGACAGATCGGTCTGGAAGTTGAGGAGAACCACAGGTGGGTCTTGCAACTGCCGGATCTGGAACAGCATCTGGAAGCCAGTGGAAGCCGGGCTGGCCAAGTATACAATATCGGGTTTGAAAGTGTGCTTGTAGACCTCATCGAGCTGGAACGGGTAGACCACGGTCAAGTCAGGGTTGTAAGGGAGCTCGTAACCAGGCAACCGAAACTCTGTCAGGCCGGCTCCCGTGGCGGGCTTCAGTCTCGACTGCCTAGAGTGAGGGGCCACGATGGCGAGTTGGACGCCATTCTTTCTCAGGTGCTCAATCAGCATCAAAGTGGTGCGACTTACACCGTTCACGGGACCGAGGGACTCAGTGGCCAACAGGACACGCTTCCCCTTGAGAAATGCAGGGAAGCCATCTCGCTTCCTGGGGGTAAGTGTGTGAGAGGAGGATTGCAGCTGCGAGCCCAGAGGCGGTGGTGTTGCAGTGGTGCGAGAGTCGAGTTCACCTCGAGCTTCGTCTTCCTCGACACCCATTGCTCTTGCTGGGGGAGGATTAAAGATAATCCGATCCCGCTTGCCCTTTCTGACGGAAGAAAGATATTCCGGCTCCGTCTGCGCTTCGCCTTATCTTATCGTCGCCAACGCTTCGGGGGGACTCGCTGAATTGTTGGGGAAAACGGAGCCTCTTATTAGCCACGCGCACTTGTTCACCTTCTCTTCACGTGTTGCTTCTCTGTCTTTTGAGCGGCTGCGTCGACAACAACAGCGAAAAGGCACGCAAAATCCTCTTGTCCCCACCTCGACCGAATCTCTTGTCTCTGCCTTGCGTAATTTCCACCGTGTCGAGATTGTCTTCCCTCGCCGTGCGGAATGTCACCAGAGCCCTCTCTTTATGGCCTTGATCTCCGGCCATCACCCACCCCCACCATATATCGCCGAGCTCGCGCGCATGACGATCGTGCCAGGGACAAAGTTTTAGGCCGATGGTGGCAACTATGACAGATATCGCGTCTGGGGATTTGGACGCGTAGAATATGCTGACAGCTCCCACGTGGGCAGATGCGCTCAACACAGTGAACAAGACTGACTCCGGTCGCCTTGCGAGAATCATTTCTGCTCTGATTTTGGCCATCTCGAGCGCCATGGGCGTAGCCAGTCACATCTTCAGAAGCCATGCGCGTGCTCGTTTGCACATGTACTGTCGCTTTATCGATCCTCACCAGCACACACTCAGTATGACCATGTGAGCATTCCAACTCGAAATTTGCCCGTTTTCACCCATGAATCACCGCGCGCCCGCATGGTTCGTCTCCCTCGATTACCTGGTTCCTGCAGGCCTCGGCGTGGTCTCCTTCAGGGTGTTGTTTCCTTATCTGCGTGTTCGAATGGTCATCTGGCAGTCGCGAGGCCATGGGGTTCACTGCCTCTCCCGACAGTGGGTTCTCGTCTCAATAAATAGTTAACATGGCTTGAGCCGCTTCTCTCACCGCTCGTTGCTACCTTGCCTTTGAATTGTGCCTGCCCGTCCAGGCCTCTTTGCGACCGCTGCCGCCATGGAGTTCGCGGTACCTTCACTCGTGGGCACTTCTGACGGCAGCTCATGTAACGACTCGACGGGTCTTTTGACCCCCGACAGCAGTCCTCTGTTCCGTCCATCACATCCCAAGGAGTCGTTCGAAAGTCGTCTTGCTCACGCCTTTGATGAACCAAAGCGCCGGAAATTAGACCCGGGCTTGACTTGCACCGAGAGTCCCTTTGTCCCCTCCTTCGCCGACCTCTTTGCGCCTGTACCGAGCGATGTGAGGAAGATCTGCGTGATTGGTGCAGGCTATGTCGGTATGGAGGCCATTACACCTGCGAGTGCAGAGTGACTGATTTGTGAGCTCTTAGGCGGTCCGACTGCGGCAGTCATCGCGCTGCATAATCCCAAGGTCGGCGTCGAGGTTCTGGATCGCGATCAGCGTCGCATCGAACGATGGAACTCCGCACACCTTCCCATCCACGAGCCCGGCCTGGACAAAATCGTGCGACTGACAAGAGATGGGGCAATTATCAAGGACTCGTGCGAACGTGGCACCGACTCGAACAGACCCGTGCCAGAGACTGGCAATGTTTCCAGACGCGGGCCGAACCTGTTCTTCACGTGCGATACTCAGGTTAGCATCTCCACTGCGGACATGATCTTTCTGGCCGTCAACACGCCGACAAAAACAAGCGGAGTGGGTGCGGGCAGGGCGACCAACATGAGGGCCTTGGACGGTGCGGTCCAGGACGTCGCTCTGTTCGCGAAACCGGGTACAATCATCGTGGAGAAGAGTACGGTGCCTTGTGGCACAGCCCAGCGGATACGAAACACGGTGAGTGGCTGTTCTCGCGAGCCTGGTAGAGCACGCCCTCTGACAACGTTCTCAGCTCGATGCTTTACGGCCTGGTGTTCCTTTCGAGGTCCTATCGAACCCGGAATTTCTGTCCGAGGGCACGGCAGTCAAGAATCTCATGCGACCAGATCGTGTCATTATCGGCTCTTCTGGGACTCCGGCGGGAAAGCTGGCAGCTGATGCGCTTGCTAGCCTATACACGGCATGGATACCCTCATCTCAAATCCTACAGATCAATGCCTGGTCCTCCGAGCTGTCTAAGCTGGTGGCAAACGCCATGCTAGCGCAAAGAATCAGCAGCATCAATTCTATCAGCGCGATCTGTGAAGCTACGGGTGCAGATGTGGAAGAAATCGCCAAGTCGATTGGGCTGGACACCCGAATAGGACCGCAGTTTCTGAAAGCGGGACTCGGGTTTGGTGGTTCCTGCTTCAGAAAAGACATTGCCAGTCTCACATACCTCGCCGAGTCTCTCGGCTTGGAAGAAGTGGCTCACTATTGGAGCCAGGTCAACTCGATCAACGTCACGCAGCGCAACCGATTCGCTCGCAAGGTATTGAGACGCTTCGACGAGAATCTGAGTGACAAGAAGGTCACCTTGATGGGGTTTGCCTTCAAGAAGAACACGAGCGATGCCCGAGAGTCACCTGCTGTGGACGTCATCCGCACGTTACTCGAGGAGCAACCTTCCGAGATTGCCATTTTCGACCCATATTGTGTCGAGGAGGAAATGCTTCAGGAGATTACTGCTGCAGCCGACGGCACGACTGGCCAGGCAGGTGGCATTGCGACAGTCAGGATCTACACCGACCCTTATGAAGCCTGCATAGACTCGAACGCCATCCTCGTTATGACCGATTGCGACCAGTTTAAGAATTCTCCCTTGCAACGGGTCCGCAGCAGTACCACATCGGCGGGAGACTTAGCGTCAGGTTATCCCTCTCCAGCACCAAAGCCTCAAGAAGATGACAACCTTGGGACGAGTTTTGCAAACTACATGCTCGCTCCTCAACCAGACTGCGTGGAGAATTGCCCGGATTGCCGTTCGAAAGCCAGGGGTCCAGTCATGACCGAACCAGTCGAATGGGCACGAATAGTCTACAGCATGAACGAGCCGAAGTGGATATTCGACGGGAGAGGCATCATTGATGTCGACGAGATGGAGAAGCTTGGCGGTGTTCGGGTCGATGGCATTGGCAAGTGGCGCCCTGAGGATGGCCAGAAACGTTGCTGGTGATGAGCCTGATTTTCCGATCGCGTCGATACCCGGAAGAATCATCCTCGAAGCGATAAGGCCGGTCTGTTGTCGTTCGGAAGATGATCTCGGAAATATTACATCCACATGCTCGGCCTTCCAGCTGTCCCAGCATCGGGTCATCAGCCAGTTTGGACCAGGAATACGCCAGCTTCGGGGTTCACGGTATGCATTCGGTTGGGGTTCAACCGCGGGATCTGACTTGGGCGAATTCATTTTCCGGTATTGACACCTGATCCAAATCCTCAACGACATTTTCCTGAGAATAGTAAGCAGAGGCTGTCGACTCATACGAAAACCGTTGCAGTCTCGACTCGCCAAGGTAGACATACGTTTAGTAGACCAGACTTGCCCGCGTTCGTATCCATGACAACCACGATGTTCTCCGCTACTTTCATCTAGACGTGCTAGCGTATGGCCGCTGCCTGCCTGACATGGAGACGTGAAGCAGAATGACTACGGAGGGAAGGCTGGTGAGGAGGTATCAAATCAAGGCTTTTTGCAATGCGTAACGCCGCAGATCAATAAGCACGAAGTACTGGTATGTATGTATGCCGAGGGCGGCTTTGATTACATTAAGGACTGGCCAGTTTGGTGCTGATTCCTGCGCCGGTCTTTAATCTTCCGACTTTTGGTAGAGAATACAGAGGTGCCCACCACATGTACGGAGTATCTATTTCCATTTTGGGCAGAAATCAAGGCTCCACTACGACCGTCGCTACTGTCGCCACCATCGCCACCATCAACTTGTGGGACATACATGCAGGCTCCAGAGGAAGCGCAGACCCTTTTGAGTGGTATACGGTTGGCAGCGACGGAGCTCCGAGTACTCGTATAAAGCTGCGGCGCCGCCGGACTAGGTACAGTGCTACAGTAACGGTTGCTGGTATCAAAGACCCAGTACTCGTACTCTCCAGCCCTGGTAGCGTCGTCGATGTGATAATTACTACACTCCCACTATGGACGCCGCTCGGTTTCCTGTTTCGGCCGTTTTCGCGTCGGACAAGCACACACTCATTCGCTGCTAGCGAGGGCTTGATGTGATTGATGACTGATCAGAAAATCAAGATCCCTTCAGAGCTCGTAGTTACTGCTTGCTTGCTTGCTAAGACGTATGATTGAGGTGCCGTTCTGGGTGGAAGTAGAGTATCAGGTACCTTGGTCCGAGTCGTCGCCCCTCATCTAATCACCCGTGGTATTTACTAGGTAGGTACTCCGTACACTATGTGTGTATGTACGTAGCGCCGTTGACTCAGCGCGCGATGGACCAGGAGTCGCCCGCCATTGGGAGAGAAGGTCGGAAGGTAGGAAGGAAGGGAGGGAGGCAAGGCATCTGTTAGTTTACGTCCGTGCCTGCGTGCATGCATTCATGATTTGACGAGCGGAAAAAAATCGACGTACCGGTTGATGAATACAGTACACTCCGGCAGGGCTTTGCGAGGGCCAGGGCATAAGGTACTGGTTCTCTCATCCATATATAACTCCGCCGACGTCGCCGGAACTCTGTCAGAGTCTATACCTTCCCTTCACACTTGATCCCCCTCACGCCACACAGTCCAGAAGCACGATAAGATGAAAACGCCTCTCCTCTCCCTGGCCGTCCTGGCCTGCGCGTTCCCGGCCCCGACACCCGCCGAGTTCGTCACCTCTGCCAAGGGTCTCCGAGCTGATGTGTACCACCTGCCGCCCGCACCGGTGGTGTACCAAAACAGCACGGCCCTCACGTTTTCTCCCACGGCATTCACGCTGATCCAGGGGTCTCGTGACGCCGTGCTCGTCGATGCTCCCGCGACGGACGCCCAGGCCGGCAACCTGACCGCGTGGATCAAGTCGACGCTCGGCCCCCGCAAGTCGCTCAAGTACATCTACATCACGCACGGGCACGGCGACCATTTCTTCACGGCCCCGCTGATCTGCGCGGCCTTCCCGGGATGCCGCGTCGTCGCCAGGGCAGATGTCAACGCGCACATGCTAGAGCAGTACGAGGACTCCTTGTTCACGAGTTTCTGGCAGTCGTTATTTCCGGGGGGGCAAATCACCAGCACGCCGTTCAACGCCAGCTATATCCTCCGTCGAGGAGAAGCGGACGGGACGTTCATGCTCGAAGGCCACGCCGTGAGAGCCGTCGAGGTCGGCCAGGGCGACACGTACAACAGCACGGTGTTGCATGTGCCGGACTTGCAGCTCGTCGTGGGCGGCGACGTCATCTACGGCAAGTGCCACCAGTTGATTGTCGAGGATTGGACGCCGGAATTGAGACGGCAGTGGATTCAGAGCCTGGATCGCGCCGCGGCGCTGAATCCTGCGTTTGTGGTCCCTAGTCACACGAGGCCTGGGGATGGATTCGCGCCCTCTCATATCCGGGATACGAAGACGTATATTCGTACGTGGGAGAGGGTGATGGCGGAGAGTAAAACGTGGGAGGAGTTGGAAGCGGGGATGAAGAAGGCGTTCCCGCTCAGGGACGGGTCTTTTATTCTGAGGTGGAGCAGTCAGGCGCCGTTTGGGGCGAGTAATATTGTTGCCTGAGGTGAGACTGCGTCCGTGTCCGTGTCCGTGTCTGGCTGGAAGAGGCGGGCTGTGACAGAGTGGCATGAAGTGGGCAGGGGATGTAACATCCCTTGCGAGGACTGGAGGAAGTCCAGATAACATTCATGTTAGCCTGCCTGACCTGTCTCGATAGGTAGGGAGGTCCGGTAGCCTTCTTGCTGTCAACCAGTACATTGCAACTGACGATACTGCCTTGACTGACACTGACACGGAGTATATTTGATTTCAAGCGTTCTGGTCGCTGTGGCTGGGCAGATCCCATCACAACCCATACACACGTCGGCCGGCATGTTGTGGTGAGAGAAAGCCTGTAGGTTAGAGACCAGGGAAGTGATTGTGCTTTTTGCTCTAGATGGAAGTCATCAAGTGGCACAGCGCTGAGGGTCAAGGATATTGGTAGAACTGTAAAGAGTGCTCGGACAATTCATAGAAGCCAGGAGGTCTGCAGTCAGAGGCATGCCCGGCGTTCGTTCGGTGATACAAGCACATGCCTGGCAGGGAGGAGGCAACGAGAGGACGAGAGGACGAGAGTCTCATCATCGGTCGCTCGCCCCGCTGTTTCATCAGTGATACGCACGCTCGAATGAGTGCTAGTACTCGTCTCGCAACACGGTGTCCATAGCATGACTTCTCAATTGAAGCTGCTCGTGGCTGGCATGTCAGAAAGGCTGATGGACGAAATCTGAAAGTTCGGCACTCTAGGCACGCACGTCGGGAAATTTCCCGCGTGCATCTCATGGACAACGCCGTACGCAGGCTTCTGGTACTGTGATAATATGTCCCGTGAAGCGGCAATGCGGTCGCACGGTGGAGACATCGAATAATTAGATGACGCGGTGGAATTCCCGATTACGGGTCACCGCACTTGCATTGCAACATCATTCTTACGCGCTGATAGCCTGTTTGCCAAGTGGAAGAACTTGGGTCCTGCCACTTCGCCTTAGGTTCAGCCAATTCAACAGCTTCATGATCCACAAAGGGGAAAGCACAGTTGCTAACAGCGGTTGTCTGGGGAGCGAAAGCAATGAACGAGGTTGAAAAGAAAGTGAGAGTGGAGTGATTGTTTGCAGAGGATCCTTAGGCACTCAAGGTTTGCACCCCGGACTTAGTAGCCACAGTAATCTCTCTCAGTTGGGAATATGCGGAGGTGAGTATCATCATCATCATCATCAACAACTGACAACATGGGGGACCGGCAATAATGTGTGAAGGGCGTGGTAAGGGACACAGAATACGAGGCATTGTTGACACTCGATATCGAACCGAGGCTCAAGCGACAGAAACACCAAAGTGAGACTTCCCTCCCCCGCTCTTGATATTATGGGCCAAGGGGGAGTCGCGCAATATATGTGCCGTCGTTTGTGATTACTTCCGTCTCACTCGCCCGCATCGATGACACAGGAGAAAATATAAAGACGGGATTGATTAGTTCTTGGCTCCTAAACACCGTCCTTGCTGTGTAAGCACAGCCTCAGCACAACCCATCTTCCTCACTCGATTGCAAAGGCAGAGTCCGACACCATGTCCACCGATGTCAGCGACTCGTTCGAGATCTACTCGCGCGACAAACCACCGCGACCACTCCCGTCGGACCCGAGTTTGCGGGCAGACATCGAACACGTCCTGGAACACGGCTACGTGATTCTGCCGAATTGTTTCTCCAAGGCCGAAGCCAAGGAGGCGAGGGACGAGATTGTGCGATTGCTCCAGAAGGATGGGCGGGCATTGGGGTGCGTTTAATCCCTACCGACGTGACACGTAACCACCTCCCTTTGCCAGCCGGATGGGCATATCAATCCAGCTGCCTGCTGCGAGGTGGAAGAAGTTCCATGTGTATCACATCGGGCTAACGTATCCCTCTCCTGACCGACTGTAGTGGGCGCAACAACTTCGAAGGCCTCAACACCAATCGCATATACTCGTTGCTGAACAAGTCGAGAGTGTTTGACAAGTTCGTCATCCTACCGCGTGTCCTGGCGTTGAACGACTATTTCCTGGACCAAGGCTATCTTCTCTCAGCCTTCCACACCATCAGCATCAACCCCGGCGAGAAGGCACAGTCCTTGCACCACGACGACGGGTACATCCAGTTCCCGCGACCGAGGTTGCCGTTTGGCACGGCCATCATGGTCGCCCTGGACGAGTATACCGCCGAAAATGGTACGTCTGGCCCCCCCAGCGTGTGGCGCGCGCGTTTTGCTGAACAACCATTCTCACAGGAGCAACGAGGATCATCCCCGGGTCGCACAAATGGGACAGCAAGCGACAGGGGAGGCCCGAGGAGACGATTCCCGCCTTATGTCCCGAGGGGGGAGTCGTCTACTTCATCAGCACGCTCTGGCACGGCGGCGGCGCCAACGTATCCGACAAGCCGCGACAGAGCGCCACGGTACAGTACTGTCAACCGTACATCCGCCCGATCGAGAGCCAGATATTGGCTGTGGATCCGAGGAAGTTGGATGTCATTCATCCGAGGATTGTCGAGATGATGGGGTACAAACATATGCAACGTGAGTACCTCGCACAACTCGCTCTCTCCTTCACTGAGTCGCAATGTCTGGCGTCAAGATGGTGTCGTCAACGTCGCTAACGATACACGCAGCTTTCATGGGTTATGCAGACGGGTTAGGCCCCAGGAGGGCAGCGCGCAGGATGGTGAAGTGGCTGCAGAGCGATGTTGACGACAACCCGCCCACGTTCGCTCATGGTTTCAGGGATGCATCGAAATTGTAGCGCCGGACACACTGTCTGCGTACAGTGTGCATGTAGGTGACGCCGGGCGGAGGATGAGAGGAGCGAGGCTGTAAAATGACGGCGACGACAATGCTTACCCCAGTCACGACCGCCGTTTGATGTTGTGTAGCCTCGCGGAATGATCTCGTCCAACTGTGTCATTGGGTCAATCCAGAACCATATTCTTGAGCGCTTGTCGGCTTTGGCTTCGCTTTTCGACCACAAACACTTGTCGCATTTCTGGCTGTGGTGTTTCCGAAAAATCGACAACCAGCCAGAACTGTGGATGAATGCATGAATCAATGTCTAATTCACGTCCGCTTACAGGCCAATTAATACTCTAATTAGTCTTGACTTGATTGCGAGTCCCAGTATGCACGATGCATGTCAAAAGATCCACAGATCAGTGCTTTCATACCCCGCAAGGGCCGGCGCATACATACGCCTATTCAAATCCGAAGTGTTTAATATCCATGAGGAAGACCGGGCCTGGTAGGTTGATGAACGTATGCACTGTACTGGTGTGGTTTCGTTGCCCATCACCAATTTGTGTCTTCGGGGGGACAAACTTCTTTCCACGTGCCACCTTATCATCGCACGCCCGTGCGGATCGTGAGCTAAAGTCGCGGCAGGAACAATTCCCAACGAATGATGGCATTATGCACGGACTATTCCAAGTCCAAACCAGGCGGATAAGCTAATCAGTCAAACACATTCATCAAATCTGCCAAGTGAGTAAGTAGGTACACTTCCCTCCGCCTCTTCATAAGGTCTTGATTAGGTCCTTGGTCGTGTCGGATATGTTCAATCGCAAAGGCCACCAACCCCCAACGCCACGCCTAGTTGGCAACGTCCTGGTCGGTGAACCCGAGGACCGCCACTAATGAGTCCTCGAGTTTACTTGACTGGGGAAATTCGAGTCGGTGGTCGTCTCCTCGTCAATAACCTCGAAGTTGCGGGGCGCATCGGTGAGATGTGCTTGTTCTTCAGCTTGTTGCTCACGCTCCCTCTTGTGCTTCTCCACCTTTTCGATGGCCGTCTGGGTCAACGCCTGTCTCTGCATCCTCAATGCAACATCCTTCTTTCTGGTCTTCCGGTCTCCGACAGAAATCAGTATACCCGCGGTGATGTTGCAGGTGATTGAGCACGACAGAATGGTGGCTGTCAGCGCTTGTGGGCGCGTACGATAGTCGATAGCCCAGGTACAGGTGCCAAGAGCAATCTGGAAAAGCGAATGACAATCCAGTAGTACGACAATAGCCACGAGCAGATGGAGCGGAAACGCGTAGTGGGTTCCGGTCTCATGTGGCTTGTAGAAAGAGTGCGATTTCGAGAACTTGGCCTGGTGGTGGATGAGCTTTTGCTGTTGTTTGGGGTTCAAGACGGAAAATTCAGAGTCCTCCGGCTTTGCAGATTCTGGGTCGGCTTCCTTCTCCCGCTGTGCAGGCAAATCATTATGGTCGTGGAGCTTCGGTAGCGCCCTTTCTCGCCGTAGTCTCCAGCTCTTGTGGTGATAGTGAGCAATGAAAATCATGTGGTAGGTATCTACCATGCGGAACGGCGCGAGACCATCACCCATGATCGCAAACAGGGCTACCAGCACGTTGTCAATGACGTTCGTGATGTAGTCTTTCCGGTCTCCAACGTAGATCCAACCTGGTGCGAAATGTCAGTCTTGATAATGGCCCTTTGTGGAATCGACAACGGCATACCGATCAGGAAGAGGACCCAAGCTAGACCAAAGAGTGTGATCAAAGTTGCGTAAAGAAAGACAAAGAATCCGAGTGCTGGGAACAGCGTCAGCAAGTAACTCATGTAAGGGATACACACATCGGGCTTACGTTTTTGGATGTACTTCCCAAAGGCTATCATTCGCTGCTTGAATTTTGACCGTTTCGAGTGCAGCATATGTCGGACATGGTCATCGAGGGCCTCTTTATCCTCTTCACTCCATCCATCCAGTGACACGCCATGCGGGAGCACAGCATAATGTGAGTCTGTGACAACTGAAGTAATGCTGTGGGAGCGTTCGATCTGGGGTCTACGTTGCCATGACCAAGTCCTTTGCATGGTCTCTGGGGGCGCCAGATCCTCCTCCAACGGCTCCGGCGCGGGCTCTTCTGTGCCCGTCGGCTGTCTCTGGATGGGAGCCATGCCGGTTTCCTCTTTAACGGGCTCTGGCCGCCGTGTTTGGGTCGTCCGGCGACTGAGATTGTATGTGGGTCTCCTGTTGACCCATCTACCAAGATCTGGCACGAACAACGAATTCTGTACGTTGTTCAAGGTCGTCAATGTCGAAACCTCGGGATCTGCAAGGTACAAATCAGCATGGCTTCTCTCAAATCAGTCGAATTGTGGTTGACTTACCAAGCACATCCAGCAGATCAACGACCTCCGACTCATATTCGGGTCCTTGCCGCTCTCTGGAGGTGTCGCTAAACCTGCTCATGATAGACCGTGCAGTGTTACTGACACTTCTCCTTCGGCTGACACCGCCTCTCACGTTCTCGTTCATTGTCTCCCGATCCACAATGGCGTCACCTGCCGCTTGGGGATTTTCAGCCACGGTAGGCAACATGGACTGTCTGGTGCTTTGCCTGGTCAAATTGTTCGACCCGGGAACCGTCAAATGTGGGGGTTGAGGCGCAGACGTGCTGCGTCCTCGACCAGAAGCTGACCGACTCGGTGGTAGACTTGACCCATTCTCTTCATAACCAGCGCGCAGATTTGTCGATGGCAACCTTCTGATGCTAATCGGCCTGGTCCTGTTTGTTTGCGAGGGAGTGAGCAGCGTCGTTCGCGTCGTGGCTGGGCCGGCCGAGGTAGTAGTGACGGAGTTATCAGGCGCAGATACAATCGACGCAGGTGTCTGGTTCGTGGGCTGGGTGGAGGTGATAGTGTAGGGCCTGCCGCGGTGGATTGTTGTGGTGATTGTTGGCCCATGCACCGTGGTGGTCGTTGTCGTCGTCGTCGTGTTGTCATTGTTAGAGCTGGGACCTGCGGGCGACTCAGGCATGGAGGGGAACGGTTCCGTGTTGCTGTTGCTAACCGCGCTGATGCGCCTCGATCCCGGCTGCGACGCGGCCATTGCAACGGTGGCCGGAGCGCGGTGTCTTCAGGTCCGCGGCACGTAGGTATTGGTAGATGATCAAAACGCGGGCGCAGGTGATAAAGCTCAGAGTGAGCCAAAGTGACCGAGATTGTGTTGTCGGGAGTCTCTCGGTGAGTGAGGGCGATGGGCACTGAGTCAGGTGTGAGTGCCAGAAAACACGCCCACAGAAGTGAGGGCTGGTCACTCAGCAATCCGCCCGACGCAAGCAGCAGACTGTCAAATGTCAAAGTGAGCCTCACAACCACAGATGGAGCCGTCAACGTTGCCAGACTTGACGCAGAAAAGTTGCAGATGCCCAGTGCCCGAGGGTAGAGGGAAACCCAGTTCGGCTCCCATCGTTGATCAGCTCGACTTTTCCCTTCTCGTCCAGCGTCTTCCACTTCCGTCGTCGCCGTTGGCCTCTCATTCCTAGCGCGTGCCCAGGCACTGAAGAGTGCTTCCTCAGGCTCTAAGCTTTAACTGGGAAACCCGCGGGGCTAGGGAATTTAAGCGGGCAACGCCCCAATCAGCGCTATTTTCCCGCAGCATAGGTCGGTACTAAGGCCCAACTAGCGTAGTTGGCGCTGCTCCATGACAATTGCCTTACCAGTGACGTAGACTCTGGGGCTGACTCAGCCCAAAGATCATGACAAACTGCTCCGGGAGCCATTCAATGCTGCCCTCTCCATCATGGTTCAAACATCTGCATCGCGACTGCGGCTGTTTGCAAAGTCAGCTACCAAGACCAGACCATTGCTCAGCAAGTCTTTTCTGGATGAAACAATTGGTGACCCTGAATCGGATGCCACATTGCCTGGATACATCTATGTACGTCACCTCATACCGAAACGATGTGGTTTGGGATCAGCTTCCGTTGTTGCATTAAAGCTGGACTCGCTGAATGTAAGGTTAATGTTGACCGTGGGCTTGTGATCGTGTCCGAATACGACAGCCGGAGCGTATGGTCTGTTTATCTTACTCCGAGCCTCCGGATTGCTGGGTCATTTTGATCTCATAATCCAATCCTCGTACTCGTGCGAGTAGCTGGGTGGTAACCACCTAGGTGATAGCATGATGTAGATATTCCTTCAAGGCCCCTTGGCTCTTCGAAGGAATACGAGCATCAAATAAGCACAATTGCTCATTCGAGACGAGACCAGCCTTTAATGATCCGGCATACACTCGGACTTGTACCTCATTCGTCGAATGCTCGACTGAAGACAGTCGAACCCCCTCAGTTGGGTGGCAAAGGTCTACAGCCGGCGCATCCTTGCTCATTGTGTTGAAGGTTGAGTTGCCGATAATACTGACACGTACTGAGGCCCTCAACCAGATATTGGTGCTAGGTGGGGTGCGCCTTGTCATGCCTTACAGCCTCAATTACAGCAATACATTCCAGCCTGGCTGCTGCCATCCACGTGGCGTTCGTAGCTACATCTCTGTTGCACATGGTCTGTTATGAGCTTGCGACCTAGACAACATCATCCTATATACGTCCGGCAATAATCTAGATTCAAACTCAAGATCTCCTCGACTTCCAGTCCCATCACTCCCCGACCTACCCATCGCGCTCAATCTCGAAGCTCTGGCCCCTTCTCGCGTCGTTGGCTTCGGGCAACATAATCCTCAACACCCCATCCTTGAGACAAGTTTTCAAGCTGTTACAGTCAATGGGTCGGGGAAATGTGAAATTGCGGAGAAGGCGAGAAGATCTTTTAGGTGCTATAGGAGTGTGTGAGAGAACGGATACCTAGCCTTTCCCCTCCACGATTTCTGATTCCCTGGCCGAACATATCCAAGACCACGGTCAAAGGAAGCAATCATCATCCGCCCAACCTTGGGCGAGGACGGGAGGTCTGAACCACTCTCTAAGCATTCTGACGTTGGAGTTTAGACTCGTATTTGTCCTCTCTCCGCAGTGCCATACATGTGCGTGATGCAGAGTTACTACGGTACCTCGTAGGGGAAACCAAGACGAATGAAAGGGATCAATCTGTCATTGGCCGGGCGTAAGGGAAAATATCCCGCGACAGCTTTTCCGTTGTCTTGGGTTTGTTTGCGGCGCAATTTTCATTGCTTCGCCCATTGCCACCCGCCATTAAAACCCCTGATCATCCTCGTTGTGGTATGGGAATCCATTGCTCGTGCTGTTTCGTCTCAGGACGCATTGATGGTCCGCCCCCAACGAAGGACTCCCCTGCCCAGACAACGGCCGGATACACGGCCAGGTCAGTTCCGGTTCACTTCGTCATATGGAAATGACGTTCTGCCTGCTCCATCTCCAATCACTCCCATCTCAATCAACGTTCACTTTCGTTCTGGTCGCAACAGCCCTGCCACCAACAAAATCATGCAGCCGATCCCGCTCACTGTCTTAATTCATCGTTGACGTTGGAGCGGAAGGCACGTTCCGTCGCGTCGGCAGGGGCTCTTCGTGAAGAAGACAGAGGTTCTCTGTAAGCTCGTTTGTGAGTTGGCTGGAGATTTCCTTTGCTTTTCTTTGACCACCGCCGCATATGATACTCGTCTTTCTTAGACTTCACCTTTAACTACCCTGAGCTCTCCTTTCGTCAACCTGCCTGGCCTACAGTCCTAGTGGCCATTCGGCTTTCTCTATCACCAAGGCACCCAGAGGTTGCCGGCAGGAGCAGCCACATCTGTTAGCAATGTCCAACCCTGGCGAGTTCTCGGCTCGATCAAGTCTTTATAACGCGTCAACTCGTGGCCCTGCGAGGCATTTGAGACCGACCGGTACCCCTCTATCGGCACCATTTTCTCTTGCAGGACCCTTAGCTACCCGGAGTCCCTCCCGTCGATCCGACACCCACCAACGGGGAAGTCATGGCAGCGATGACCGCTATCAGTATGCCCCGAACCCCAGGGCACATCATGAACCTATTTTCAGCCTTGCCGAACCCCTACCCCATAAAATTCGATCAGGCATGCGAAGAAGTTCGGCATCCCGTCCGAAGGAAGAAACAAGCATAGCTCGTGAAACCTCGCACGACACGACGGCCCCGACCGGTACACAGCCTGCACCACAGATCACCGTCACTCCCTCACGCAATGCGCAGAAGCCTGTTCGTGGGGATGACCTTCTCCGCACAGCGACAACAGCAAATGCATCGAGCTATGGCAGAGACGCCCAAGCCCCACATGCTATCCTACCTTCGCGTCGAACCCGGAGTACCGATGTAAGCCACAGGCAGCAGCAGCTGGAGGACGAAAATATCAGTGCTCATGACAAGGCGCGGGGTTCGCCGCCGTCGCCTAGTGGCACGATCGCAGTTGATCCCGACAACGATTTTGCTACGGACCGTATGCAAGACTTAGTCGTCGGCCGTGGCCTGGAATATGCCGTCCGGAGTGGAGTGGCTGCTACTTCTGCGCTACGCACTCGGCGAGACACGGCAGAATCTGGGGGCGACGGCCAAAATCTGGGCCACGGCAGCCATGGATCAGACTCGGACACGTATCACTCTCATAGCGATCGCTCGGACTGGAAGGTCGCCCAGCAACAACAAGAACCGCTATTCTTCAATTCGTGGGGTCCTATACGGCACAGGTTGCGGAAGCCGTTTGCAGAGTTCCTGGGCACGATGGTCTTCATGACAATTGGCCTCTGTGGTTCCATCACGCATATGAGCTCTGCCCGGAATGACAATGCCAGCTTGTTGATGGCGTACCTTGCATGGGGCTTTGGCGTCATGACCGCTATTTACATCGCTGGTGGCATTTCTGGCGCCCACATGAATCCGACGATTTCACTTGTATTGGCAGTATTCCGTGGCTTCCCCTGGCACGACTTCTGGCAATATCTCGTCGCCCAGCTCCTCGGCAGCATTGCAGCTTCTGGGATTGCCTATGGACTCTATCGTGATGCAATCTCAGACTTTGCCGGATCTAACATGTCCATCGCAGGTAGGTATCCACGTGTGATCGCAAAAGTTGCCAAATCTAACATAGTCTTCGCAGGCCCCGCATTCTGGACAGCACCACGACCCGGCCTTAGCTCGGCCGCAGCCTTTTTCAACGAGTTCGTTGCGACCGCCATTTTAGCTGGGTCTGTTCTGGCGATGGGAGATGACGGAAATGCCCCACCTGGGGCAGGCATGGCGGCGTTCGTTCTCGGATTGCTGACGATTGCGTTAGAGATGGCTTTTAGTTACAACACGGGTACTTGTCTTAATCCCGGCCGTGACTTGGGTCCCCGCCTTGTCACATGGTGGGCTGGTTTTGGTAGTGTGCCCTTCACGCTCAGTCACCATTGGTTTATCTGGGGCCCATGGGTCAGTACTGTCTTGGGTGGACTGTTCGGCGCCTTGATTTACGATTCTATGATCTTCATTGGGGGCGAGAGCCCTGTGAACTACCCTTCTGAAGCGCTCCGGGACCGTTTTCGCCCCACGGCTGACCTGTCGTGGCCAAAGTTGCGAGGAAAGTCAGGGACGGGAAGAGGCAATGATAAACAGGGAGATGCTATCAGCGATAAGGACGTTGGCGTATGAGGTGGTGGTGATGTGGGTGATACGTTCGTTGATTTGGGAGGTTGATCTTGCAGCAACCGGCGACGATTGCCTGCTGATGTGGATGCTTCGCTGCGTGTGGTCTTCGAGCTAGAAGCCTGGGAGTCTTTTTGGACAGGTTGTCTGTATGTATATTGGCAGGCGAGGCTGAGCAAGGCTGGACATGTGATTGGACAGAATTCTGCACTAGGGCACTCGATCACGGCAGCTTTACCGAGCACACTCATATGTTCAGTGTTCGTCCAACTCAGTCATACTCGCCGTTCTTCTCTAAACTCATGCCTTTGGATGATGGCACTGGCAATGATGGCGTCGCCTTGGCCAACAGCGCTCTGGCCGATGAGATCGAAGCCTTGACCTCTATCTACGACGGCGACACGCTCATCCTGCAACCCCCGTCGGGGAAAGATACGACCATCACTGCGATCCTTCGCCTCCCGGACTCTGACATCTCGTTCCTCATCTCCTTTCCCGCCGAATACCCGGATGCCCCGCCTCAGATCTCAGGCACGCAGTCTACAGGAGACCATTCAAGAAGAGGTCAAGGAGAAGTTGCCGTAAGCATTTTACGGGACGTGCTCGGCCGCGTGTTCAGCGAGGGTCAAGTCTGCCTGTTCGACCTCGTGGAGGAGGCGGGCCCTCTCCTCCTACCCCAGGACGACCAGAATCATGAGACCCACGCCCAGCACCATGGCACGGCTGAAACCGCCCACCAGGAATATGCTCAAGACAGGTCCGCCTCACCTCCGCTCGCGCCGGATGGCGGCCCACGTACCTGCGCCGATGAACCTCCCCCCGTGACGTCGCAGCTTTATTCCTCTGACTCTACATTCCTAGCTGCCCAAGCACCGCAATGGACCTTGTCCGAGCCCCTGACCGTTAATAAATCCACGTTCGTCGCCCGCGCGTGTGCGGTGCATTCCCTCGATGACGCACAACACGCCCTGGCCCACCTCGTGGCGAGTAACAAGAAAGTCGCGCAAGCGACGCATAACATCTCGGCGTGGCGGATTAAGAGTCGTCCCGTGGCGGCAGGATCCACGAACGGGGCCGTGTCGATCGACATTGTTATCCAGGACTCGGACGACGATGGCGAAACCGCGGCCGGTGGCCGTCTCCTCCATCTGATGCAATTGATGGATGTGTGGAACGTGCTGGTCGTGGTGAGTCGGTGGTACGGCGGCGTGAAGCTGGGTCCCGATCGATTCAGGCTGATCAACCAGGTCGGACGGGACGCGTTGGTCAAGGGCGGGTTTGTGAAGGTGAAAGACCAGCATGAGGAAGGGGGGAACAAGGCGCGAGGAAAGGGCAGGGGGAAGAAATGAGTGAGTTGGTGAACGATCGAATGGACGAATGAACAGACGGACAATTGAAGCGGGACTCCTCTCTGAGTTGGACTGGGCACGACGTGGACGAGGGGTCGTTGTCGGCCATGCCATGCCATGCTATGCTCTGCTATGCGAGACGTGACGAGCACCAAGCCGAGCAGACGATTCAAGTACACGCCGAGTCCTGGACCCGGTCGTTGATGCCTGAATTGCCTGGACGAATTTCTGGCGGTCTACTGCCTCCGCGGACTGATCTCCTCTGCTTCTCTCTCCTCGGGCGATGCCGGATCTGAGATCTCCAAGCATGGCGCAGCCTACGCCTGACCATGGGCACGAGAATAAGCACGAGCGTGAGAATGGGCACGAGCACGAGCAGCGAGCAAGCACCGCATCAGATATAACCCTGTCGGTCTTCTGGCTACACAAGCGACTGACCGACTGAAGATGAGCCCGTGGACGACGTAGTGAGCGTCGAGGGCATGGTCCTCAGTGAGAGCGAATGCGGTCTTAGCACAAGAGTGAATGAGGCCTCAGCGCGAACTTGATATCTTTGCGCAAGCTAAACATGGATTAGAAGCTGGTTATGGACATCATGGTCTTGGCTCATTGCGAGATAATATAAGAAGCAAAAAGGACGAACACTTGATGCGAGCTGTGGTCTCACTAAGCTGAAGATACTGTATACAGCTCATTTCTGCAGTGATGCTGTGTCACGTGGGTGAGCAAAGATATCGTCAAGGACAGGAAGAGGTCGCTGGGATCTCGGCGGCACCAGCAGTTCGGCAATACCCAGTAGGCAGTTTCCAGCAACGAGGTGGTGAGCTTTCGCTGCTTCGACGCGGATTGACACACAGAAACCGAAGACGCACGCGACCGGCAGAAGCGAGAAAACAGAAAAAAATGTCCGCCAGTGACGAAGCTTTGATAAGCGAGGCACTAGACCGATTTAGATAACTATTACGTCATGTCGAGCTAGGCGCGTTAAATGTACGGAGCAGGGTGCCACGTTGGAGAGGGCGAGGAGGAGTGATGGGCTAAGACGGAATCCTTAGCTCCTCGTGCTCTCGCTTGACAAGAGATCCAGGTGCGGGCGGTGCCATCTGCGGCGCGACCAGTATTCTTATATCTTCCCAGAGTGGTCTTCGTGTCTAAGGCTCAGGTCGAACTGGGGAAGCTCATGCCGACGAGGACGGCCCTCTGCTCAATATGGCCATGCGCATAGCTCAACCCACACACGCCTCCCGGCTCCAGCATCAACTCCAGCCTGGCGCCCATGTCGAACTGTAACCACCTCTTGACAAACGCTCTCAATATGTGGCCGTGCGCTACCACAACGACATCACTTTTCCGGTCGCCTTTCTCCAACGCTTCCTGGTGAATTGACGTGATTTGCGAAATCAGCCCATCGAGGCGTGCTTGCACTTGTGCCGCCGACTCTCCTCCGCTCCCTTCACACCCGTCTCGCCAAATATCCCAGGCCCGTTCCTTGTCGAGACCTCTCGACTTGCGGAGCTCTTGGATCTGACGGGTATAGAGGCCCTCGTAGTCGCCATAACCCCATTCCGCAATCTCCTCGGTGACATTCGTTTTTCTTTCGAGCGTTTCCTTCGTGACGGCATCTTGTATCTGCTCCAGTAGGATTTCGAGTGTTCGTCGTGCGCGTTTCCTCGGGCTGCAGATGATAGATGTGAGCTTGCTGGGGTCGATCAATCGTCCACCACCGAAGACGACCGAGGCTGTCTGGCGGACTTTCTCCTCGCCTTCGGGTAGGAGAGGGATGTCGCTGATTCCGGTGTAGCGGCCATTACGGGACCACTCCGTTTCACCTAGGAAGAAGTGGCTCGTGTGAGTCGAAAAGACGGGGGCGGCAACAACGACAGCAACGACTCTTTTGGGTAAGAACAGCGACGGCTTATTCCAGGTCCATAATGATTCTGATGACCGGGGGTGAATGAAAAGTCTTACCGTGGCGTATCAGGAACAATCGAGGCGTGGCCGCATCTTTGTCCGACATGTTTGACTGATGGCCCTGTCAAAGACAGCCGGCTCAGCACAGAAGCAACGGTAGCTGCTTGATATTCAGGTCACCCACAAAGGCAAGTAAGAATTGACTACAGTTAGGAAGCCCGCGACAAGAGTTATTCCCACTCTTGTATGAGTGACTGTGCCGAAAAGAAAAAAAAGAAAATTGAGACTGATCGAAAACTCCGAATGCCATGCTGAGTCATCAATCGTCTGCGCCAACAGACATATGGACAGGTACCCGAAAGAGTGCTGTGTATCTCTGGAAACATAACCAGCATCATCCTTGCACTCATTCTAGATCATGACGTCGGCAATCGAAGCTGTTGGCATGGATGTCCTTTTGTCTTGGGTCTGTAGAGCCCGGATACGAAGCGCCCTTGTGCCAATGCAGGCAGCCTGCTTCGGGACAGAGTGGTTGGAATGGAAAGCCTCTTCGCTCCATGCAGCGCTTCCACGATAGAGAGGAGCAGTCGGGCGATTGTTCTACGGGGAGAATCACATTTACTGCGACATGGCTGCAAGTGGCACGACTCCATGTTCTATGGCATCATGTCGCCACCCATTCCTTCACCGGCGGCAGGAGAACCGAAAATCTTTGGTAATAGATCAATCAGGAGATTGCCCGAAAGGTCGAACCCGAGGACCAAAGAGCGAGAGCCGAGATCCGAGTACCAAGAGCATCATACTCACAAAGAGCTCGGATGGACCATGTACTCTGTCGCGTGGCCATGGTCCTGTAAATTGGTTGATCAAAGTCGCTGGAAACTCGCGGAATGTTGTTGGATCTGGCGACGGTGGGACAAGGAGAGAGTCGAATCATCCGTTTGGAACTGACAAAAGCCTCAAGTCCATCACCTAGGCCGTCATCGTCCTGTTCAGCAGATGCTCAATGCAATACGCCCGTACGATTCCGGTTTCACAACCTGTTTCCCAGACAATGCGACACATGCTATGCTTGTTCCGTCATAAATTACTTTACAGCCCAGAAATTCGTCGAATACCATAAACGGTCGTTGCCAGGCGCACGAACGAAGATGCCAACTCTTCAAGTGCTCACACTTTTGTCAATCATCCAAGTCTTGCCGTTTGCTTCCTCCTCGACAATGAAAGCCTCCTTGGCGTACTCATAGATGGGCCGGTACGCTGGCCAAAGAGACCGGGCTTCGTCGGTCAATTTGCCAGGTTTGGCTTTGCGCGACTCGCTGCTGTTCCTGCCTGGCGTGATGGTCTCGTTGCTGCCCTTGCGTCTGGTGTCGTAGTCGAAATCCGGGCCCGGGAAATAAGGCGCGTTATATTGTCCGAACAGGATTTCAATGCCGGCGAGCTGTTCGCGGTAACCATTCGGCACGGGGACCTTGACTTCGATATGTCTGTCGAAGACGTATTTGCACGGCCGTTCCAGTGCTTGTTCAAAGGCTTGACAAACTTGGATTGGCGTGAGCATCTCAAATGCTAAGGCGATCCTAGTGATGTGGAGTGTCAGATCTAAATCGGCCTCAAGCTCTCGTCGCTCCTGAAACGGTGATGATCGACCGCCAATTTTCGAGTCGTTTTCATTTGTTGGCTCGTGAAGAAGAACTAGCAAGGAAAACTCTGTAAAAAGGGCCAAGGACGGAGCGCAAACATACCTGTGTCCATTCCACTTGCTCGGACCGTCCTTGAAAATCTGCAACACCGCGGGCCCGACGTCGTGTTCTGCGTCCAGCCAAGGTAATTTGGTGTCTGGATGAAAAGGTGCGCGCCATTCGAGCCTCCCGTTGTCCTTGAAGTCCATGCAGAATAGAGGATACGGTAAGCTCGTGAAGTTGTTGTTGTAGATTCCCGCATAGACAAAGGTTGACGGGAGGCCAAGCTGCCGGATGTAGTTCTCCACCGTGAACTTGCAAGCCCATTGCGGCAGAGCCGGCCAGTGTGGGTTGTGTATCGAGTGGTCGGGCATGCTGCTGTAGATGTAATGCTGGATGTTCCGCTTCTTGGCCGCATTGGCTAGAGCCTTGCCGATTTTGATCTCATCGCCGCCGAGGGGGTTGGTGTTGATGAAGGCTATCTGCGCGCCCTCGAAGATGGTGTCGATGAGGACTTGGTTGTTCAACAACGGCCCCTCGAACAAGGTGACATTGGGAAACTCGGCGAGCTCTTCAGCAACCAATCCTTGCAAGGAGTGGACTTGCGCCCGGACGGCATAACCCAGAGCCGCCACTGCTCGGATAACCGACGCCGCTTGACGACCAGTACCGTTGACGATGGCGATAGTCTTGCTCTTGTTGGGCATGTGGCAGTCTATGCCTCGTGCCGTCAGAGCGAGAGGCCTGCGGCTGAGAATTGGACGGAAAGGACAGACTTAGTATATCGCCAGAGGACAAAAACGTGATATGGAAATTTGCGCAAAAGAAGTGAACAGCAGCTAAAATCCACGGATTTGGTGATCCTTGCAGCGGCCCGGAGAGTTGAATAGAAAAACAGAAGAGAAGGAGTGACCACACTGTAAGTTCCCAAACGTTGGGAAGGAATCATGAGCATGGCCATACCGCCGTATTGGGCAAGAGAGTCACTGGGACTCCGTGCACCAGTCCGGTCTGCACATTCGAGGACCATTGGCCTGAGCGAAATTCTGTGACTGTGTGTGAAAAAGGTCTATCACCGCCAAACCTGATGCAGCTTATCCTTTACGTAACCGGAGACAAAGGTAGTAGCGGGTGTCCGGGTCCATGTTGAGCACGACATTTCAAACGCTTCCTGTGTGCCTGATGCGCCGTTGAGGAATCAGAACCCGAATCCGTCAACGTCGAGACCACCTCGATCTGTTGAGGGGGTCAGACCAGAGGGACAGGAGGTGACGACCGTCGCCAGCCGACTTCCGCCATCCACGGATGGCTATGTCAGGCACACGCCGCCAAATCAAATGCGGGGGAGGACCAGGTCTCTTGAAAAGGCGGGGAGAGTGGCAATCAGCGCCCAGGGTCAGCCGGCTCCCTGGATCGTGTAGTTAACTCTAGGCCAAGGCCAGCGGGAATGGCATGAGTGTCTCACGCCCACGATCGCTTAGGGGCCTGCCAGGTGGTCCGGGTGCATACACAGTAGTCCCACTGAGATGTCGGTGACGAGATAAGTTTGGCTGTGGTGGGTACCAAAGCTGGGCGTCGTCAATCCTCACTCCGGACACCTCCGCGGCCCCATCGCGCTGGGCTTTTCCCATGCCTCTCATGCTATGGTGTTGTTGGCAGAGGTGCTCGAAAAATGACGTGTTGCCTGCCCGTCCCTCGTAGTACAGGCGCCTCGCCCTCGTAGCTTGACCATTTTGGCTGTGGGACGTGCATCCAAATTCGTCCTACGATGCCACGAGGGCTGGACGCACGCCGAGGTAATCATCTGGTGATCTTGCATGGCATGCTAGGGGCGCTTTAGCCTGCGGCATGGTCCACACCTCCAACGGGCGCAGAAAGCACATCTGGTGAGCCCATGTGCCGATACCGCTGCGTCGTGATTGACTCTGGTGGGGATCACCGTGCTCCAAGGTCCTCACCCTCACAGGCCGTTCCAGGTCTCTTAGGGCGCCTCCAGGCCGGCTGCCTTCCATACGTCTGGTCGTTGGCTGGCGTGGAGTCTCGCCGTCTCCAACTCTTCGGCATGGAGATGTCCGCCCGCCTGCCGTAAGAGCAAAACATGCGGTAAGAGACCTGCGTTCGCGGCAAGAAAGAGTGGTGTCCTGCCTGATCCAGTGTGGTTTCGGATGTGTACCCTGCGAGAGGCAGTTAGCTTGTCCTGGCGGGGGAAAGTTTAAAATGCAAGGATTTCTCCAGACTTACGATGCACCAAGGGATAGAAGGTGCCGAAGGACGGCCAGGCTAGGACCCGTCGCTGCGAGATGGACCGGCGTATTTCCAGAGTAGTCCGCGCGGTTCATGAGCTGGCTGTCGTTGCGAAGCAGGTCTTTCACTTTCTCGACGTCTCCGCTTGCGATCGCATAGGCGATCGCTGTGAGCTGGGCGACAGGCGACGAAAGTTCGCCGGTTGGGTGTCTGAAGATAGTACCCGCGTGCTCAGAAAGCTCACCGCGAATTGAGACTGCCATGCCTTTAGCCACTGAATCCGGTGTGGCCCCGGGTAAGCCCAGCAGATACGACAGCTTGGTCAGCGCCGCCTCGCTTGTCATATCACCACCTGCGACGACTCCTGCACGCCCAAGCACCATTCCCGGCGCATAAAGAGGGTTGACACTCCCGGTCAAGCACTGAGTGATGTTCACAATCACGATGCCGCGCTGCACGGCCTCGGTGATTACCTGCGTGAGCTTGTTATCATGCCCACTGGGAGCATTCCCAGCACCGAACGTCTCGAGGACAAGGCCTTGCAAGCCCTCGGTCCTCAGGACCGAGTCCACCATGCTAGGTTTGATACCCGGAAAAATGCGCAAACAAGCCACGTAATGGATCTGGAGGTTCGCCTGAACGCTGAATGCCTCCAAGGACGTAGACCTTGTGACCAGACTCCATTCGACGCTGGTATCGATCGCAGAGATTTTGGCTAACGGAGGAAAGTTGGGAGAAGCAAACGCATCGAACGCGCTTGCCGAGACCTTTGTTGTTCTGTTGCCCCGAAACAGCGTGGAGTTGAAGCAGAGGCAGACCTCAGGGATCATGAAGTGCCCTGCAATATCCAGGGAGTCGAGGAGATTTTCCATCGCGTCGTTCTTGCGTTCTGAGAAGGGCACCTGGGAACCTTTTGACCGTCAGCTCTGTCACCTCCATGCACGGCTCCGAACGGAGCTACAGAACTCCTATATGAACAGCACGTCGGAGGCCTGCTGATTGTGCAAGAGCCAGATCGCACGTGACATGTATATGGACCGACGTACCAGTGAGTATGACGGGCTTGCCCAAGTTCTGCAACATGAAGCTTAGAGCCGAACAGGTGTAAGCGAGACTGTCGGTGCCGTGAAGGACGACGAATCCGTCGAACAGCTTGTAATTTCGGAATATTGTTTGCGCAATCTCGGCCCATCCGTGGCTGTCGATGGACGACGAGTCGAGCAGGGGCTCGAACTCAAGCACCGCATATCTGGAGAGAAGTCAGCACGGTCACGGCCGACGTCACATCCCAGAGCCGGCTGCTATGGCAAAGTGACGATGCTGGCTCAGCGGTGAAAGCCGCTGACTTGCCTGACCCGTTTCCCATATGCGCTCGTCGGCGTCCGCAAGCTCTGCAATTCGCCCAGGCCATCGGGCCCGTCGTGCAACCTCACTTCCATGGGGTCATGGATCTCCCCGTCGTTGAATTCCGGCCGCGGCGCCATGCATCTTTCCAAGAAGTTCCGCGCCGGGACGAGGCCGTTGGGCGATTTCTGCATACAGATGGTACCTCCCGTCATGATAATCAGGACCCGAGCTTCGGGAATGTGACCCGTGGTGGAGATGTTGCTCATCACTGTTGCGAGGTCAGTAGCGTTGCAAGAGTCGATTCGTGCAACATACTCCGGGTCAGGGCCATCTCGCCCTCCAGGTCTGTTCCTAGTCAGAGACATACACATCCGGTCGGCACCAACTGACCTGCCGTCCTATCTATCTCCATCTTCGGGTTTGACCCTGACGTAAGTCTTCGTGACCGGTTCATGGCTGTACTAGATCCTACCAAAAGTCTAATATATCGGGATCCTACCCAGTGAAGAGATTTTCTGCTTTGCTGGGCAAACCGTTCGATGCGCGCCACTCCGAGCCCCTGGTAGGGCTCACAGGGGCAAACGTGTCTGGGATTCGCGTACCAGCGGTTATCGGCGAGGTACTTCGGCACGCCAGACGCAGCTTCCGGGAGAAGCTTTTAATTGGATGGCCACTTCTAGAATGACTTTGGAGTGCTACGAGTCCTTGAACCCTTGCTGGAATTGCGGTCCTGATGCGACATCTTGCGACGGCTTCAGAAGCACAAGACAGAACGTTCCATTCAGGACACGCCTAGAGACCCCTATTGCAGGGAATAATGGTTAGCGTGGTCGGCTATCTACTGGATATGTTAGTGTGGCCAAGTCCAGCCCAAGACGCCTTTCAAGTCATCCTGTTCTCGACGACTTCCTCTTCCCTTCCCACATGGAAATACCGTGTATGCTCTGCTCTACTCAGTGAAGAGGTCCATCTCGCAGGTTTCCCGCAGACTCCGTCGGCTCTCGCGCACAACCGGCTGGGTCGATCACTGCTGGGTGCCCACGTTGATTGCGAACACGAGGCCACGGATGGCCTAAGCGAACCTCGCTCGTTGGTGACGCAAGGGATGGTTGGATTTATCACCCTCTAACAACATGGCCGCGACCCGTGACATGTCCAACCAGGTATCTTGCCCGACTCTGGAGCTTTCCTGACAAGGGGCCTCCCAATCGCATCTGTTTGTTCACTTCCGGCACTGTACACCGGCGGAGATTAGCATGCGGTATCTTGCATTAACGATGACAAAGACATGGCATGGCACACGTGCAACAACAAAGGAATGAAAGGCGAGCGACGCGTGAGGCGCAGGACTACTTCCTGTGCATTGCCCTTCGCAATCCCATGGCGCAGAGAGGACCAAGGCAACCAGCAGGAATTGAGATTTCAGCTGGATTTCAATCCATGGTTCTGCACCAGCGACGCATCCCCGACGCTGGATCTCCGAACAGCGGGGACAAAGCAGATGAAGTCAGGTGCAAATGAATGACCACGCCTGTAAGATGAGTAGATGAGGTCGGTGAAGCGGTCTTTGTTGAGCATCTGGTCTTTATGTGTGATGCTACCCTCGTTTCTCTGGCGATTTATTCTTGTCGCCTCCTGTTGTGTGCTCCATAACAACGTCCGCTCATTTCAACTTCCCCACGAGGTTGTTTGTCGCAATTTGGCTGCGAGCACATACCGTCAGAGAACTGGCAGCTGGCTGACCAGAGCATACATAGCTGATACAAGCGCACGACTGTCAGCGACTGCCTCTGAACCCTGACCCCGTACTTCCAACAGCGCTCAAATTGTCCTGCGGTGGTGTGATCGAAACAGCCAGACGATTCCAAGGGTCGAACAATATTCACTATACGCTCACCCATATTCGCGTGCGGTGCTAGGTCGGGTTCTCGGCGGCAGCGCAACGGCAGTGAGGTTCCAAGGCGGCAAGGACTTCACGGTTAACTGCGAGTATTGTGACGACCAGGTGAAGCGAACAGCGGTCAACACAGAAGGCTCGAGGAGTGAAGCTGGGGTCGCGGTCACCAAATTTTGGCGGTAAGTGAACCGCGGCGCTTTCCCTGCTCCCGCATTTTCTTGCTCACTTTGCCAGTTGATCTCTCACCTACCGACTCATCTTCGTGTTTGCGCTCTTCTATCTTTCCCATCGACCGTCTCTTGTCCCCTGCTCAACCGACCTCCGACGCTCTTTTATCGATCATCCCGTCGTTATCTTTCCACTCCTTCATACATTCGTTCCTTACACTCCGACTTGATACCGCCGACCGATCTACCACTTCTTCGATCATTAACCGTCAAACACTCATTCCGCAGCTAAACCTCCTACAAAAAGCCGCGACCGATCGGACAATGGCGACAATGCGCGTCAAGCTCAAAACCTCTCTCATGCTTCTCGTGTCCCTCTTCTTCATTGGCCCGGCCAATGCCTTTTTCCGTCATCTCTGCCACGGCGAACTGGGCAACGGCAGAGTTGATCCCATTGTCGCCCCCGGCACCCCATCTCAGCATCTCCACGTAATATTTGGCGCATCCAGTAAGTTCGATCACCACTAGTGTCAGACAGGAACACTGACCACTGTCGCAGATATGGGACTTGAGCCAACTCTTGAAGAGCTTCTCGCATCGAACTGCACGAGCTGCTCCATCCTGCAAGATCACTCTGTCTACTGGACTCCGCGCATGTACTTCCAGCACGCCAACGGCACTCTCGAAATGGTTCCGACATCTGGCGGTTTGACTGTGTAAGAACTCCCCCGAAGTCTTCCCGAACTCAAAGCCACGTGCTGCAGGCTGACATTTGGAACGCACAGGTACTACTTCACCGAGCGTGACCCAGTCTTCCAAGACCCGGTCACGGCCTTCCCACAGAACTTCCGTATGGTGGCCGGCAATTCCATAAAGCGTGCTTTTCTTGGTCCTAACCCAGACCCGCCAATGTCGAACTGGAATGCCAGTGACAAGTCTCAGCCAGCACTCATGGAAAAGGCTCTTGGTTTCAACTGTCTAAACTACGGTGCACAGCCAGAGGGTGCACGCCAATACCACTACCTGCGAGACAAACGTTTCCTCGACGCCCAATGTACAGATGGCATCCGTGCTGAGGTCATGTTCCCGTCCTGCTGGAACGGCAAAGATCTCGACAGTGAAGACCACACCAGCCATGTCGCCTATCCGCATGAGGTCCAAAATGGCCAATGTCCGGACGGATATCCTGTGCGCCTGCCAACATTGTTCTACGAAACTATCTATCAAACAAACCTCTTCGCCGGAATGGGCGGACAATTTACCTTCTCCAACGGTGACCCCACAGGATATGGCTATCATGGAGACTTCATGTGCGCATGGGATGCAGGTGTCCTACAGAGTGCCATCGACAGCCCTGCATGCAATCTTCCGCAGCAGGCTTCCGGCAACCAGGACGACTGTCCAATCTTTGACCTACAAGAAGTTGATGCTGGCACTCAATGCAAGATGGAGACTCCAGAAATTCTGCAGAACGAGCCGATCAATCTCATTCAGCAATTGCCGGGAAATGTCCAGATACAGGCTGGGCCTGGATCGGCCACCATGGGACCTGCGCCTGGAGCCACAGCGGCGACTGCGAGACCTGCACCCACTGCCAATTCCACAGCCTTGTCCACACCTGCCGTACCCACTCCTGGACCCACTGCCTCGATGTCGACCTCGCCGCCAGCCACCACGCTGAGTCCATGCACAACCAAGAGTCAACACATAACCACGACTGCTTTCATGAGCAATGGTGTCATGATCAACTTGGTCTTGGTCGAGGAAGTTGTGACTGTGACTGTGTCAGGTGGTCCCTCGTCGGTTGCGCGTGTCCATCGTAGAGGCCACAAACGCAAGCATGGTCACCAGGATGGCCGGCTGTAAAGGCGGTATGTGCGGCTATAGCTTCGCCCTGGCGGCTATCAGTTGGGTACCCAGACATCCCTTACACATATGTCTTGGAAATGCATCCTGGAACGAGAGATGGAATGATCTTTTTTCGCAGGCTGCAGGCCCACGGTTATGATTTGACGAACGAAATGAAATGAAACAAAGAGATATGCTGATGATGAGCTGGAGGCCTCTACACTGAGGGATATTCCCAGGCGGAATTACAATACCTTTGTGAGCTGACTTCGATAGCAGAAGCTGAACAATACGAAGATGAAATGAAGCGGAGATGAGAGATGTGTCGACATGTTGAGCCGTGGGATTGTTTCAGGGTTGATGGGAGGGATATTCTTGTCCTGTACCTGACCTGCACCTGGACTTGTTACCACTGCTTGCCTTGAGCCTCGAATGACATTTGCGAGTGTGTACCACTTGCTGGGGACCATGAGACTGTCAATGAACGAGTTGAGATGAACAATGAAGCTTCAACAGAGAAGAGTGAAACCCACGTGAAGGGGTTGTGCGTGTCCCGGCTTGATGACGCACCGTAGCTCGAAAATACCGCAAAACTCCCGAAGCTGCCGCCGTGATATATACCACAATACTGATATCACTCCGCATCCTGATAATACGTCTTGTAGCTCATTATCACCGGGTGCACGAGCTACTGTAGTATTCGAGGGCAGACCGACGTCTCTATTATCATGTCGAACCCTTCAACCACAACGCGCAAATCGGCCGCCGACATCATCAACTCAGCATCCCGGCACACCAAGCCCTTCGCCCGGCATGAAAACCACAAGAACGACTACCGCAAACAACTATGGTGTGACACGCAGTGGTCGACCTTGAGCGTGCAGGCGAAGAAGACGCACAATCTGCCGACCTTGCCTTACTTTGACCCGGACACCATGCTCCTCAGTAAAGAGGTGAATGAGAAACTGTGGCACCAACTGGTATGTGTGTAGTAGTCAGTAGTCGGCGGGGCTGGTTCCAGTTTTTCTTGGGCTTTGCGTTGCGTTGCATCGCATCGCATCGCATCGCGGCCTTTGACTGACCGTCTCTGCCTCTCTGCTCCTACCTCTGACATCGCTTCTGACTTACGCTCGATTTTCCAGGAGAGACTGTGGGATTACTTGGGCCCAGAGCGGGCGCCGTTCGCCACGCCCGTCATGGTCGAAGGCGGCGAGGTGAAATGGCATTCGTTCTTGAATGGGGACAAGGGCGACGAGGCCGAGATCTATACGAGCGCCGTGGACGCGTTTATGAGTCGGACCCGCAAGCCGGGCGAATATGATGGGTGACGACGAGCTCGGAGGAAAGCATGGCATGGGTTTGAGGAGTGAGGGTCCACCCAGCACGGGATGGATGGCTTTGGAGGAGAGTAAAGAGTAATTTGGTTGATATAGACCCTGCTTTCGGGTTCTCTATCCCATCGGAGTCGACTCCACGTGTGCACAGCAGTCCTGTTATTGATGGGGATTGGGTTTTGGGACCGGACTGAACTGGACCGGAAAACAGAGGATAGGATAGGATAAGGCAGTACGGAGTACAGCGCGCACATCACAGCACAGCATAGCATTACTCAATTCGCCAACGGTCGCGGTCGGTAAGGCTTCTGGAGCTGGGTTCGCTGAGACGGGCTGGAGAGAGAGAAGTCACTAAGGTACCGAGGAGGGACGTCCGTGTACTCCCGCGATCACATTTAAACATAGCGAGGATAGTGATCGTAATACTTTGTATACCTATGTATACGCAGCGACCATAACATAGACTCGAAGATCCAAGTCCCTCTGCCTAGCTACTGAACAGAACGAGGTACATACAGCTGGCCAGCGTACTGTCAATAGCGCTACCCCATACTCCATACTAGGTATGTAATGCTGCAGTATCGTCTGTTGTCTGTTGTCTGTGTTGCCCCATCCACAGCATCCAAGGGGCCCGGAAATCATCTTTACCTCCATCTTCAACATCATCTGCAATTTCAAGTTCGACCTCGACGTCGACTTAAACTTCAATTTCAACTTCAACTTCAACTTCAACGCTCACATTCCTCATCCATCATTGTATCCCGCAACATGCAACCAAGTCAGCTCACCAACACCAATCGATCCATCCAGCTCACAAACTACAAGACTGCAAATGGGCCTGCAAGTCCAAGCCATAAAACCCGCTCGTCCTCAAAGTTACCTATTCATCAGGTACTCCGTAGTCATCTGCGAAATCCGTCCTCCGCCACCACATCCGTGCTCTATCCTCCGATCTGGAATTTACTTGGCTCCGACGTCCCATTTTATTCGTCTGTCCTTCCTTCCTTTCCCGAACGATGACGATGGGCGATCGGCGACAAGTACATAGGGTAATTACCCATACGACGCGCAGCTCGGGAAACTCTCCAGTAGCTGAGTTGCACCAGTTGAGTCGTACACACACGCGCGCGCACAAACGCATCTGATTTTCCGAGTCGCAACACGCGCACCTGATTTTCCGAGCACCAACGGTAAACCTTGCAGCGGTAGCGGAGGCGCACCTGATTTCCCGAGCCTCAACATCACTGGACTGTACAGCACTGTAGACCAATCTTCTCCTCATCCTCATCCTCATCCTCACGGCTTCCTCCCTTTTCTTGGTTCTACGCTACGCTCTGGTCCTGGTCTGGTCCTGGCCTCGCTTGGCTTGACGGGGCCTGAACGCTGAGTAAAGCCACTCGTAATCCGTCCTCCTTGGTCGCAAAGATCAAAAATCGAGTCGATACGATCGGTATGCAACACTGCGGGTGGCGGCACCGCGGTTGGAAGCCTGATGCGTTAGGCCTGAGGCCTGAGACCTGCCTGCAGAGACTCACGCGCGCGGTGTACAGACTGAGTCACACATCACGATGAACGAGGTGAGGAGCGCTCGAAAGTGACAAAGGTATATATACAACCGAGATCATGCCTGGTACTGCACTATACTGTGGATTTCTCGGGTTGCCGTGTTGCTAGCTCCTCGTACATACTCCCGTACGCTCTCATCATCTCCCCCGCACAGAGATTCATTCCACAGTGAGGTGAGGTAGGTGAGGCTCCGATTTCTACGTGGCGTCTCAGATCCAGATCAGGGGCTACCGTGTGGCACAATGGTTGGGAAATATTATATCCAGAACGGCACCGTCGTCTCCGTCGACCCATCCATCGGCGTCGTGCACAACTGTGACGTCCTCATCTCGGACCACACCATTACGGACGTGGGTCCCAACTTGTCGGCCAAAGCGACGCCCGAGCACGTCGTCATTGACGCCACCAACGCGATCATCTCCCCGGGCTTCATCGACACGCATCGCCACACGTGGCAGACCCAGCTCCGTACCGTCACTTCGGATCATGTCCTGTCGCAATATTTCCTGTACATTCGCAGCATCTATGGCTCGTGCTATGATGTCAACGACGCGTACCTGGGCAATTACTGCGGCGCGCTCGAGAGCATCGACAATGGCATCACGTTTCTGATCGACCATAGCCACATCATGAATAGTCCCGAGCACGCAGACGCGGCGATCAAGGGCCTTAGGGACGCCAACATCAGAGGCGTCTTCTGCTACGGACTGTACGCCAACCCGCCCTGGCCGGGCAGTGTGATGAATTTGGACCGCGAAATGAACACCCCGGAATGGAGATTCGAGGACGCCAAACGTGTGAGGGCCACGCATTTCAAAGAGAAGCAGGATGCGACGGATCTGTTGCGTTTTGGCTTTGCGCCCGCGGAGATCGAACGCCACGGCATCGACGAGGCGGCGAAGGAGGTTGCCTTCGGGCGCGCCCTCGGCGCGGCCGTGATCACGGGACACATTGCCATGGATCAATACGACCGGGGATTGCACCTCGTGCGACACTTCGAGCAGCGCAATTTGCTCGGTCCGGATCTTCTGTTCAGCCACGCCGCTGGGCTGCACGATGATGAACTCGAGGCCGTGGCCCGCAGGGGCGTATCCCTGTCGAGCACCCCGGACACGGAGCTGCAGATGGGCATGGGCCATCCGGTCGCGTTCCGGGCCCAGAAGAAAGGCTGCACGGCAAGCCTGGGCTGTGATGTCGTGTGCAACAACCCGGCTGATATGTTTCAGCAGATGCGCCTCCTGCTGCAGACGCAACGGCATCTGGAACATCACGAGTTGCCAGGAGGCGGGCCGCCGTTGAACATTTCCAGAAGATGTGAGGAGATTTTGGAGATGGCGACAATGGGTGGAGCAAGGGCTGTCGGTTTGAAGGATGTAGTGGGGAGTATTTCGCCGGGAAAGAGGGCGGACGTGCTCATCACGAGGTGCGATTCCACGAGGTTGGCGCCTGTGCTTGACCCGGTTGCGGCACTGGTGTTGTATGCCAATGCCAGTGACATTGACACCGTGTTGATTGATGGGGAGGTGGTTAAGCAAGATGGGAGATTGGCAGGTGTCGACTGGCCGAAAGTGAGGGACGAGTTGAGGCGGTCCACGCGAGATATTTTTGAGAGGTCGAAGAAGGCGCCGTTTGAGCAGATCAAGGCCGAGGTTGACAAAATTGCGAGCCATTTCGCAGGGGTGAAGTTGTAGGTATTGTCAGAAGGTGATGGCGGCGGGCAGCTGGAGGTAGGCCACCGAGTCGCATGCTGAATATCAGATGCATAGGATACCCATGTGGAATCTGCTGGAAATTGCTGCGCCTCTCAAGGAGTCTTTTCTCTCTTTGCCCCTGGGTGAAGCTGTTGCTTTTTTCGCTAAATATGACGGGGCGCGTAGCGAGGTATGATCGAATCTCATTTGAAAAGGGGGAGACGTTCACGTTTCCAGTTGACGACGGCGTCCTCGTCCTCCACGAAAGGAAATGCACTGACTCTTGCCTGAGACCGTTCAGCAAGAACTGGACAAATGCGCACAGTGGGGTTCCTGATTTGTGGTCCAAAATGGCCTGGGAGGCGAGGATCCTGGGTCACTGCAGCGGAAGTCATGGCCTCGTATGGTACTTTGACTAGCCGCTTCCTCCCTACGTTGACATCGCAAGCGGCGCCATGGACGAATACGGCATTGCCAGCTCACTGTTTCCGAGGCCAGACCATAAGTCACACTGGTCAAGACCTGCAGGGTTAGATTGGAAGCAGGAGAACTCCATGGGCTGGCCATGTGGGAAGATGTCCAGCATTTCCGGATCGTGGAAAGGGCGGAAGAAATCCAGTGACTCGAGTTCCAACAGGTCCACCTCAATTGGTTGCTGCCGACGCATCGCAGGATGGTCTGAAACATGGTCCGTACCTTGCGTAGTGAACGACTCGGTCCGCTGAGACGAGGATTGAGTGATTCCGGCGGGAGATTTCCAGACAGCTCGGTGCTTGCTTTGCTCCGAAGGCCGCGTAGATGACGATCTTCTAAGAGATCGGTGATCACCTTCATCTTCTTCGATTCCAAGGTCGCCGAGTTCCTCGCCGGACCTTGGCAACACGTCGCCGTTTCTCCATAAGATGTCATTGTGTCCGAGGATGGATCGCCTCGCATGTCTTGCGTTGGTTTTGAAGCTCGTGAGCTTTGTCGGGTCAACGAGCTTTGGCTCATTGTCGAGGATGGTCAGGTGCTTCGCGTGGATCTTGTAAATGCAGCGGACGTGACTCTCCTGGAAAGCATGACTGTCAGTTGCAGCTAACCTTTTGCCGTGGTGGGCGCATCATACCAATAGAGCTGTAAATCTCCAGTACTTCCCCAATACTTGGATCAGCTTGACGTTGGCCCTTACGTTTCTCTGCGCTCTCTGTCTCAGCACGGGCTGGCTAGACCAAATCCAAGGGATCTGAATCGCGCACCCGCAGTACGCAGCGTAGGCGACGAAGGACGGTATGGCTGTCAGTCTGTGCGCACTGGATAGAACTGCGTTGATGAGCTCCGACGCGGCGCAAGCATGTTCGTAAGCCAGCTGGGCGGATGTCTGCCTTGCTGAGATCCAGGTGTGGTCCGCGGGACTCAAGCAGAACAAAGGTACAATTGAGGCGTGAAGCGCACAAAGACATTGGCGATATAGAATGTGGATGAGTAACAGTTTAGGAAGCATGTCCTGCGCCACCACTTGGACCTTGGCCGGCATGAGCTGAAGTGACTCTGGTAGGGTGGTCCACCAGTTGGACACTCGTTCGTCCAGGACGTAGATGGCGCTCAGTCTTTCGCTAGTGCTGGACTCGGGGGATTTTATCAGAGCATTGACCTCGGACCTGTGGTGGTCGTCAATTATCAGCGCTAGTTATGAGTAGGACACTCTCACCAGAATGTCAGAGCATTGACCAATTCGCCGTAGAGGCTGCCAGTCCTGCCGCCGGACTTCAAGCAAACCCTGGGACAAGTGGGCAACCCGGCTTCATAGTCCTCCTCTTTCCACGGCATGGTCAGCCTCAATATGTTGTCTCCCGTCCGGACCAAGAAGCCCAATTCGATGGCGTGACAGTGCATGAGGTAGCAAGCCCAGAAACGGCGGCGGCGCACTTCTGACTCGAGCGAGTCCTCCGCGCCGGGTCTTTCAGTACCAAGGCCAAGAAGGTGTGATATCTGCGCCGCGTTACCTAGCATCCTGGTCAGTCGGCATTCTCCTGTCGCCCATCTCGGGAAACGCGGTTGGTCAACCTTTGTGAATAGCCGACCTTCGCCATGCGCCTTGGCTGTACCAAAAGAGCGCAAGGTTCATGAATGTCACAACATGATCTTCTGTTGGGTTTTCAATGTCTTGAAACGCGAGCTTTCCTGCTTGATCTGCCCATTCGGTGTTGAAGCTGTGGTCGCGCAGAATGGATCTCTCATTATCATCTTGATGGAAACTGATCGGTGAAACTCAGCCACAGCACATGGGATGGGCAAGGGTTGTCTTACTTCAAGGCAAAGGCACATACACTCAGTACGACATGCTGACACGCTGTCCCTGCTACTATCGCGGCGAGGAACATGGGTTTGTGCAGGAGGAGCGAGGCGTTGTAGACATTGGCATAATATACGTCCACGAGAGTGATGATGAGGCTCCTGGGAATACCAAGGTAGGGTGTTCGGACGGAAGATGGCGGGCAAGGGTTGGGCATTTGCCATTTCGTGCCTGAAGGTTCCGTAGCATGCTGAACTGTGGCGCCAGTTGAACACACAAAGGAGTTGGACGAATCTGAAGAACAGAAGTTTCGTTCCTTCACGCTGGCAGTCTCTGTGGATGGATTGGCCTTCCTCCTATCGCCATCTGTGGCATAGTTGCAGACGCGTTTCAATCTCGAGCACCTTTTACAGTTTGGCTTTTCTCCAGTGCAACGAACCTAAGACTGACATTAGGCTTCGGCTGTTTCCTCGGTCTCTAACACCGATTATGACCTTGCGACTGCCGCACCTTGTGAGTTTTGCAACGGCTACACGCTTTCCTCGGTCGACCTGCGCCGGCTAACATGATCGTGCTCAGGACAGCACTAGAATGTCACGACTGCTGAATTTCCCGACCAACGTGAACTGGCGGCTGTCTGGTGCTGTAGCAGCACTGTCGAGGTTGCCGAACCACGTCGCGCTGGCCCTAGCAGACCTTAAAGCAATCACAGTCGGAAAATGGAGAGTCTCCAGTGCGGGTCGGGATATCACTTGACTTAGGGCGCCTAGGGCCCCGCGAGTCACTCGAGCAGATGAGTAAGAGCCAAGAGCGCCGCTGGAGAATCGCTGCCGGGTGGACGGAGGACTCACGATCCATTAGTTATGTGACAAAGCTGGGATGACCGTACGGCCATTCCATCTGAGATGCTCAGTCCACGATATAGACATCAACACGTGGATTGAAAACATTGGTTTCTGGAAAATCAACCTTGTCCATGCTGAAGGCTCAGTTAATCGTCATTGCCACTTTTCGGGATCTCTTTGACTCCCTCTCCAAGGTCTTCACGATACCTATCCCCTCCGACAACTACTGGCTGGCAATCTTGGAGGACGAAGAGCATTCTCGTCCATTCAGTCTTGCTAGGATTTCTCCACGCGTGGTTGGTGCCTCGCTGGACTGCAACATCCCCACGCTTCAGGACGGTCACACTGCCGTCGTCCAATTCCATCTCGATGGTACCCTCCAAGACCACTCCGTAATCGAGGCTCTGAGTACGGTGCATGAGGGGAGTGCCGCCCGGGCCGAAGTCGACTATCCGACAGACGGTGCCGCCCTTTTTGACAAGACCAAGCTGCCCACTGGCCATGGTTTCCTGGTGAGATTTGATATCTGCATCGTCGTTCAGAGACACTGGAAAGTGGTCTGTCGTGTAAACCACGTTGAAACCCACTGCTCTCTCAGGAAACCACGCCCACTGGTTTGAATATGATGAGTGAACCGCCGCTTTCCCAACAGAATTGTGAGTTGTTATGTGGATGGTTGGATCGGACAGACCGGAGGGTAGCGGTTCTGTTGAAGTCATGCTAACTTTCGATGTCGCCAAAGAAGAGGATATCACTGTCCAAAGTAGCTTGCCACAAATACTCTGATGCTAAAGAAATTCTGAGGTAGCAATGCTCAGAATTTGGTAGGACAAAGGATGATAAAACAACGAGCCATCCCAAGACTCGGCTTTCCACATGCATCACCGGCCTCTGTAAACATGTTCACTGCTTGCAAACGAAGCACGCAGAGGGGTCAGGACTTCGAATGATGGTCTGCATGGTCGGAAATCCGGTCTGCACGACCGGAAAATTGCTAGATTGGGTGGCCTGAACTGGGTGAGTGAATCATTATCACGAATGAGTCTTCCTTCTTCGCGGCGCTATGAGACGTGCTCATCCCTTGATATCGGCTGTAGTCACGGTGGAAAGAAGCAGTCATCGCCTCTTTCTCCGCGGGAGGCAGGGAGTCGAGTCAACATGCTTCGTGCTTTGGTAACTTCATGTTTCAGAAAAATTTGCTGCTTCTGAGGTTACAATAGCCCCCTAATCACGATCACAAGTCCAGCGCCAGGAGGTCCCAAAGAAGCTGCACCAGGAGAAAGTGAGCCTCCTGGACACGAGGGAGGGCGCCAATTTGGAATGTGGGGTGAAGGTTCCGTTTTCAGTTGCTACGAGTACACGATCGACGTTGAGGCGACATTCTTGGTGGTGCAATGTTTCACAGGAAGAGGTTTCATCACCGTTGATCTGCAAAATGAAACATGCTGGAGTGCTGGCACGCCAGGAAGCCACCTCGACCAGACATGATCATAGAGCTCAAGGATGATCGGATCATTAATCGATGGCAATGGGCCTGAAGCAGAAGAGATTTCGCAACAAATTCCGGGGAAGTTGCCTTTTTCAGGGGGGCCGTTCCGAGGTTCTGACGGTGGAGCTGCTGTACATCATCGTCCCCTCCAGCATATCCGACATCATGCATGGGTACGAGTACTGTCGCCCAACCGTCTCGACTGTGTATTCGTCCTCTGCCACAGTCGGCAACAAATCTTCCTCGGCTCATCACGCCATCATCCTCCAGTGTGGTCCTTGACCAGCAACCAAATTCTCCGAGGCAAGGTGGTGCATAATCTGGCAGGAACCCAGTGTCCGGAAAAGTCGGAATAAGCAGGGGGGGTGCGAGGGGGCTGCCTGCTACTCAAGCTTTTGTTCTTCTGTCCCACCCGAACCTAGGAAACGTGGGCGCGTCAAACTTTACCCAGGCACCGATTATTCTAGACTCCGGGGTGCAGTAATTGGGACACGCGTGAAGACTGAGAGGAATGAGCCTGGACCAGAGATGATACTGACAGCTGAATGGTGGGTTCGGATATTCTCTGTAGCTCGGTGCTCCGTACTTGTCTTGGATCTGATCGGGCATGATGTCCGCGTGCTCCGCGGGTCAATGCGCATGGCAAGGGATGACTGAAGAGAAAGGCTCCCCTGCAGTGGCACGTCCGTCCATGAGCTCTGACAGGGACGCAAGTATAAGATAAGGGATGGATTCGGAGCCCGCATTGCAGGGCCTAAGCCCTACAGCTTTGCTGTTTCTCAGGCAGTTGGGACGTAGAGGAGTGGGCGAGTGTAACCTGAATTTTGGGGCACAGCCACAAAATAGAAACCGCAGGGGTCGATGCGATATGGAGCTTTTCCGGCGGTAAGCTCCAGGACCGCCTGACGTGGCAGTTGACGGGGAGCGAGGGAGGCTGCTGGGGGTTACTGGAGTCATATAAACGGTCGCAACCATCTTGGGAAGGAGCATCGTTTCCTATGATGGCCGATGTGACATTATCATTCGCGGCGGCGAAATCATTGATGACAGGTACTTGGTGGTAATAGCGGCGAGAAGCACGCGCGAGGATTCAGTCACCCACTGGTTGTCGAGGTATGCCTGGTATGCCTGGTATGCCTGCCACGCATGGTCTAGTTAGTCAAGGGCTGACCTGACCACCTGCCGTATGCGCAACGACCAAAGACAGAAGCGGCGAATCCAGCGTTGATCTCTGACGCACACTTGGGAATAGAATTAGAGCAGCTGGAGGTACTTTTGTAGTGCTGTGTACGTTGCTATTATGGTAGATTTGAGGTCGTCGTTGCCACCGGCCATCGTGAAAGGCTGTAGCCAGCCGGTGACGAAGAACGACAAGACCGATAATTAATGTTAATGGGCAACACCCTGGCGTTATTGATTTAAATTGATTCACAGTACTTTCCTCGCACAATCAACACCTTTTGGGTATGTGGTTGTGAGCACCGCTACGAGAAACTCCACAGGGACCCGCGAACACCCCTCAAGCAATCCTCTCCGAGCCTGGTTCATTATCCTTCGTGCCCCGGCCTTTCCGCTCGCATCGAAGCGCACATTACCGCCGCCTATTGGTTGCTCTCGCCCAGTGACTAGAGGCGCGAGAGCGGTACATGACTCGACTGAATCTGTTGCGGCCAGCATCAGGCACACCCGCCTCCAGACGAGTGGTACTTTGCTGGGCCCGGCAGCTTTCAAAGGACTAAACGCTGACCTTTTGTGCAGGCAGACCCGACCCCCCTACGAGCCCACTGACCTGCGTCAAATAATTGCCGTTACCACCTGGCTCTTCCACTCTCTGGTCCGTGGTTGATCCGCGCGCTCCAGTCCTTCGGGAACGTTGACGGGTCAAAAAGCCTCCACGCCCGGCCCAGCCGCCGAAGACGAGGACTAAGCCCAATCCTGGAGCCAAGGAGCTGGAGATGTACCAGGTGAAAAGTACGGACACCAAGCAGGCCTTCAAACTAGTTCACTTAGGCTCGTGCATTTGACTTTGCTTTACATAACTCAACCGCCACCTTCAACACCTCTCTCGACCTCGGACTTCGACCGCATCGCCTCTCACAAGCACAGCGACTTCTTCAATCATTCAATTGCCGACAATTGCTAGTGCCCCTTCTTGAGCGGGTTTCGAATTCCGCCAACCACCGGGCGAGTGCGCACAGCCCCAGCGCACGCGTATCTGGTCGCTCACCTCAGTGGAAAGCGGTCCACCGGAGACATCCCTATCATCACGAAATGCCATACCGATGACCAGTTCAATATAATGAAGTGATCTGATCGCAGCGCGGCACTGGAAGGTTTGCTTACTATACGCCATGGCTTCTGCCGACGGCTCGCCCGTCGATCGGAAGAAACAGCTCTCGAAGCGCTCCTCGAATTCGTATACTTCGGAGGAATGGCGGAGGCACCGACCACTGATCACCCAGTTATACTTCGAAGAGGGCCGTACGCTCAAGGACGTGGCGGAGTACCTGAAACGCGAATATGATTTTGGCCCAACGTATGTACTTTTGTTTGTCGCACGGCCCCGACCTTTGTTGCTGATCATTCCTCCTCCCTCAGAGAACGGATGTATAAAAGCCGGCTTCACACATGGGGCCTGGACAAGAAAAAGAAAGAGCATGAAATGCTTGATTTGGTTCGCCAAGGCCTGCAGCAGAAGGGCGATGACAAGGACAAGGTGTTCCTGGTCAGAGGCAGGCAGGTAACTCTCGCCGACGCTTTGCACTATTTCAACCGCAAAGGAATCAAAGATCCTTCAAGTCTTCTGGAGCCTCAACGGGCGCTCTCGGGGGAATTATCGTCCCCAGATGATGCCGACGTACGGACACCTTTATCATCCAACGACGACATGCTCCATGCCGCCCAAGACGCCGAGGATTTCGACATGACGAGAAGTCCCATGGAGATGGACGAACCAGACAAACCGGCTATATCGTTGAGACTGAGAGCCTCCGAGTTCGCCGCCGAACGTCTAGCTATTCTGCAACAGGCGCTAAATATACCCGACCTCCCTCCAATGCCTCCGTTCCGAACACTCTCTGTTGAATCGACCGTAGTTCAGGCTCAAGTGTCGGCCGAGGATCAGCGGTATCTAGACGGCATCTTTCAGAACATGCAAAACCACTTTATGAATCTATTTACAGCACGGAATCTCTCGATTCGGAACACGACGGGCACTTGGACCGCGACGTCGGATGATGCTCTCGCCGACCGATTTTACTATTCCATGTACCACGGATTCTCCTTTCTATGGAATGGTCAGCGAGACCGGGCTTTCGACAACTTCTACAAGGCCTTCGCTCTCATCGAGGGTCTACTCAAAGATGATCATGTCGGCTTCATGATCTACGTGTTCGACCTCATCATTCGCCACGACGGGACGGGGTATGAAGAACCACTACTGATGCTTTTGCAGCATCTGGCCGATATGGCCAAAGCTGTCTTTGAGTCCGAAGAGCACCCCATATACGTGGTTGCTACAACCATGCACAATGCCACTGCTTCCCGAGCCTGGCTCGCGGAGTCCACGTTACGCAGGCTGCTTGACTTCTTCCAAGACAGCATCGGATACTTTCATCCCGAAACAATCGCTCTTCTACAGACGTTTGCGAGCGGTCTGCTGAACCGAGAACGATTTGCGGAGGCGGCCGTGCGATTCCAACAACTGGTCGACGCCTTTGAGACGACGGTCAACAAACAATGCTACGACGTTTGCTACGCACTGCGGTCCACTTCCGAGGCGTATTTTCACATGGGTCAATATACCCAGTCACTCCAGGCGATCAAAGCGTCATTAGAACGATCGCAGACGTTACCTCGCCCAGAAGAGCGCGAGATCTACGTGCGGTGTCTGAGGGGAATGGCCGAGATCTCGCACAAACTGGGGCGGAAGGATGAGGCCGTCGAGACCATGCAACATGTGGTGGATGTCTGTCGAGACGCGTTCGGACCCGAACACGCATTCACCAATCGAGCCAAGATGCATCTCAAGTCGATCTTGAAGGGCGACGCGGCAACCGCATCGGCCATTCCACCGATGGTGTACAGGCTGGGCCGTGGTGGCAATGCAGCCAAATATATTTGGATTTCTCGCTCCAGTCCTACTCGACTCCAAGCTTGACACGATTCACCAGGGTCAGGCAGCATACGATTGTTACGAATGTTCATGACGGAGTTGGTGATACGGGTTACGCTGTTCAACTGTACGGTTCACATACCCATTTGTCGTCGCATTGTTTGGGAAGCGTGGCTCAGGGAAAGCTGGCGACGACTTTTTGCGTGTTCGAGAGCGCTTGGTTGCGTAGTAGGTGCGTACAGGTGCTACTTTAGTAATGCGGCGGATATGCTGCGTCATCTGCCTTTGTCGCACCCCACGTGGATGCATACTACCACAGGCGGTGCAGGATTTGGGCTTCTGCCGACTGTCCTTCGGCCGGTGTTGGTCTTCCCCACGCACGACGGACCAGTCTTGAGGACTCTTGCCAATCAATGCTTTGCAGCGTTGACTCACGTCAAATCCGAAGAAAAGCTCTGTGATTGATTGGACGACAACATCCTTCCTGGAGCGTAGGTCGCAAGGCATTTGGAAGGAGATGTGTGTCTACCTCGTATGTTCGAGGCGAACGGATCGTACGAGTACGAGGAACAGACCGGCACGAATTGTGCCGCATGACGGCCTGTGAATGCGCTCGGCGGGGCGAGTGTGGAGCGTCACGGAGGGCCTAACTAGCTCATCGATAATTAGCCCGGACCTAATTAGCCAAGTCCTGCTTGACACCGCACAGCGCTGAGTAACTCGTACACCGTACGAGCACCCCAGACCACACGACCACATTGCGTAGCAGCGGACCAATTATTAGGCTCTAAATCACGACAATGCCAATCTCAATATAGTAACAAAACCCCTGCAGGCCTCCCCTCTAAACCGGCGTTCGAGGTCCGTAGAGGCTCGTGGCTATTGGGGGCCAGACCTTGCTGAGAGCCCGGGCAAGACCTCCTAGGTACCTTATCGACACCCCCGCCTACTGTACCTCACCGTACATTGCCTTGCGCCTGCGCTTCTGCAGGGCGTCGAATTTGTTTACTGAGCCACTGACGTCGCTTCCGACACCGGTTTGTTTGATTCAAGAGAACGATGCTTCGTACATATCTCGCAGAGCACGCATCGAAGTAAAGTAACGCGACCAAAAGCCACCGAGCCATGAGTTGAGCCACCTCAACGTTAGGGCCTGGAGAGGGCAAGATTGGGCTAGTAGCAGACGCCCACCGAGGCCTAAGGAGCCCGTAGCCCAAAGCCGCTCTGCCCCTGCACCCCTGACGCTACGAGCACCACCGCGCGCATTCGTACAAAGCCAACCAGCGGGAGTCGGCTTCGGACATCCTCGAGCCGTGTATGGTAGATTGTTGACGCTGATCCTGATTGCCGCATTCTCTCAACTGCGATTTTTGAAAGACACAATATATTCTCGTCGCAGTCTGCATCTGACTACAGGGCACAGCTAGACCCTCGCTTCCTTCTGATTGCTCGCCCACCATGGTTTCAGCCTCCGAGAAATACTACATCAAGGACGCAATCACCAAACCTGCCATCCACCACGAGTCGTACCAGAAGCTGTGGGAAACAAAATGGAAGGGGCCTGTATGTGACCGCTGGCAGAAGTGAGGCCGAGATCAAATCACTGACGTGTGAGGGAAACAGTGTGCGATGGGAGTGTACCCGTTCATGTTCGGCAGCATCAAAGACTTCGAGCCGGTTGCGGAACAGATCATCAAGGTCAGCATCGACAGTGCTGTCCCCACGCCCCAAGCTAAATTGCTCTGCAGAAAGGCTTGAAAGAACCCTACGACTGGGACGAGTACGCGGAGAACTACTTCCCTAAAGCTGAGGAACTCGCCAAGATCGCCGAAGACGCAGAGAAAGCTGGCGAGAAGGAGAAGGCCTCAGAATACTATCTTCGAAGCTCAGCCGTCTACCGCATCTCCCGCTTCCCGACACCTCGGTCGGCAAAGCAAAAGGAGGCATGGACGAAAGGCAAAGAAGTCTTTTATAAGGGCGCAGGGTCAGTGCTGGCGAAGCATGCACAGTTGGCGACCATGGCTGACCGGGAAATAGACTCATGGAGCACCCCATTGTCGAGGTCAAGATCCCCCACAAGCATGCGGTCGAGGGCGAGGGCGACGTTGTCCCTGTCAACTTTCTCCTCCCACCCAACGCCTCGGCGCAGTCCCCCGCGCCATGCGTCTTGATCATCACAGGGCTCGACGGCTATCGCACGGAACTGGCAGTCTGGCAGCAAGGGTGGCTGCAAAAGGGCGTGGCAACGGTCATCGCCGAGATCCCCGGCACCGGCGACTCTCCCGCTCTCCGACAAGATCCTACGAGTCCCGATCGTCAATGGTCCAGCGTCCTTGACTGGATTGACACACAAAAGGCGATTGACAACACCAAGGTTATTGTCTGGGGCTTCTCAACAGGTGGCTACTATTCTCTGAGGGTGGCCCACACACACAAAGACAGACTACTCGCCAGCATCAGCTTGGGGGGTGGGTGTCATCATGTAGGCGACGCGCGGAGCTCACGTGACCCATGTCTGTGCTAACGGCCTCCCCAGATGTTTGACCGAGAGTGGCTTGAACACGTCAACAAGCTCGAGTATCCCTTCGACCTTGCGAGCACCCTCACATACAAGTTCGGGTACCCCGACCTCGAATCGTTCATCCAAGATGCTGGCAAGTTTTCGTTGTTGAACGACGGCACTCTCGAGAAACCTTGCACCAAGATGTTGTTGGTCAACGGCAACGACGACGAGATCTTCCCCATCGATGATTTGTTTGTCGCCCTGGAGCACGGTGGCCCTAAGCTTGCCAGGATGGTCAAGGGCAAGAAGCACATGGGTGTAAGTACCACCCAATCTCAAGCCGTGCCGTCAAACCAGAAAAGCTGACGGTGACTAGGAACCCGACAGCTTCTTCATCATTCTCAAGTGGATATACGGCATCCTCGGACTTGAGGGGAACATCATGGACCAAATGAAGATGTTGCCTTCCCGCACGAAGTATTGAGCGTGGTGATGACCGGACATGCAGGTAGCAGGCGCGAAAGGCGATTTCTTGTACAAAGTTCGGCCTCAAATGCATAGCGGAGGGGGTAAAGCCTTGAAGACAGACGGCATGAGAGTAGCATGTGGCGAAAGATGGCTTGAGGTATAACGTACGACTGAAGCTACATCTACCAACGCCGTCCATTTTCGCTCTGCTTGTCATCTCATATCCCTCAGCATCCACCTAATCAGCTAACTCAGGGACACAATATAACCGTCGTGACTGCGGACCGGCTTCCAAATGCTGATCGGGGATCCGCCTTGCCGGTCGGCCGTTGTCGCGTTGAATACTACTTGCAGGAAATCATTTGCGGCGCGCTTGCTCCATCGGTACTGGGGTCGCTAGCAACGTACCAAGCAACGCCTATCAATGCCAATGCATTGGCGATCGTTGGCGGTCTAGCCTGTTGGGGGAGACCCCCAGTGACACCCCACGCGACTCCAATGTGCCCTGACGTCCGACATTGGCAAACTCTTTTCCCTGCTTCAGCGCGAGTATCCGCGAGGTATAAGAGCTCGTGCTCGTGCTCGTGTTCTTTGCGCGGCCAGATGAGATTCTCGTAGCCCTGCATCTTTTCTTTGGTGGCGCATCCGTCGAAGGAAATTTGGCACCTGAGAGAGCTGATATCTCTTGCCGGTCGTGCGGTTCGCGCTCTACCATTTGTCCGAATGCGCGTCAGAACCCGACACTCGGTCAATTGTCCCACAGGACATCATGCTTCGATACCGGCTCACTGGAAGTCAGCATTGCATCCCAGTCCCGAAGCTTCCGTGAAGACGCAATCAGGATCTACGTCAATACATCTGGAGCAGCTCGTTTGGCGCGTGTGTCTGAGCTCTTCCTCTCACACCACCCTCGAACGCAGACTGTCACGGGGCTTCACCCAGCCGCAAACGCCGGGATGGTCACCTACGTGTTCCGACGGGCGAACACTGCCTGTACGTTGGATACCGGTGGTTCGAGCGGAGAATCGTCCAGGAGGCCCTCAGCAGCCGACATTCATGTCCCTCGACGGCCGAGCCTTGCGGCGCTGTCATTGCGTCTTCCATCCCGCTCCAAGAGATCAAACTCGTCAAAGGGAGTTGACTCTGGCTCCGGACCTACGTGCGTAAGCTCAACCAGACCCTAGCTTGCATGCTGATGGCTTCTTGAACAGGCAAAAGCTGTGGGAGGCGCTGCTTGCCCTTCCCGATGAAATCACAGCGCAGATCCTCTGTTATCTTTCTCTAGCCGACATTTTCGCCCTTCGGTTGGCCTCTCGCTCCGTCCATTCGTACCTGCAATACCACGCGGGCCCCATCACCCGGTCACTTCTCCTCCAGAGTGCCTACGAGCATACCACCGACTATGAGGGTTGTGTCGACCACGACAAGGCGGGGTATCTATACGACTATATCCACACCATCTACCCGCCTCCACGGCCATGTACTTCGTTTGACTATCTGCTGCGGACCCTGAAACGACAAGCTCAGGTGCAGAAGATGTTGCAGGTGTTGACAAACTGGCTGCAAATGAAGGTCTATGTGCTGCCCAAGTTCAAAAGATGTGACAACTTCAACCCTTACAAACACAGGCTAATGCGGAGGCTGCACGTGGCGGCGTGGACCATGTACCATTTTCTCGAGGGCTATCGGACTATTCTGGTCTCGGAACATCCCAGCCACAAGGCCGGACCGGGCGTCCCTGGCAGTGAGGTTGCTGATGGTAGATGCTCTAGGTGTCTCCAATCCGTCAGGAAACTCCTACGCGTCTACCCCGGGACGGAGCTTGTCCCGGCTTATCATTTCTACGGGCTGTGTCGGCAGCACCTGCACGCTCTCAGCAGGGCTCCATCGGCCGGGAGACTTCGGGCGAAAAGGTCGCCCAGCGACGCGGATCTGATCCAGTTCATCGTGCTCGGTGGCGTTGCCGAGCTGTGTAGGTTGAGCTTGCTAAAGGGATCTTCCAACCAACGCATCGAGGTCATTGCCAATTTCGTGGACAAGGTCTCGAGTGCAGCAATCCAGCAGAGGATACGCGCCAATGCACCACCCTCATCCACAGATGCCGACGGCAAACCGCCCTTTGACGACCTGGTCGCTCCTCTGCAGACCCCATTCCACCTCATCCACCACAGCACCATATCCAGCTTGCCAGCATTGCAGGACTTTGTCACCGGCACCGAAGAGTGGGTCACGGAGATGTACGTCAGGTTATGCCCAGGTGATCAGATCGTCAGTGCCTGGGGATTCATCACAAATATCCTGAATGGGAAGAGCGAAGGGAGCGCAGGGGCAGAAGAGAGGCGCCGACCGAAAGGTGCCGACAGTGATCTCGACTTTCTAGCACCGGTGAAGGACTTTGAAGAATGAGTCCTGGACAGCACTACCCACATGGTTAATCGAATCGCAGTAACGAAGTGCAGCTTCCACTGTATATATGATTTCGTGTCGCGACACAAAGGAAACTGTAGGTCATGTTTGAATGATTTTGAGACCGCGCACGATGAATTGGTCGGGTTCCGCCTGCCAGCTGAAGCCACTCCGGAGCACGTTGGACTCCTTTCCCACTGGCCTGTTCCAGCAAAAGGCCGCAGGCCGCGGTCCTTGAGTCGAGGTCTAAAGGTTCACAGGTCTTGAAGAGAAACTTGACTTACTGGCTCTGATCCCGCGGCTCCCAGGGGTATCGTCCATCCCGCGCGGCTTGGCGAGTTGTGCGTGATGATGATGATGATTTGGGATCGATATCAAGTCTGTTACCGATACGAGTTATACAGTTCGGCTCCCGAGTCCTAGATCCCATGAAACGAGCCAAGATGTGAAGATCGGGGCGGGTACAGTACATTGCACAGACAGGCAGTTTCTGGGGATAATACTTGGAGCGTTCGATCGGAAGTTCCTGGTGGGCGATGATACGGAGTACACTGTACTTGCAGCGTGTCAACATCAGGTGGGAAATCAATCAGTCGATCTTTCGTACATTGGGTTCTATCAAGGGTCTGAACGAAAGTGATGAACAGGTTACGCTGTACATGTACATGTGCATGTCCGTGCGGTGACGTGACGGGACGTGACTGAGTTCTGGTTGTTGCCTTTTTTTTTTCAGAGCGAGAGCGAAGCGAGGCGAAGGAAGGACGGAGGAAAGGGCACATACGTCCTGTATCTAAACAGCCAGCGCCATGAATCGAGCAGCGAGGATATATCATTCACCCAGTCGAGGGATTCCACGTACTTCGTCGCAGAGACTACTGATTCCTTGAGATCGGAGTTGGTTATTCCATTGCTCGTCGTGGATGGGATAAGCACCCCTAAGGAATGCGGAGTGTCTACCTAAGTGCGTACTGTGTATATAGGTATGAGTGGCTCCCGCGACACTGGTTCAGGAGGGATCAGGAGTACAGTATTGACCAGAAATGATTGACTCCATTCAACCCTGCGAGCTGTCAGCTGGGAGATGTCCTTTCAAATGACCCTGTTCTGTGGCTTCTTTTCGAGTTTTTCTCGATTCTCTCGATTCAAACTCCCCTCCCTCCACCTTGCTTTCAAGGCACCATATCAATAACGCTTCTTGTTGCACGTGCGGCAGTGAAAATGACTATCTACCACGTAGACACCTCTACTGACATTGTCGTAGATGTATCGTGTACCCCACCACTACCCAACACTCCAACCCTTCAACCCTTCAGCGGAACTGTGTCCACATAGAGATTTCCCAACATGTAATCCGGATATCTGTCACCGGTAATCTCGGCGGCCTCGACCTTTGCTCGGATCTCCTGTTCCTCTTCCTTGGTCAACCGGATCTTCAGGCTGCCCATGTTCTCCTCGAAATTCTTCACCTTGGTCGTTCCCGGAATGGGGATGATGTTGTCACCTTGGGCCATCAACCAGGCCAGAGTCAACTGGCCGGGCGTCGCACCTTTCTTCTCAGCCAGCGCAGATATCGCGTGCACGAGTTCGATGTTCTTGGAGAAGTTCTCCTTGGAATACCGAGGCATGATTCTTCGTCGATCGTCTGGTTCGAAGTCATCATGGGATTTAATGGTTCCAGTAAGGAAGCCACGACTGAAGGGCGAATATGCCACGACCGCGACGCCCAGTTCTTGACAAGCCTTCAACAGGCCGTTGTGTTCAATGTCCATGGAGAACGGCGAGTACTCGACCTGTACGGCGGCAATGTGGTGCACCTTGCACGCCCGCCGCAGGGTTTCGCCCGAGCACTCGCTGAGGCCGAGATAGCGGATCTTGCCTTCCCTTTTGAGCTCGGCCATTGTCTGCACGGTAATCTCGATGGGCTGATTTGGGTCGATACGATGACAGTAGTACAGGTCAATCGCATCCCCAGGCGCTAGGCCCAGGCGTTTGTGAGATTTGGCGCATGCCTCGCGGATGTAAGCGGGGTCGTTGATCACCTTTGATTTGCCGTCCGGCTGCCGCACGTTGGCGAATTTGGTGCACAGGAAGATCTTGCTTCTATTGCCGGTCTTTTGGAACCACCTGTTGAAATCCAGTGAGTACCAGCTAAGCTTTCTCGGCTTTTCGGTATGGAGAAGAAACTCACTGTCCAAGCAAGTCTTCGCTGTCTCCATATACATCGGAAGAATCCCAGAACGTCTCGCCGGACGCAAAGACATGGTCTAAAAAGGCCAATCTTTGATCGTCTGGTAACTTTTTGCCGTAAAAGATTGACAGGCCCATCAACCCGAAGCCCAAGGCCGTCACCTGTGGTCCATCCTTTCCCAGTTGCCTTGTGGGCAGATTAGGTGCCATTTCTCTTTGCCTTTTCTGGTGCGCAGCTTGGATGCTGTGCAGGGTCTTTCCGAGGGTCTGAAGATGGAATCAGAGGAAGGTGCGTCTCGCCAGGGATATATGACTTTTATGTCCGTCCTCGCGCACCACGCCCTCAAGGTTTCTGTCCAAATGTGTATGCAATCGTGCGGCCGCAATGCCCCTCACGGACGGGGTTAAGCCGGTATGTCGGCCGGGATGCGGGGTGGTTGCTACGAGGCACAGGATTGGTGCAGGAAGCGGAGCATAGTATACTACAGCTCCTATTGCGGCTCGTCAGTTTCTCAATTCTTCTGTTCCATTGTCGAGTCTTCACAGGTCCGAAGGGCTTCGCAGCCGTTGGATGTTGTCAGACGACTGTTGCGTATGCTGGCTGGTCGAAGATTTCCATCTAGAGTTGAAGGAGAGATGTCGGATTCAAATTCGTCTCAACCTAGGGCCTTATTGCCATGTTTGTCTGGGATTGTGGTTGGGAGCTTGCAGTATGGACCGCTTGCGCGGCTTTGTGACAGGAGCTCTGAGGCGGTCAAAAACCTCATCATCCGAGAATAGATCACTGTGTATCTCCCTCCACAAGGTTTTCAGTCGTGAAGCGGCATCCCAAGCGCTTAGATGTTCGCAGAGGAAGAAGGCTACTACAAACCGGTCTTCGAGCAGGTACGGATCAAGGCTCCAAATTCACCCACCATTGCTGGAATCGTGGTTAGTTTTGAGAAGAGCTGGTGTGACTCGGCGTAATTTAGAATGCTTCGAGCCGGCACAACGTCAGGGTCGGATACCCGTCCATGCACGAGCAAGATCTTGGCGAGCCAATCTCGCAATTCCAGGTCATCTGGCGACTGCGGAAATTCACCATCGTCCATTTGGAACAGTTTGCGTTCATCTGGAGGATCATCGCGGGCGTATTTGGTGCGCCAAAGGCCTGAAGTTGTCTATATTAGCGACTGCGCCCGCCTGCTGGGAGTCTGGCGGGACCGTATCTTCCGCACAGGTGTGATTCTACTTCAAGACACTTACTGTGGGCGAAGTAAAAGTCAAAGCAAGCCAGACGACAGTTTGAGAAGACGATCTCTGCGAGCTCCAAATGATAACCATTCGGGAGCTCTTCGATTTTCTCCACAAACTCATCGGACGCCAGCGAAACGACAGGAGCAAGCCGCCGAGTTGACAGCAAATGACCGTGGTTTTCCGTCACCGTTGGCAGCGAGATTGGCAGAGTTTCAGCTTCTGCCACCCTTCTCCTAGACTCGACGGTTGAAAAGGGATCCTCATCCATCTCAACTTCGCCTGCCTCCAGTATCAGCGTAGCGGTTGTGTGTTCCAGGTCTGTCGGCTCGGCTTTGCTGGTTTCCTCCGCCATTACCCTCATTCCTTCCAGGCCGGTCTCGATGCGTTGAAGCGAGGAGCTGCGGATTGTCAGCGCCAACATCCCTCCGGGAGGGCTCCACTCACTTTCCCATGGATGTCATGAGGAGGTTGAAACTGGAAATATGGAAAGAAATGCCCTGATGCAATTTCTTGATCTTTCTCTGGCCGGCCACCCATTTCACCTTGATTCAAAGCTCTTCTGACAGCTTTCCTCCGGATGCCATGGGCCGGAACCTGTCGACAAGCTTCTGTACCTGATCCAAAGTGACTTTGAGGTTGACGGTCATAGACTGAAGCATCTTCATCCGTCCCTCGCCGTGAAACTTGATGGCAGAATCCTTCGACTGCAGATCATCTTCGATGTGATTCAGAACACCATACACGGTTGTCATGTCACGCGCAATGTTCCTGATATCCTCGGGGCCATCCTTTAGCGCTTTGTACAGATCCCAAGATAACTTGATGACCTCCTTGAAGTCGGTTACCGAGAATCCGAATGACATCTTCTGGTGGTGCTCTCAGGTCACCTGGATTCAAAGGTGACAGGAAAGAGAAAGTCCATCTGAGGTTGAAATGTGGCCAAGCGAGGCAGGACCTCAGAATACCCTCACTTGCGCGGATTGCACGCGAGCCCCCAACATCTTGCTCTTCCGGACCAGGTGCGGCTTTCAACAGAAGAGAAACGAAGATGTTGCAGATTGTTGTTTACTTACCTAGGGAGGCAGAAATACGAGAGCGCGGGACACAGCCCGCTGTCAACGAGGCAGGAATGTCAGTGGCTTTCCTGCCTTTTGTGGTGGCGCATGTGCATGAAATCCGCCTCACCTTACTGTGCTGTGTAGGCTCGAACCTAAGCACAGCCCACGCCTACAGTTCTGAAACTGGTGCTCGTTCTTCAGGGCTTTCCGATGGGCACATAGCTCCTTGATGATGCTTTCGGGCATCAAGAAGAGTCTTTTTGACGGACGACTTGGCATAGCTGACTTGAATTGTGGTCGTTGGGACAGCATTCACCGTGCTTTCTCATCAAGAGGCTCAATTGATGCGGTCCCTTGGTACACAGTATTTCGAGTCGGGTCTCGCAACCAGCCTGTCGATGGGTTGCAAAGACAAGCTCAAGGGGTTGGGAGGGCTGCTGCATGATGAATTACCACGAAAGCTTCTTTTGAACGAGCAGCTGGAGGGGAACCTGAACACGACGACAAAGTCATCTACAAGTCTTTCGTCAGAATTGAAGGAGCTTGGAAAAGGCGTCGTTTGAGATTTGGCGACGAGGACGGTCAGCACGAAAACACATGGCAATAATCAAGTAGAGTAAAAGTGCAGCTCGCCGTATATTGCTCGGCGGTACTTCGTGTCGCCCGCACTGTGCTTTAGTCAAGTCGTTTCCACCACACCCCGCGTGAAGGAAGGGCGCGACAACAACGCAAGTCGACACATTTGCTTGCTATAAAAAGTGATTATTTATTGTTCTTTCTGTTCTCCATCTACCTTGGCCACTTCCACCTTTCCTGGCCCGACTGGCGTGATCCAAGCCGAACGGCTCAGCTGCCACCACCATGGCCAGCGAAGCCCAATTCGACGCAGCCTTGTAAGCCACCTCACCTCACCTCAACCTACCGGGTTAGCGACCGATTTCAATGAAAAGCAGCTGACACCAAGACACCCCCTTCACACAGAGACCTCCTCCGCCGCCTCCCACCCACGTCCATCCCGCAGCATCTCACCAACATCACAGCCCTGGTGCCCTCACTGACCGAGGACCTGCTCTCGTCCGTGGACCAGCCCCTCTCGTCGCAACGCTGCCCCTCCACGGGCCGCGACTACCTGCTGTGCGACTACAACCGCGATGGCGACAGCTACCGGTCCCCCTGGAGCAACGAGTTCTCCCCGCCGCTAGACGACGCCACGTACCCGTCCGACCGGGTGCGGAAAATGGAGGTCGAGGCGAACAGCGCCTTCGAGGTCTACAGGCAGATGTACTACGAGGGAGGGATCGGGAGCGTGTACCTGTGGGATCTGGACGACGGATTCGCGGGCGTGGTGCTGCTCAAGAAGAAAGAAGGCAAGGACGCCGGCTGGGATAGTATCCACGTGTTTGAGGTCGACGAGCGGAGGGGCGGCGCCACCAGTTCCAAGACCTGCCACTACAAACTCACCAGCACCGTCATCTTGCATCTGGGCCGCGAGAGCGAGAGTCTGGGCGAGTTGACGCTGGCCGGGAGCATGACGAGACAGGTCGAGGCCGACTTGGTCGTCGAGAGTGTGGGTGCCAATGGCAAGGATGGCGGACACGTCGTCAACGCGGGACGCCTGATCGAGGATATGGAGGGAAAGATGAGGAACATGCTGCAGGAGGTCTACTTTGGCAAGGCGAAGGACGTGGTAGGTGACCTGAGAAGCGTGGCCAGTTTGACGGGTGTCAACCGGGATAGACGGGCACAGCGGGATGTCATCAGCAGCATGGGGGGGAAATGAGCGAAGCAGGAAGCCGTTAGTTACTTCGATGATCGTGCTGGGCGCACTTTGTGATGGGCCGGTCAAGAGGGTTTGAACTATGTCATGCTATGGTCCAGCGTTTGTGCGGCGAGGCCAGGATCCCTCAAAACTGAGCGAGGCATGGAGTGAGCATTCAAGCAACGGATGAACAGAGATATCCCTCCCCAGTTCAAAGCGTCCTCACGACAACCCCACGGGCCTCATACCCTAAAGATCATACTTTGAGAGCGGAACTCAAACACTTGCGGTCACTTGAGCAGCCGTCTGGGTGTCCGGGGATAGAACATATTGAGTTGCAGCTCTGACAGCACACAGACGCTACAAGCCTGTTCTCCTCCCCAGCTGGCTCGATGTGGATTGCCAGCATGAATAGCAGCAAAGCGTGATAGTCGATTTTGACCCTTTTTCACATGGCTCATCAACGCCTGCGGCAAACCCATATGATATAGTAAGTTCCTCGTTCTTCATCAGCTGTTCCCGTCACAACCAGCGTGGAACTCAACGGTGTAGAGCTGGGTCTGCCAGAGCGATGCCTCAATGCATGGGTTGGTGCCGGCGAGCGAGCCGTATCCCAACAAGCCGGTCTGGACTTTCCAGTAATGCCCTCCTCGCACGTGCTTGCATTTTGTCATGCATGACTAAACAAATATCATATCCACATGCAACTCATGCCAGTATGCTTCCAATAACGGGTTTCGACCTGATCCGGAGTGTTCAAAGCTGAGCTTTCATTCCTAACCTCCGCTCTGTTGTCTGTCGCAGTCGTCGCTGGAGACAAGCTTTCACCTTGTGTATCCAATCAACACAAACCAAGGATATTTCAAGACCGCTTCATCTGACAGCGCTCAAAGCGGCATCCAAGATCTCATCGGCGTGCCCATCCATGCGTTGCTCAATCCTCTGTTCGTTGCTTATGTGTCTCGTCGAAGTCGGACCAGCATCGGCTTCTTTCCCTCTCCGCCGCGATCGCGTCCCGACTTTCGCTGTTGGTGGTCCCAAAGACCCCCGTCGTGTCGTGTCTTCGAGCTCCTCAGAGGTTTGATCTTCCTCAAGCGCCCAAAATTCCATAGCGCGACTGAGGAGCGTCCCGGCAACACCACCTCCACCAGCGTCCCCGCCAAGCACGCGTACGGCCTCATGGAGAGCCATTACCGCTTCCTTGGTACGGCCGACTAAACTCAACAAAACCAAGCCTCGGCTGGTATGAATGCTGCCAATGAGGTTTCGCTCATCGTAACCACTGGCTGCACCGGTGGAACTGAGCCCCGTGCTGGTACCTGCGAGACTTAGATTGGCAAAGGCGCTCATGCCATGTCCTGGTTCATACGCTGACGCAGGAGCAGCCCCGCCCGTAGCTGTTCGGAGACATTCATCAAACTCTGACAGCGCTTCTTCGAATCTGCTCATCCGCCTCAGGGAATGTGCAAGATTAGCTCTGGTCGCAACCCATGCAGTCATATTGCAGCCCAATTCTGCAGCCAGCTGAAGAGATTTGTGAAACAACTTTGCGGCAGCTGTCAGATTCGACTGGTGATATAGAATGACGCCGATCTCGTTAAGTACCAAGGGGTCGCCGCCGAGAGTGGCGCTGTTGCTGAAGATCCGATTACCAAGGTCGTCATTGGGGCCGGAGCTCAATGCTCCGCTGCTCATTTCGAAAGCCGCCAGGCAATATTCCCAGGCCAGCTGCATATTGTTGAGAGCGAGGTGCTGCATGCCCAAGAACAACTGAGGTAGATGACTCCCTTGGAACAGTCGGGCGGCCGTGGAGTACGCAGCGATGGCCTGATCATGTTCTCCCTCAGCGGCAAAAGTGTGAGCAAACCCAATCCAGGCTGCCGCAGAATGAGGATCCATCAAGGATGCCTTTGAGAAGAACCGGCGAGCTTCGGCTATGCGGTAAGTGGACAGATAGTATATGCCGATCGCCAGATACGTATAGGATTCATGGGGAGCATGGGTCGCCAGGGTATGAGAGAGGTGAAAGAGGGTGTTGTGGGAACCTGTTTCATAGAGAACGGCAAGGTGTAAGGGGTAAAGGCGAGGGCTGTGGCCGAGAGAGGCATTCGTGCTGCTTGAGGACGAGTCGACGGTGCCGTCAGAGCTGTTCTGAGAATTCAAGATGCTTGTCGTGATGGCAAGGGCGTCGTGAAAGCGGCATTGCGTGTACAATGTTTCCGCCCGAGTAAGGAGCAAGTCTGGATTTGACGCGAGGTTGTAGTGTGTAGACAGAGTCTCAGTGGCGTTTGCAAGCGTCGCGGGCGACGAGTACTTTGACAGGCGAGTGGTATAGAGGAGTTTGGTGAAATGAGCGGCTTCCTGAGCGAGGGACTGGTCTTCAATACGTATCGAGTCAAAGTCCAGCTCTTCAAGAAATGCCAGCTCTTCCGCCGGGGACATCAGTGAGTTCTTCATAAGCTGATCAAAGGCTTCGAAGCACTGAACGTCTATTCGGACTGCGTCCTTGTAGCAGTCTCGCGCCCGATCAAAGGCATTCCGTTTCGCAAAACATAGGCCACGTAGATAGCACATGCCGGCCTGGAATTTCAGCTCTTTCTCTGACTCTCGGTCCCGCTCTCGTTCTTCACTGAGCTCTATCCTCTCTCTTTGAGGCCTGACACCTCTCTGTGTAACATTCTTCGACGAGTGGCCATTGATATGGGCTAGTTTCCTCCTAGCATTATGAGAGGTGGTGATGAGATGGACGGGATTGTCTTCCCCGAGGATCGTGAGGGCTTGGTCATATCTGCCTTGTTTGATGTAACAGTGGGCAGCTAAGTACCGACACGACAGGCTGCGATTTATCAAGTCCTTCCTCAGTAACAGAGCAAGCGCGCGCGTGAAGTTGTTTTGAGCAAAGTGCACTTGAGCCAGCCAGAAGGCGTCGCTGTCACTGTCTGTTGCTGTTAGTGACGGCGAACAAGAGACCGGTAGTACTCACATACTGGTCAGAGCGAGTACCTTGTCACCGATATAGATGGCTGCTTCATGCTGGCCCTTGTTGAGAGCATCCTGTCGCCATGGCCGCAGGTATTTGTCCATTGTTTTGGAACGAAGCACAACTCAGTTGCGTGACCGCGTCGACATACATCGACGGTCTCTACGGATTCCCAGGGGCATCAGAGGGAGGGGGACCAAGCGAGTGCACTTTCTCTGTAACATTCTTCTTAAAAAATACCTTCAGCTCACCTTCCAGTCACTTTGGATCGTGGCTGCAGCCAAAACACATACATTTTATTGACTGCGAAGTGAAAATGTGGGGGAGGCGAGAGTGACGCGCCGCACACCCTGAATTCCGATTGGCCCCTCACCTGTCCTTCTCTACTGTTCTTTCCCGGCGTTCAAAAGATGGTATTTCTGACTACATCGTCTCCCAAGGTCAGCCAAGCTACTTCAGCGACCAAGTCATCAACATGTCTGAACGCAAAGTGCTCACGAAATACTACCCTCCAGAGTTCGATCCCTCCAAGATTGCCCGGACTCCTAAACACCTGCGACCGACTGGGCCTAAAACCATCCCAGTGCGACTGATGGCCCCGTTCAGCATGAAATGTACCTCTTGTGGCGAGTACATATACAAAGGTCGCAAGTTCAATGCACGCAAGGAGACGACCGATGAGAAATACCTCACCATTGCCATCTATCGCTTCTACATCCGTTGCACAAGATGTTCTTCCGAGATCACGTTCAAGACGGACCCCAAGAATATGGACTACACCGCCGAACGTGGCGCAAAACGGAATTTCGAGTCGTGGCGAGACCCTGAAAGTAGCGAGCTGAAAGAAACCGATGAACAGCGCCTTGACAGGCTCGAGCGAGAAGAGGCCGACGAGGCAGAGAATGCTGAACGGAATGCCATGGAAGAGCTGGAGCAGAAAATGGAAGAAAGCAAACGTGAGATGCAAGTGGCCGACGCACTCGACGAAATCAGACAGCGAAATGCAAGAATAGAGCGTGGTGAAAAGGGTGGCAAGGAGGAAGATGCACTTGCCCAGGTCAGAGACATTCAAAAAGAGCAAAGGGAACGAGAGGAATTAGAGGACGCTGAAGCTGCTCGTAGAGCCTTTGAGGCCCGCAAGGAAGCCGCCGAGGAAGAAACACAAGCCAGGGACGCGATCAGCTCAGGCGGAAGCGCAGTACAGGATGGATCATTCAAAGAGACGCGGCCTTTACCATCCTTCGAGAGGACCAAAAAGATCAAGAAACCTCTGGTCCCCGGCTTAGTCCGTAAGGCCGAAATTGTTCCTCCCGCTCCAGCCAGGGAACCAGGACCCCCACCAGCTCCTGCAAAATCAATAGGACTAGCTCTAGGCGACTACGACTCAGACGAGGATTGAACTCGACAAGATGCAGATCGGCATTCTGCTGATAGAACGGCGAATCTCGCATGTGCACCTCTTCCCCACGAAGATCCCTGCGCATTCGACAATGGCGCGATTTATTCTCCATATGCCACGTCACACCAAACGCTCCGGCATTGGTTTTCTGCATCCCATAGCCTATCAGGCTGAGTTCTGAGGGCACGGGTTCTCATTGGCTGTTACCCAATCTTTAACATATCAGAAGACTCAGAATCATATAGATGCCGGATCAGCGCCTTCAGGCGTGGGCTTCACAGCAGAGTGAGGATTTCAGTCGACGTGCTATCAAAGAACACCTGTGGAGACCCAGTGGCTCGAAGAGATCCGGAGCAATGGCTCAGAAGGATGTCTGGCTCAGTAAGCATCAGTCGCTTGTTTTCAGTCTCAATACTGAAAGAGTCAGTTACTGGGTGTTCGTCCGGATTGGGCAAGGCGCTTGCAAAACATGCCTATGAGATGGGCTGCCCTGTAGTTGCTACAGCTCGGAGGCCCGAAACACTCTCCTACCTTCCGGATGGTGACAAGAACGTCCTCAAGCTCGGGCTAGACGTGACAGTTGCAGATCAAGTCGATCAGATCATAAAGACGGCTGTGGACCGCTTTGGCTGCCTCGATGTCGTGGTGAATAATGCCGCATATGGCTTGACAGGCGATACGGAGGTAATCCCGGATGCCGATGCGAGAGCCCAATTCGAGACCAATTTTTGGGGCCCCGTGAATGTTACGAAGGCCGTTCTCCCCGTCATGCGAGAAGTCAATCCCCCCGGAAAAGGTGGACTGGTCATGCAGATCAGTTCCGTCGGTGGAAGAGTGTGTTTCCCTGGTGGAGCGTTCTATCATGCGAGCAAATTTGCTTTGGAAGGCTTCACGGATACTGTCGCCAAAGAGATGCATCCCGATTGGAATATCAAATTCACCATCATCGAACGTGAGTCCTTCTCCCTGCCCGTTTTGTGCCAGCCGGCGCTCTTGAAGGCGAATTGTCTCCATATCAGCCATTGGATGCTGACGGCAAAGCAGTCGGTGCTGTCTTGACCAACTTTGTTCAGAACATGACCCTACCACCGAGGCATCCTGCATACGAGGACCCAGCTTGTGGTTATAACAAAATCAGGGCCTACATGACATCTATGGCGAACACTGTGCAATGGAGTGATCCCGCGGTCTGTGCAAGGGTTTTGCACGAGCTGGCTTCTAAGCGGAATGAGACCAAGCCCCCTCTACGACTTGCTCTAGGCGCTGACGCTTGGGCCGCTGTCAAGGCCGAACTTGAGAGCATCACGAGGGAGAACGAAGCGTGGAAGTCTGTTGCGGAGAGTACTTCTCATGAAGAGAATGCGAAGGCCAGAGACTTCTTGCTTGACCACCGGCAGTGATGGCCGATCCCGGGGTCTGCCGCTTTGGCACTTTGTGCGGAGGCTAACGACATCAACGTTTCTCCCAAGAAGACCTTAACCGCTGTTGTTTGCCGATCTTGCTTCACATGTGGTGTGCCTTATGGCGGCAAGGTCTTTCGGCTCACGAACTTGCGATCTAATTGCAAAACCCTGGATACTGGTGGAACCTCAACTCCAAATGACATCTGGACCGCCAATTGATGATTGCTATTTACTGATCTCCTCATCCACCCGCGTCAAGCTCCAGTAAAGCAGACTAGGATTGACCGCATTATCAGTGACCGCAAGGACGGACTCCGCGTCAATACGATCTGCTCATCCTTTTTGCGCACGTTCAGAAAGATCGGCCAAGCGCCGGGCGTTGATTCGCTTATGCGCAGTCCACGCACTGCGCCACGAGAATAGGTCTCTACGAGTACCGTGTAGGTGCCATGCTAAGCGCTGGCACTGGTAGAATCTGAAACGGATAGACACAAAGCCTGTTGGCTAGCAAAGATGCGGCTCTCGTTCGCGTGCCGCTGGCAATGCTCTGGGCTAATGCACGATACAGAGCTTGGTCGAACCGTCAACAAATCAGAGTCTTCCTTTGGTAGCTTGAGCGACCATGAATAGCATCATTTGACATGGGTGTATAGATGAGATCTGCCACTACATCATTCCCCGGCGGTACTTGTGCTGGTACAGGGATGCACAGAGTAAGAGGTATATAGAGGTATTGCCAACCTCCGACACCTGTGGATTCTCAGGCGAGGTAAAACACTTGTTTGGCCCGAACACAGGTCAACAATCCACGTTTTATAGGCATTGAAACAACCACCATGGCCTACATCACACCCCAGTTGACCAGCCCAGCGAGCACCCTATCGTCCCAGGCCAGTCAGTACCTCCCTTCAAGGGATCTCACCAACCGTGAGAAAGCTGCTCCATACACTTCCTCCTACTACCGCCAACACACCCTGTGTCCCAACCGCATCAGCGTTGATGACAGCCATCTCACGGAGGAGCAATGGAGCAGGCATGCGTTCGCTTTGGGAATACCCTCAAAGGACATCCGACGGCCTCACCCAGACGCACGAAGATTCACCCAGAGGTTGCAAAGAAAACCTAGAATGAGCGACCGGCAGGTAGCCGAGTTGCTGCTGCCTTTGATCCAGTCTGCCACCCAATCTTCCAAGAAGCTCCAGGTCAAGACCGACGCGGCATTTCACACTGATGCCGTGCCAAACGGTAACCCAGTTGGCCGGCTTTCAAGTCAGAATGCCGCCTGGAGCATGCCTCTTCCGGTGCCTAGGCCCAATATCACCGTCGGCTTCAGCTCGAAAAATTTCACAGAGCACGAACTCGAGCTCCAGGATGGGATCATCTCGAATGCGTATGGGGAGCCATGCAATCTGGCACATATCTCGCAGCCTATTGTCGGAAACAACACACTGCTCTGGCCCTTTTTCACAGTCGAAGTCCAGAGCAGCTCTTTAGAAGCCGCCCAAAATGCCGCGGCCGGATCAGCCTCAACTTGTAACAATGCACTCGCTCTCCTCGCCGAAGCAGCACAGGAGCCATTCATACGACGCCATGGGAGGAACCTCTTTTGGGAATCCCAGAGAGCAGTGCAGAGCTTCTCTCTCTCGATCCACAACGACTCAGAAGGCAACGGCAAGGTCGCAACACTAAATTTGCATACATCCCACGGTGGGGTGTCGCATAGATGCGCACCAATCCGATCCTACTCCCTTTGCAACGAGGACGATGTGGAATGCCTCTTCTCGAGACTGAGCAGTATCTTTGTCTGGGCAGAGAACTGTCACCTGCAACAGATCGTTACACTCCTTGCTAATCTCGATGCCCTGGTGCAGCTGGATTCAGGCAGAGAACATCTGTCCGATGGCTTTCCGAACGCGGACCTGGACGGAGCGACGGGATTCGACGGGAGTCTGACTCCAGGCCGGAGCAAGTTAGGGGCCATAAAGACCGTGCTGGCCCAAGTCAGTCCGAGGTGGATTCGCATATCATAAGAGAAGCAAAAGCCCGGTAAAATCTCAGCCTCAGCTATTGGTCATTAGTAATTCGGAGGTCAGTGTGAGGGAACAGAAAAGCAAACAACCAAAACGCGCTGTACATAGCATTACGAGATCACGATGAATGAAAACAATGGTAATCGTTACTTAAGGAGATCTCTTCCCCCCTCGCTGGCTTCCTCTCACTTGTGGGAGCTGAGAATGTCGCCACAGCCAAGGCTCGTCGGGTTGAGATTAAGCTGCAGCAAGGAAGAGCATGAGCCTCGCAGCAGAGGAGGGCGGTAGCTCGTAGTATCTTCGGTGATTGCCTCTGGGAATGCCTTGACAGTTCATTCGGAAAGGAGGCAAAAGGAAGAATGATAGCTCGTGCAGTGCTAATCAAGAGCGGGTCTGCGCTGTGTTGTGATTGGCGGTCTTGCCGCTACCCCAAGCGTAGCTAGCCCAATTTGGGTTGGTCACAAACGCCATTATTCCCGTCCACGCTTCTCATTCACTTCTCTGCCTCTCTTCATTTTGACTTCGTCGAAGCGCTCATGCGGCTGCTGATCCTGGGCAAGCGAAGTCTCGCCGCCCGCCTAACTCTTCAAGGCGTCCAGCTCTCTCCACGTCTACACCCAAAAGTCACGTCTGCTCGTTCCTCGAACCGCGCAGACCGCCGCAAGCGCGGAGTTTATCCCCAGCCTGTCTCTCCATCTACATTTTGAGTATAACAGCAGCCAACAATCCCAGACCTTGCCCGTTCTGTCATGATGAAACACTGCTGCTGGCGTGGACTCAGGGTTAGCTACCTGACAAGATTCTTAGCCTCTCATTCGACCAACCGATGAGCTTCACTATGTGACTGCGCCTTACATACAAGCATCCAGACTTGTATACTCAAGCACAGCGATGCGATTGGAACCGTGGATGGAGCAGACGCGCTCCCTGGCAAGGGTTTCCGCAAAGCTATGTCCAGTGGCGGCAACCCATACAGCGCCGAACACCTATTTCGAATCGTCATTGATCTTATCAGCCTTTCGGGCGGTACCGAAATATCACGGGGGTGAGCATAGCTAGCATACAGCAAGTGGAATGCGCCCCTACTAAACGCCCCATCTATCCTCGTGAAGGCTGTCCTATATTGGAATTCAATCTTTCTCTCAAGCATTTGCCCATCTATTCTTTGCTCCCCTTCGTCCCGCTCACATTCCTTCTTTACATTGTCAGAATCGTTGCGGAGGATTCAGTAACCACACTAGAATCTGCACCGAGCGCGGCTTACCCACTCAAATCGGATGGTCGTGACGCTACTGTGTCTGTATAGCTGACAAACTGTGTGAAGGCTATACTGCAAAACGCTGAGAGACAAGTACTTCGAGGTTGGCACAAAGCTTCGCGTCTGTGGACGATGTCTTCTTCCAGCAGATCCTCAACGCCCTCGTTATCTTCCGATGATTCAGATCAACCGTCAGCAACATCCTATGACGGCAGTCACCTGTCCTGGCGAGCTTTCCGGCGAGAGGTGTTAGCAACCCATCAGATCCGCTTTCTTGACAGCGCACCAAAGGACCGTATTCCATCATCTTTCCTCCAGATATTCGAAGCTGCAAATGAAGACTCGTTTCGATTTGACGAACAGAAAACATGCTTTTGGAATCAAGTCGCTACAGGCCGAGGGTTCGGATCTTCACCGATATTTCCACCAAATCTGCTGCCGCCCCTTACAACCGAGCTGCTCTCCCGCTGTATGGTGCCGGCGTTCAGCAGTCGTGAAGCTCTACCGGAAAGAGCAGTCAATCACACCGGGCCGATGTACGATCTTTCCATACCACATCCTAGCTTAGTTTGTGGGTTTTCGGCAGCTGCGTTCTCCAGCAGGGAATTATCACTTATCCCACAGTCGCTTCAACCAACCGGAACGATGGTCCACTGGGACAGCGGCTTTTTAAACCCAGGGGCAGCGAGCTACTGCCCCTTCCTGACATTCGAACGTGCCTATGGCAACAAAGAACACAGAGTGGAGTCGGCAAACAATCAATGCGGCATCACCGGTTCTTATTGCGTTCGGGCATTGCAAATGCTCTATGCCAGAGCATCGCGGGAATCAAGTGCTCGTCAGGTCCCTGAGCCACCAGTTTCATTTTCTTGCACCATTGATAACAGCTTCGCGTTGATCAACCTACATTGGCTTGATCTGACACAGGGCCAAACGTATTACATGGCCCCTCTCTGCCAGTTCGATCTGAGCAAGGATGTACATTTCAACAAGTTTATGATCTGGACACAAGCAATTGGGGATTGGGCTCTGGCTTATATGTTGCCCATGTTGAAGGACGCGCTGGAGAGGCTTTCAAGGTGCACCTCACCAGTAACGCCTGCCCCTTTCTTTCCCATCCACCGAGCCAGCGCGATGCAACAGACAAGGCTTCGTCTCGATACAGGCCCTGCCATCAACAAAGACGAGCTCCTCATATCGTCGCTCAAGGCGACCTTCGAGAACATTCCTTGGCGATTCGAGGACAATCCAGACTCTGGTCTTTCTTCATCCACCGCATCTTGGGGTTCTCCGATGGTGGCGGATTTCACCTTTTCCAACCTCAGCTATCCGGCAGTCCATCCACCGAGAAGCAATGCCTGCGTGAGTGCTCCTAACTCTTCTGTCGTCGCTCGCAGGCGAATCGCTAGAGCGGATGCCCCGGGAAGCGCAATGGCGGCGTCACCCGCATACTTGCAGGACCAGGAGACAATATGGCAGAGACGATTCAACGACGCCATGGACGAGATCAAGGGTCTTCGGACTCAGTTGCAGGCATTCCAGAGGGAAGTGGAAGGCCTGAAGGCCTCCATTCGTGTGGAGGCGACCTCGAATGCCAGCTGTGATTCGTACGCAGACGGTTTGCGAAGTTGTGGAAATGCGACAATTGATCACACGCCAATAACTCCCAAAGCGCCGATCCCGGTCACATCCTTGGGGGCGGAGCCTCTCTCGAAATCACCCATCATAGTATCATCAGCCCTGCCTTTGTGGCGATGCGCTACAATTGCCTTCTTGGGGCATTTTGTGGCCGAATTCGCCCAGAATCGTCATCTAAGGATGCTGGCGTATGGTTGCACAACTAGTGCATGTTGCTTGGCCTTGATGGTACCACGGCCTGCAGGAATCTCGTTTGTGAAAGAGTTGGCGAAGATGAAGGTGGTGCTGTTGGGGATCGGAAAGCAGCAATGACAAGCAATTTACCAACCACAGTTTAAAGCTTTCAGCGTCGGTGTTGGTGGCGTTCAATCCAGTTGGGTGGCGGAGGTGCTGGGTTCAGTATGCGGTCCCGGCTACTTAACACATCTCAGTTTCTATGTACTGTCTCATTGCTTCATCCTGGCTTCGTGGGAGACCTTTACGTTGCGAATACAAAGATCTTTTGCGGGTTACTATATGGTGCTGTCTTCTTACCTTCAACTGAGAGCATGCTCGACATGGGCTCCTCCCCGAGTCACAAAGTATAAGGTGCACGACCCGCACAATCCTTTCCAATATGAAGACAAGGCTGTCGTATTCCGTACCTCGGCAAAGCTTCTCTCCGGTCCACGTGATAATGCGGCAAGGCTGTGAATCTGCGATTTGTAGTCGTGATGAGAACTTCGGACCAGACTGACATCTTTCAGCACGCTGCTTTCAGGGACGCACAGCCTCGCCGACACTTCCCCAGCACGGCACATGTTGAACTTCGACAACCCCAGTATCTCATGTAGGCCTCTAATCTGTGCACCCTCGAATCCGAACATATCAGACCGGCATGCGCAGCGCTGGGATTCGGTCGAAATTGGTCCGCGAAATTCGAGCTAGAAGTCGAAGGAAGCACAGCTCAGCAAGCTGCGGTGTACAAGTATTCTCACTTTCCTCGTTTCTCGACATCTTCCTTCTCCGTCTCTTTCACTTCATAGAACCAGCCTGGTACTTTGATGCAACTCGGTCCCTGAATTCAGTCATACTGGCACCCTTGCTTGTCTCCCCTTGACAAGTGTTCAGCTCAAAAGAACCCAATCCCTTCCTCAGATCTTCTTCTTGACCATGTCGTCGACCTCTCCGCCAGCCATTACATCAGCCCTTATCCCCAGCATTGGCGCCATCAGTCAGCAAGCTAGGATGACACTCTATACAAACCATGGCTGCGGGTGGTCCCATCGCGTCCACATAGTGCTTAAAGAGCTGGGACTGGATTATGAGGAGGTGCTCATAGACATGGACGTGCCAAGGCCGGCTTGGTTTCTCAAGTTGAATCCGGTGAGTCAGGACAAAAGGTTGCATGTCCCACAGCAGGGTAGTTGTCTTCAATCTTTGCATGCTGAGACGTTGTCATCCTTTGCGGGTCGGGCTGTGATGCCACCGAGTATACTCTCCTTGTCCATGTTCCTTTGCCCAAATGTCCAAACCAATCTGGCCATGGGGTTTCGCACTCTTCTAGGAGATATTCTTACATGCTGATGCGGCAATGAAGTCTTCCGATAACACTGCTAACGCTAAGACGCAGCGTGGCTTAGTGCCTGTCTTTCAGTACACTCCAATCGGATCGAATCAACAATTCACCCTCGTAGAGTCCGCACAAATCGTGTCATTCCTCACGGATCTTTATCCATCGCACATCCTTCCAGTTCTTCCGTCTGGTCGAGAGTCGTGGGGAACATGCTCTCGAGCAGATACAGCATATATGCGTTACCGAATGTCTTTGTTTGTGGATACCTACTTCACCAAGATTAATCCACTCATGTTCAAACTCGTTGGCGCCGATCCGGGAGAGCCACAAGAAAAGATCGTGGACGACATTCTCAGCCGTTTGAGCGAAGAGATTGAGCCGCTGCTGTCAGGCGCCGACATGGATGGGAAAGGGCCATACTTTGCAGGAAGTAAGAGTTTGACGTTTGTCGAGGTATGTGCTGTGATATTGCTCTCTCACATCTACCCTCCAAGAATGCAGACTCACTCCGGAAAGGTCATGACAACACCTTTTGTCCTTCGGATGATCGACTTCTGCAACGACGTTATCTTCCCATCTCGCCTTGCCACAGCTATGCTGGATACCAACCCCTCGACATCGAACATACCACGGTTTGCCAAGTGGGCGAAGTTGTGTACCCAGCATCCCAGTGTCACGTGTACTTGGGACAAGGAGTATTTGCTTCCAAGAATAGTGGAACGGTTGCCGGCCGCGAAGAGGAAGTATGCTCCAGCAAAGGAGTGAGTGACACGTAGGAGATTTGTTGCTACCGTGTGTACCTGGAAATACTGTGAGCAATTATCAGGACCTTCACTGCGCGGTAGGAACCGCACTTGATAGTAGTTGATTGACCTGCATGTATTGCTAACCCTATGCATAACGACTCAACGCTTAGAGAAGGAAGAGAAGCTTCCCCCACCGGGTTCGGGTCAGAGGAAGTTCATATGGCTTTCTCTACATGTGTGTAGGGGTGAGCGAAAAGTAAATAACCACTACTCTCCAAGCTCCTCACGCCTCCTTCAGCTCCATTTAGTGTCTCACCAGATTCGTGTGGCAGACCCAAGTCGTGGTAAGGACAAGTCTGTGACAGCAATATCCTCTCAAATGCTGGGATTGTTTCTGCAAAGCCAGAGCGAGGTCAATGCGTGATCAGTGTCAAGCCGGTAACATGATGCACCTCGTGTGCGAATAAACGCACTCAGCACCGTCAATTCATTGTCCCTGGTCTTCCACACAAAGCCATCTCAGCAGCCTTTGTTTCAAATGGGCCTCGACCTTTAAAATTGCCTGCGCTGAACAAAGAGCGTCTCATTCATCGTACCACACAAAGAAAGCTCGTGCTCGATTTCAAGAATCTACCTCCCTACTACTAGTCTCAATTCCCTCGCCACACTTTCATATCAAAATCAAGTCAAGCCGAAATCAAGTCAAGCCGAAATCCAGACAACCCAAGTTTCATCCACAATAAACAACAGTCTCCACGAACGAACAAATACCCCATTCCATTTCTCACACAATGCGCACATCCATCCTCTTAACCCTCCCACTCATCCATTTCGCCGCCCAAGCAGCGGCCCTTCCACAACTAGCCTACCTCGCCCGCGGCAAATGTGCCACCCCAGGCCAATTCATCTGCGTGTCGCCGACGACGTACGCCCTCTGCGACGCCTCGCTCAGGGGCATCATCCAGCCCCTCGCGGCCGGTGACTCGCGCTGTGCGACTGTATCGGGTGCTCCGCTGCTCGCGGTCGTGCCTCCCAGCGCAAATGCCGGTACTGGCACTGGCACTGGCACTGGAACCGTGAATCCGGTCGTGCCCACGACCTGTCCGGGGTGTACCCCTTCAAGCCATGGGAGTACGCATGGAGGAGCACAGCCTGCGGCTTGAATGAGCAGCACAGTCTGGGGCGTGATTGAGGTGGTGAGCGGTATAAGTAGTGAGCGGTATAGGTTAGTGAGCTCATTGTGGAAATACGAGGGCGAGCGCGGCAGTCTCGTAGGGTGTGAAGCGTTCAGATCCCCGTAGTTTACGTGAACATCCTGCATGCAGTATGTCCTTGACTTGTTGAGATCACGATTGTGGTAAGACCCTTTCTCTCTTGGCGTAAGAATCACAAGTGTTTTGTGCTTGGGCCTTCTCGGTGATTCTCACGAGCCTGATCAATGTCGGGCGCTAAGTCTGGGGTCTAGAGTCTGCGGGTTGGATATGAATGAACTGGTAGAGGTGGTCCGTCACGGCACATCGCATCATCTTGCATCACGTCACAGTGGCTGGTTAGTGGAAGGATATCGACTGATATTTCCAACTCAGTTTGTAGGTATCATGCAGTAGGTACGTAGATAGGGTGTTGGCGCGCGAATAATCACAAGCCTATAATGTACTCAGACATGCGTAGTGCAGTGTCCTCTGAAGGGTGACACTGAAGCGTGTGAAAGGATAGGACGAAGATATCACACGTTGTCCGCTGCCGTCGGTCATCTGGATTGAGCCTCGTCAAAACCATCGATAAGCCTTTTCTTCGTTGGCCGCCTGATCTACGTGCAACTGCGCCATGGGACCATGGGACCACGCCCGGGTATAACATCATCGGGAATCTCACAACAATGATTCTGAAATATCAAACGCACCGACCACACAGACATAGCACAGACGATACCAGTCATCCCTGTCCAGCAGATCCGCAGGAGCTCCATACCGGCGCCGCAGTTGACAAGCAGGGAACCCAGATGAGAAGAGATTATTTGCGGTAAATCGGTTTCCGACCCAACTCATGGACATATCGGTTGAGATGGTTCTGGACCTCCTCCCCCCTGGTGTGTACTTGGGCACATGCAGCGTACCGGAACATCAATCAATACTGGCGGGGATTTGGTTTACTTCTCAGACAGGTGTCCTTCGCAGGCCGGTGCCATTGCTCAGACGCGGAAATCCCTTCGAATCGGTCAACTCTTCCCCTTTAGAGCACAATGTGACCCGAAAATGAATGGGCTCCGAACTGGATGGTTATCAAATCTCTCCATGAGCTATACATCTTGCGTCGTACTTCCACCAACGGGGAGACCTTCGAAGGCAGTCTAGATCTGATGATGCGGCTACCATTCCTGCACCGATTTCCCAACACCGGCCCCGATATATCCCTGGCTGCAGAGATCCCACTGTGGGCTGAATACAGAACAGAGTCGTCCTCGTCCGCGAGCATCCCTGCTGCATGCTGGAGACAGATTGCTGGCGCTACGGGCACAAAATCATCCTGTCCTGTTCAGTATCCATACATCCTGCATCCAACTTGATGGGCGCAGCCCAGAACAATGCAACACTGGGCACGTGAGGAATTGCCAACCACCCTGGCTGGCGGCTCAATCTCCGGTCGTCTATGGACCCGAAATTGTCGTATGATCGAGTCCACGATCGATCCAAAAAAGCCCGCCCCACCAACTAAGGGTGTGGTAGTATCAGGACCTCCGCTGCGCGGTAGGCACTGATGGTTAACGCAGCTGAATGCTTTTGTATCTGGTGGTCCTATTGACAACGACTCAACGCTTAAAGAAAGAAGGAAGAGCCTCCCTCTCACGATCCGGGTGAGAGGAGCTCTTAAGTCTTTCCCCTCTCTTAGTGTCACGTGAGCCTAGCATGAGGCGGTAATAACCGATAGCTACCGGCTCATGCCTCTCCTACTTTCTAGCCACCCAATTCGGGTGGGGGATCATAGCACTTACGTAGAAGTGCTATATCCCCTTTCCTACTGTTGTATCCTGCCACCTTCTCCCGTACTATTCCCCAGTACCATTGGGTTCGTGACAGGTAGTCGCCTTGGGCACGAGGCATCGTACATGTGCTTGCACATGCTCTTGCTGCGAGCAAGCCAACAAGAGCTTGCACAAGCCCCTGCCGCGAGGCATCGTACATGTGCTTGCACATGCTCTTGCTGCGAGCCACGCCCTGAAGTTGTATCGCAAGGCATCGAACACCCGATACGTCTCGACCAGGTTCGATAAGACCTGCTGGCGGCAGGAGCACTGCACGATGCAGTACGAGAAATAGCTCGTAAGGGAGTTTTCTTTTTAAATCAACTAGTGATGAGATCCTCTATAATCCAAGGAAATCATCACCAGCAACCCCCGTCGGAGGCACTGTCGCATCCGACAGCCTGCCCTGGAGACAACGCTGCTCGTCGCTGTGACCGTTGTGAGTTCGGTTACGGTCCCTGCGGCATTGACAAGAGTGGTGAAATGTCGACATTTCTTCCTGCGCACATCCCCACTGTGGACCGTGACTAGCGTCCGACAAAAAAATGCGTCGTGGCGATGAGCATGATGAAGCTCAAGGATATCGCCCAAAGGGGCTTGTCGGTGTCATGGCTCGAGTCGACATACCCACGGGGGAGGTATTTGAAGGTAACAACTGGTGATGTGATCCTCTAGGAGCTCTGGGACTGACAACATCGCAACTCTCGTAGCAATGGCAGTTAGCCTTTGAGAGTACTGGGCTGTCAGGACGCCTCAGCGCTCTCGGCAAGTACGACCAGCGTCCGTCCTCGACCATCGTACAACGCGAAGGCGGAGACCGAGACAGGACGGCTCGTCCAAGTCATCTGACCACATCGGGGCACCGCTCCCAGTTGTACTCTTCGCCACTGGTGTCCATCGTGTTTGACGGAAGAAATGTGATCAACTGGTGATGAGATCCTTGGTGAGTGTGACACGGGAAGTTTGTTGAGCTGAATCCCTGCTGATATGTAGCATAAGTGACAGTGCGGGTTCCAGCCCCTTGACCCAGAGTATCATTGTCCTGGATTGTCATGAAGCACAGCCTCTCCACATTGTCCAGATTGTACCACAATGCATGGTAAACGTTTTCAGATTCGCCTCACCGACCAAGAGTCTAGGAACGAGGGTATGGCGTGATCGGGAAGCAGCGATGGCTGCTGGTAGTGAATCTGTCCCCTGACCACCTTCAGTGGAGCAGATGTTGTTCCCAGCTCTTGTGGCTCATCTTAGGAGACAGCCTCCTTGCCTATTGTTCTGCTTGTGTGTGAGGTAAGGTTTGTGATAGGGAAGTCAGACCCTCCAAGACAAGTCATACTAGAGATTCTGTCCTTTCGGAACTTATGAGATTGCCTCATGAGAAAAGGTAGAGGTAGGTTGCTGAGGTGGTTGTGCTGTCATCACGAAACTGGCCTCGTTTGTTCAGGCAAACCGTGGCAAACAAGCTCTATTCGTGAGGTTGAAGCAGAGTGAGAAGAACGTGCTTGAACATGCTTTCCAGAATGAAACCGATGTTAGGGGAGTCGAGTGTTTCTGTCTGATCTCCACTTCTGGCAGGAGGTATCTCGTCGGAAATGTTGAGGTCAGGCTTGAGAGCAAGATTAAACAGATGGAGAAACGATCGGGATGAATGATGTCGGCTCTGTCTTGTAGCTGTCAATGCTTGTCTCGGTTGCTTTCACCTCTATTTGTGTCTCGGTATAAAGGTGAGCATTATCGACTTACTGGAAGTGGTTTGAAAGAGGAGAATCTCGACAAATCAGACTGACACCTGAGCCCGGCTTGCTCAGAGCCGATCTGGCACGCTTGTGAGATTCTGACGTGTATAAGCTAAGGGAAGCATGAGAGAAGAGTTCAAGAGGAGGAATCATATCGCAGGTATAGTGTTTGCCATGAGAGCTATCTGTGATTGACTGTGTGAAGTTTGAGGAGTGAGACAGATCTGTCGAGAGAGCAGGATAGGATTGTGGGCGGCGCCAAGAACGGCGTGGCTAGAAGCCCTCGATGACATCCTTGCACAGCAGCCATGGCATGGGCGCGCCTTTATGTCGTCGCGGGACGTCGTTTGGCCGTCCGGAAAGCATCAAGAAAGGGCCCAGAACAAACGCAGTGCAAACACTGTCGGCCAAGGTGACGATGTATTGGGTACAAAACTCTCATCAACATTCTATGGCCTGTCGCAGCTACCTTTCTCTGGTCACTCATCATAGTCCAGCGGCAGGCCGAACCATCTAATAGCGTTGCGGTACCCAATATCCCTCCATGTCTCATCTGACACCGGTACTGTCTCGAACCATGCCCTCATCTCCGCCACAGACTCATACGGGTAATCCACTGCAAACATAATGTTCTCCGCCTTCGATTCAGCCATCAATTGCATGAGTGCAGAAGTTCTGGGCATGCCGCTGGTATTGGGGAGGATATTTTGTTGGAAATAGTCCTGAAATCGCTTTTTCTTTGGTCCTTGCGCCTCTTTACAGCATCGGAAGTTAGCAAGAGAACACACACTCCGGCAAGTTACAATAGCACAGGCGAACCTCACCAGCCGAGTAAAGCCGAAACGTACTGTCCGTCCGCGGCAAGATCCAGCTCAACCCCTCTCCCATATGCCCCAAACAGACCTTCAACTTGGGAAACCGATCAAAGACGCCGGCATACATTATCCGCAGGATGTGTTCGCAAGTCTCCCGTCCAAACCCGTACGGCGCGCCATGGAAAACTGGCATATCTTCCAGCACTTTCATATTACTCACCAGCGGTACCCTGGGATGAATAAAGATGGGCTTCTGCAACCGCTCCGCTGTCTCCCAGAGGACATCAAACTGCGGGTCGTCCAGATACAGCCCGCGAGTCGGATCTGTCGTGTTGGTGAAGCCGTTGATCATCGCGCCTACAAAGCCGTACTCCATCACGCACCGCTCGAGTTCCTCTGCGGCAGCTCGTCCACTCTGCGTGGGCAAGGTCGCGAAGGCAAAGAACCTGTTTGGATAAGCGCGGCAATAGTTCTCAACCACAAAGTTGTTGGACCTCCTGCACCATTCCACCTGCTGTTGCAGATCAGTGAACGCTTGCGCGGTGGGCTGATTCATGGAGATTATCTGCGCGCCGATGTTATGTGCGTCCATTACGGCGATGCGGTGGGTGATGTTAGACAGACGATCCTTAACCCCCGATATGTACGTGGGTTTGAAGATGTTGAATGTGGACGATGTACTCGGTACGGGGAACGGCGAGACGGCGTGTTCTTCCAGGCATATCAGACGGGCGGTTTTGCGAAAGGAGGCGGTGGAGGCTGATTGTGACGGGTGGTGCGACTCTAGATTCGAAGCATTTGTACGTTGTGATTGTTCGTCACCCATGGTTGCTGCTCTTCATGTGGCTTCAGAGGATGAAGGAAAGAAGACGGAAATCAACGTCCTGGCTGATGTAATTATTGTCTCGTACGGTATGTCGCTGCTTGCTTTGATGAGCGGAAAAATGGGCCTCAGGAGGCAATTGATCAAGCAATGGAAGAGACCTGCGTGCGTGCTTAGTGCATTTCCCCGACGTCGTCGTCGATGAGAACATGTCAGGGGATAGCACGGGTAGCACGGGTAGGCGGCAGTGAGCCGCCGGCTGCATCGCCGACATCGGTGCCGCGTCTGATTTCAACGAATCATGTCGGGCGAGGCTGTGCTCCTTTCTTCGGGATTCGTGAAGGTTTTTCAGAAATTCACACTTCTGCAAACTCGGTTCAATATGCTATCGTTCCACGACCACAAGTACTGAAGAGGTGTCCCGGGGCCAGATCTCGCTCTCACGATGCACGGACACCAGAACGGACGATGTAATGGCTCTGCCTTGCTGGCCTTGTCTGGCATGTGCCCGCCTGACCGCTCTTCTGTTCTGCGGCCCATGTACCAGTCGTTGTGTCTGAGCTCCTTGCAACAGTGGCCTTGAGTTGGTGCTGGTATCCCTCGTCCATCCAGCAAGGAGTAGTAATCCCATTCTGGATCAGAATCTCTCGTGGGAGCTCTTTGGTCTCTGACCTTCCGGTGAAAAACCCTAGGGGCCCGGTCACAAATTATGGTATCGCTCTCAAGGGTCCGCGCGAGCATGATCAGAGTGCAGACAAATTGTCCTGCCAAGAATATCCTTAGGCCGGACTGCCAGGCTGACTGCACAGATGCTGTCAAGCTAGATTCCCGCCTTCGGTTCGCAAGGGGTATACGGCAACGCGACAACACGCGACCAGTCTTCAGCCCCATATGCCGTTCTGGCTTCCAGCTGCGACCTGGACGATCATGTTCCCATCCCAAGGACTATTCTGTTCGTTATCGTTGCGCGCATGGATACTACGGCAGATCGGCATCAACTGCGAAGTATAGAAACGGGCGTCGGACGGTCTCAGAATATCGTTCACATGGCAGCGAGAGTTATCTTGAGATCTGAACCCTTCCGTCGCACAGTCGAAAGCCTCCCTGCACCGATATTTTCTGTTGCATACCGAGCGATCGTGTGGCGAACCATCAGCTGGACTGTCTTGTCTACCACGAAGCAAATCATCAATACCCTGCCCGTTGGATGACAACCTGGCACCTCGAGTCCAATCTCCAAGACCCGAGAAGCGAGACCATCGCATAGCATACAGTACATGCATGGAATCGTCTGTAGGGGACATAGTTGTGGCCTCACGACCACAGAAGTCGTCTCACGGTCGGCCCTCTGATAGATGAGCCAGACTGCCCTGTCCGGGTTGTAATGTCCTGTAAAATGGACAGTGGTGGCAACGGCCCGGATTCCAATTATCCGGCCGCCGCTTTGATTCTTCGTCTCCTTTCTCATCGCACCTAATTAACAATGCGTGAACACAGTGCGTTAGTCATTCCCCGACCTCAGAGTGCTACGAAGTAGTGCGGCGCAGTGCTCCATATGCCCAAGGGTTGCAAAGGTCAGCCAGTGGCGTCTATTTGTGACCATGGCCACGTACAAAAGACGCATGTAGCCCCATGGCCCTGGCGCCGATAGCCTAATAGCCCCGATGGCAGAGAGCATACGACTACGACCACGAACTACTCCGAATCCCCGTACACGCTCTTCTAAACTAACTACTGTCGGTAACTGCGCCCGACTACTTGGCCCGGCTCTCGGCGACCACCTCTATCCCTTTCTTACGCACGAAACATAGGGCAAGTACTTGCCTAAACGCGAACTGCGTACTAGGTACGGAGCACATTATGTACAGCCACATTGCCCCATAGGTACTTACTTGTCCCCGCGAGACACCGAAGTACTACTGTAAGTACAGTATCGTGATGTGATCCAGACATTGCAGTAGTCATTGTCAAATCCGGCGAGCTGTGTAATCAAGTGTACGGAGGACGGAGTGATCGCAAGCGTCCTGTACTCTGTAAGCGAGAAATCCAAGCGAGACCGAAAGCGAGGCCGATACCCGACTTGGACTTCGACATCCGAGTCGTAACCCGACATCCGGACATGCGTCGCTGGGATTGCAGTAAGCCTAAACGCCGAAATCTGGACCCTCAAATGGACGGGTTCGTCATCTCCTCAGATCACGAGACGCGAGTTGTAACGCTTATGGATTAGATAGGTCCTGTTTACTGTGTACGGAGTACTGTAAGTAACACTAGTTCGAAAGTGTGGCGCGTCGCATGGTGTGTACATACAAAGTAAGGACTACCCAGGTATGTGGTCCCCGATCAGTGGGGCATTACTGTAGGCATCAGACATCACACTTCAGAGCCCAGACACCGGGCATTGCGGTCACTCCTCACCACGCGATTGCTTATTGTACCTCTTCGGTACGTAGCACAGAGCGGCGTCTGGCAGCTTTCTTCGGACTGCTAGACAGCTGGCTGTAATGTGCCTGACGCTCGATAGTACGTTCTTCAGCGTAGCATTCAATTTGGCTCCACGAGGAAGTTTGAGAATGCCGAAGGAACAGTACACCATACAGTTTGCTGGTTGCGCAAGATGTACGCGTTCGTGCTCGCCCACGCACATCCATGAGCGCATGTACTGTGCATCGAGCATAGTTGGATAGAGATGGCACGGTATATCATGGTGTGGGTACAATCAAACATGCGCTTTGTGGCCTCTGCTCATTGCGAGTCCTACAATCACACCAAAGCCTGGCAAACGACGTCTAAGTATTGTTTTATACATAGGGACGTGAATCTATCCAGGTACTCGATACAGCACAGCACAGAGACTCAAGGTGACTATCGCCGCCTACGTTCTGCCGCCTACATTCCGCAACTCATTGCGCTCTCCCAAACACCTTCATCCTCTACCCGGCCGCACTCGGTCCTCCACTTTAATTAATCCACCCTTTCGGCCCACCCCAGGTCCCCTTAACCATATACCGCGAGTAGACCCAGGGGAAAAAGTCCTTCTTCAAATGGTAAAACGCCCGTCGCGGGACAGCCTGGTCAACGCCAAACCAGGCGCCAAACGTCTCCTTGGGCTCCCCACCATACTTGAACTCCGCGAGCATGACTTTCTGCTCCCCAGTCAACAGCGGACACGACGTGTATCCATCGTAGGTAGCTTGCTGTTGCTCTCCTGGTATGGACCCCCCCTCACCTTCGAGCGACTGTAGTAAGTTCCGCACAAGGACCGGCGCTTGCGACGTGATGGCCGCGACGGTCTTCGAGGTAGGCAAACTGGAGGCATCGCCCGCGGACCACACGTTGGGGTATTTCTTGTGGCGCAGCGTGGCGTCGTCGACGTCGACATACCCGGCCTGATTTGCGAGCGGACTGTTCTTGACAAAGGCGTGAGGTCCCATCTTGGGCACCGCGTGCAGGAGATCGAATTGCCGCGTGACTTTGTCTGTGCCGTCCCGGCGTGCGAAGGTCGCAGTGTTGCCGCCGTCGATGGAGACGAGGTCGTGCTGGAACAATCCCTCCACGCCGCGCTCCCTGCGCAGTTCGTCCAGCTTGAGACTATATTTCGGGACGCCAAACATGGTGGGAAGGCCCGTCGCAAAGATGATCCTGATAGGCGAGGTCGACGGGTCGGTCGTGTCGTATAGGCCTGTTCGCCTCCAGTGGTCGAGGGCGAGCCACATGATCTTCTGGGGCGCGCCGGCGCATTTGATCACTCCAGCAGGTTGGCTGAAGATGGCGACCCCGCGCTGCAGGCTCTGGATCGTGCGGAACACCTTGTCGCAGGTGTCGTAGCCGTAGATGGATGAGACGAGGGAGGTCGGGTCGGCGAGCGCCTCAGGCAGGCCCTTGATGCTGTTATAGTCGATGTGCATGCCCGGGCACACGACAAGCTGGTCGTACTCGACTTTGTCGCCGTTGGCTAGTGTGACGGAGTTGTCGTCGGGAGAGAAGGCGCCCACTCTGTCACTGTAGAACTTGAGCTTCGGGTCGATCAGGCCGTGCAGTGGTTGTTGCAGTTCTTCCTTGGTTTTCAGGCCGCCGCCCACCAAGGTCCAGCCGGGCTGGTAGTGGTGCCATGTTGCAGGGTCGATGACAGCAATGTCGTGGGCAGCGAATTTACCGGATCGCAGGAGCTGGTGGCTGATGGCTAGACCGCCACTTCCTGCTCCCACGACAACCACCTTGTGACTTCGAGTGGTCAGATTCGCAGGCGACACGGTGGCTAGATGTCGTGTCGTTCTGACATATCTGCAGGGTGCCGCGATGGAGCGCCCGGCACGCCGAACTGCCAACGTCAGGTGGTTCCCAGTCATGTTAGGTAGCAGAAGGCAGCTTGGAAGGACCTACCATGGGCATTCCAGCCCGCTTTAAAAGACAGACAAGTAACGATCAAATGTGGGAAAAGGGTGTCGGGAAGTAATCGGGGAGTGAGCATGAATCTGAAAATCTTCCACAGCCAGTCACAAACTTCTGCTCTTCATCGGCGAGTGGCGAGATTGTCCGGATGTGCGGGATCCACCGGGCGAGGTGCAGTGGATGGCGGTCGGGGGGTCCACGGAGGGTGGCGATCCTTCGGGCTCTACTGATACAGTACCAGGGGGCTTCAGCCTCGCGATCCGTCGGTGATTGCACACTCGACCAGCACGGAGTATGGCTTAAGTATGCCGTGTAGCTCTTCTCGGTTGTGTCATTCCCGTGTCTGTTCGCCTCCGAGTCGGTTAGTCGCATATCCATCATGAACACTCTCCAGCCGCGCGTCACCACTTTACGGTCTATCGCCGACCTCGTATTGGCCTCGACCTCGACCACGCCATCGCACGCCCTGCAGTTTGCTCGATCCAGCAGGCCCCTATATCCATGGCAACCGAAATGTAGAACCACAGCTGCATACAGTACCCAGGCGTCTCCTCGACAACTCCTGGTAGCTACCACAACATCAGCTGGCCGGCCACAAGTGACGCGGCTTTCGTCTGCCAGCACGAAGGGCACTTCTAGTCGTTATTCCCACAATGCGACAACACCTCGGGCGTCACACAGCGTCGCCAGCCCTGTGATCCACGAACCTGTTGTGCACGATGTCTTCGAAGAAACGACAGGCACATGGCAATATGTCGTTGCCGATCCCGCGACGTTGACCGCCGTGATAATAGATCCGGTGCTGGACTATTCTCCAACAACGCACACTGTGTCGACAGAAGCAGCCGACTCTCTCCTTTCCCTAATCATGTTCTGGGGGTACAAAGTGGACATGATCCTCGAGACACACGCTCACGCAGACCACCTCACCGCCGCGTCGTACTTACAGCACCGTCTTGCACTGCAGCAAGGCCACAGACCACTCATCGGCATTGGAAAGCGGATCGGTCAGGTCCAGAGGCTGTTTGGGGAAAGATACGGCATCCCCAAGGACGAGTACGAGGACGTGTTTGACAAGCTTTTTGACGACGACGAGACGTTCGCCATTGGAGGCTTGGAAGCCAAAGCCACGCATCTCCCAGGTCACACGCCCGACCACCTGGGCTACAAGATCGGAAGTAAGCGGGCCCCATTCCTTCACAACGTCCTTCTTCCCCCACATGAGCTTACTCCCTTTTTCTCAGATAACGTGTTCTGTGGCGATTCGATCTTCCATGCGGACATTGGCACCGCGCGCTGCGACTTCCCCGGAGGGAGCTCGACGGACCTGTTCGCCTCGGGACGCAAACTCCTCGCACTGCCGGACGAGGTCAAGATCTGGACAGGACACGACTACCCGCCCGAAGGCCGCGATGCCCCGGTCCCCTGGATGACCGTTCGGCAGCACAAGCAGCGAAACAAACACCTGAGAGAAGGTGTGACGGAACAGGAATTTGTTGCGCTTAGAGATGAGCGTGATGCGAAGCTGGGTGAACCGCGACTGTTGCACCAGTCACTGCAGATGAACATCCGGGCAGGGAGGCTTCCAAAGCCCACGACTTCGGGACCGGCAATGCTGCATCTCCCGTTGAAGGTGAGGGGGTTAAGATGGTAGCGAAGAGAACATAAATGCGACGCGTGCATAAACTCACCTGTATTATCTACGGAATTGAAGACCCGAAGATCGCGCTCGTAACAGCGCAGCCCACTTTGTGATTGTACATTGCGTTGGTAGGGGTCTAGAGCTTCGCGCCCTTCGCAGCATCTGCCTTTTCCATATCTCGCAGGATGCGTTTCAAGGGCTTGCCGGTCGCGTTTCGCGGAACGGCATCCACAAAGGCAACCCCTCCAGTCAATTGCTTGTACTTGGCCAGCCTCTCTCCACAATACGCCTTGACCTGCTCCTCGGTCAAGGCCGACGCGCCCGGTTTGCGGACGACAAACGCCTTCGGCAGCTCCACGTCCGGCTCGTCGTGCTTCTTGATCCCAATCACGGCAGCGTCCAGGATCTGTGGATGGGCAAGCAGGACGCCTTCGATCTCCGCGGGCGCCACCTGGAACGCCCGCACTTTGATCAGCTCCTTCTTCCGGTCGATGATGTACCACTTCTTGCTCTTCGAGTCGCAGTACATGACGTCGCCGGTCTTGAAGTAGCCTTCCCCGTCGACCGCGTCTTTCGTGGCGTGCGGACTGTTGAAGTAGCCTGATATTATCGTCGGGCCGCGGATGCATAGTTCCCCGGGGACGTCAAAGGCCGTGATATCTCGACCGTCATCGTCGATGAGTCTATCGAGAATGGTCAGTCACTAGTATAGACATCGCCGCAGCCACAGCCAGCACCAAAGGCTGCGCAGGGCCTCTCCACAGGCACCAAGCTTACTTGACGTCCAAGTTCGGCATCATGCGTCCCACGCTACCCGTGTCGTCCCGCTCGGGGTAGTAGAACTTCGAGGCCACACAGCTTGTCTCCGTCATGCCCCAGACCTGCGTGAATGACGTGTCGGGACCGAGGATGGTCTGGAGAGCGCTCTGGTGTTCCTTGCTCAGAGGGCCGGCACCACAGAGAACCACCTTGATCGACTTTAAGGAATACTTGTGCAGCGCAGGGTGTTTGAGGACTGCGACAGCTACAGGTGGGACCAGGATCATCTCGGTGAGTTTGTACTTGTCGGTCGATGAGAGGAGAGGCTCCAGCTCAAAACGACGGAGTACGTAGCTTGTGTGGCCAGAGCGTAAGGGTGCGACGTGAGCGGCTGGGACCATGGCCGCGTGAAACAGTGGGAGGTAGAGAAGCCGGCGCGTCTGTGATAATGAGATGTCAAGTTAGTTTCTTGTATCGAAGATACAAGCTGCCCATCCTTTGCATGCCTGTGAGTGACACACCTCGTATGGAACCGGATGCACTTCATTGACGAGTATATGCTGGGCGACGAGGTTGAAGTGGGACAGCGCCGCGGCTTTTGGCAGTCCTGTGGTTCCACTGCTGAAAAGTCTGGCCGCCGTGGTTCTCTTAGAGACATGCTCGTCGTTGAATCGAATCCAATCTCGCTCTCCATGATTCAGAAGCATCCGCCAGGAATCGAATCCCTTGGGGATGGCTTCGTTCTGGTTGTCGAAGATCCACATGTTTGACTGCTGGATGTTGGATTCTTTCGCCCCAGCGAGCACTGCGGGCAACAGATCCGGTTCGACAATCACAAACTTGGTGCAGGAGGTCGTGAAGTGGTGACTGAGTTCGAACTGTGTGTATGCTGGATTCGTCCCCGCAAAGACTGCACCGACTCCGATGATCCCGAGAAAGAGAATTGGATAGTAGATCTAGACAAGTCAGCTGCCTGCATTGGGGACGCTACCAGACATGACTGACGCTGTTGAAGCTGTGGATGCAGACCGTGTCTCCGGGCCTTACTCCCGCGGCATGGAATCCTGCGATCAATTGTCGTATGAGCACTCGAGCTTGGTTTGCTGTAATGCATCTGGCTGGGTCGATGGCATCAACATAGACCTATACTACGTTGTCAGTGTCCTGCTTCGGTGGAAAAGAGCTTGCTCGAACACAGCATAGCCAATGACCTTGAACTCACTGCTTTATTCTGGTCGAATTTTGGCTCATCGAACATCCAGGACAGGATGTCTTTGCCTGGAATCGGCACGGATCGTTCAGCAAGGAACGGCATGTTTCTCTGAACCCGGTCAAGCTGTGAGCCGCCGTGGTGCGCAAGGGAGTCTTCAACTTCAGCTGGCCCATACACACACACACACACACATTTGCACGTTGCAGCCTAGGAACTATTAGCTTCTGGGATCTGGTCGAGCAGCCTCGGCCAGGTTCGGTTCAATTTGTACTGCCGCCGCCTCCGCACGGATACGGAAACCCCAGATTCCAGACCCTCGGATTTCGAGCCCCAGCTTTTGCCCGGCCACCAATCGGGGGTTGGCAGGGGGCCTAAGGTAACTGCTTTGCCAAGTGCTGAGACTTTCGCAGTGTCTTATTCGACAAGCTTGAAGCCCTCCCTTTGCCAAGGGAGGATGACTTTTGGCAGCACGAGTACTAGCACTTGGCACTGTACAGAGTTTCTTGCCAATCGTGCGATACTCAGCATCATCCCACCAGGGTCAGTGTCAAGGAGATGTAACCAGAGAGAATATATTCGTAATTCGTGATGCATTAAGCTCCTCGTCGGACGCTTTGCGTCATGTCCGTGAAGTGATGATGGACATATCTTGTGAGCCTGGAACCCAACCCATGGGAGTCTACACTAGCCATTCTAGCTTTTGAACAACATTTCTTGGAGTTTCATCTCGCGCTGCTAATCAGGCTAGGCTCTATAGTGTATACCTGAACTGGGGGTTCTGTGAAAGCAATCAATGTCAGTAATGCAGCTCAGGACTTCGGAGCCCGAAAAAGGAAGGGGTTCAAGGAGACCCGACATACCATCTTGTCCGTCAAATCATCCTCGTAGGCATGCTCAAACGCCTCTAGCGTACCGGCCTTGTCTCTCTTCTTGTTCTCCCAGACACAAATCATGCGATACACGATCGACAGTAGCGCTGAGATCACGGAAGTGATGACCACAGCTAGGAAACCCGGAGCATATCGGGGAGCATCTTCCGGTTTGAAGAGAAGGGGGCCAACAAAATTGCCTTGAACACAGGCGTTAGCAGGAAGACACAAAGGGCATAGATGGGGACACTTACCAAGACAATACCCGACAAATATCCCAGATGAAGCCAGGGACCGCTTGGTGTACCCAGCCGTGTTCGCGATCTGCATTCCCATCAACACTGCATACCCACCTCCGAAGCTCGCCAAGACGTATGCCCCGAATAACAGACCGCCGGTGCTATCTCTCGGCAACAGCCACAGCAAGAGGCTCGCCAGTATTGTTCCGATCTCACAGATGCTCACAAGATACGCCCTCATCCTGGGTACTTTGTACGCAATGTACGGGGCAACCCATTCGATCGTACCAATGATTGCGCCCGCCGGCATGACCAGCAACAGCGAGTTTAGGGTGTTAAACCCAAAACTCGCAATAATGATTGGCGTAAACGTGCTGACAGGCCCGTTCGCAATCATAATCAAGAAGGCCATGGAGAAGACGATCCAAAACTTCACATCCAGGAGTAGTTCGAAGAGTTGCTCTTTTTTGAAGTGCTTGTTGCGGACGCCTGCGTTGTTTGTCCGCAGGCGAGCGACAGCAATAAAACGCTCTCGTTCGTCGAATCCTTTGGCACGAATGGGGTCAGGCGGCATGAAGAACAGGATAACCACAGACCAGAGGATGGTGAGAGCGCCGGCAACGAGGTACATGTATCGCCAGGGAGACAAAGCGCCGTGGATGTGGCCCAGACCATAATTGATGAGCGGAGAGACGATGGAGACGTAACCAGTGCAGCAGTACCATGCTCTAGACGTTGACACGCATTAGCTCTTCACGGCGGTAAAAGTCTGACTGGTTTTCCACTCACCCCATTCGCAAAGCCTGCTCGTTCTTCTTGTAAAACTGCCCCACAACAAGCATGAACATGGGGCTGATCCCAGACTCCAAGAATCCCAAGAAGAACCGCTGAGCGTAGAGGCTCTGCCAGTTATGGCATGCCGCCGTGCACATCAGGCAAATACCCCATACACAGACGATCCCCGAAGCTACTCGCTCGATAGGGAAGCGTTGAGCCAGGACGATGGCAGGATATGCGCCGACGATGAAGCCGAGATAGAAGATTGAAGCGGAGAAGGAGTAGCGATTCCCGACTTCAAGGTCCAGGTCCGTGCGAAGCCCGAAGAGAGCCTGTAACCAGGGTAAGTACTGTGAGTTCGAGCAGGTGGGGGGCTTCCGCGTACCGCTTGCGACAGCATAGCTTTGTCGTAGTACTGCAAACAGGACCCACAGTCAATACCGCTCGGACCAGAGAAGTGCTTTGATCGGCCATTGACGCCACAGAGTGCTCACCTGTAACCCATACGTAGCACACAGAATAGGGAGGAGGCGCCGATCAATCTTTCTCTTTACGTTCTGCTCCTCCTTCTCAGTCCATGTTTCATCGCCCGTGTAATTGGCAAGAACTTTCATAGCCTCATCATTATGAATCGTGTCGACTGTCTGCGTTTTTTGGAGCTCAGTCGTCGCCTCAACCTGGTTCTTGGTGGCGTCTTCCGCCTGGATGGCTTCCATTTTCGTAGCGTCCGCCATCTTGCGACTCAACGCTTCGAAGACACCGCTGGCTGGAATATGAGTATGGGTACTTTAATGTTGGCGTTTCTCCAAAGTACCTCAGCAATACGAGAGCAAAGCAAGAACAAGCTCTGGCGCCTAGGTGGCCATCCCACGGAAATGAGGAAATCCTTCCAGCCTTTAAGATGGACTTTTGATACCTTCCGGCTACTGGGCCATATGCTCGGTTAAACCATTCCTACCGAAAGTACCAATGTTCCGAGGATATCGGGATGCTTTTCTTGGAGATGCGGGGGATATTGCTGGGCATTGGGGAAATACGAGGTACCAATTCCAGTGATGTACTCGTAGTCCTCGAGAGCGCTGTAGAAGCCAAGGCAGGCGGGATCCGGTTTGTAGGAGCAAGAACGGTGAGTGGGCGCTGTGGGCCGAGTTGACCCCAGACCCTCGCTTAGACAACCGTTGCCCGACCACAGTATACGACCAGCCCCTCGGGTTAAGCGGTCCGACACCCGGGGGAAACGTGCGGGGAATTTCGCAAGGCTATGGGGTACCGACCTCGGTAAGATGTAGTGTCATTCGCCATGGGTGGGCATTTAGGGGTTGGGCTTGCTGGCGGGATATCCAGAAAAGAAGCCAGCTCCGGATGGAAGTGATCAGAGTCAAGATACATCGCCGCTGTCGACATCGCTGAGGAAAGGACTCTCACTCTGGAGGATGTCAAATCTGTCTCATCATGAGCACCCGGGATTGCTGAACAAATTAGTGTTAGACAATGTATCCACTCAAAAGAAGTCTGCTTATCGCCGGTCAATGCGTTTTCTGCAGCCCGCAGTATTCTGGCGGCCCATGAAGCCATCCACCACCACCAGCCCTCACAAAGGTGCGAGACAATGGTATAATTAGACTATGACTGGGACTCGTTCGCAGGCCGACACCGGGGCCCAGAAGTCGTCAGACATCATCGCTGGCCAGGCTACAGCAGGCCTAGTATGCCGCCCTTCGTACGCGTACTCTGTAGACTGTCATGCACATGGTCAATGGCCAGTGAGGTCGAGAGTATCAACCGGAGTAGAGCGAAGATATGAGAAAGCCTGGGATGCTGGTGAAGATAGCCCGATGTTGTGCTTCTTAAACTCGGCAACTCCGATGATCGGTTCGTCAATGATGGCTCCCCTGTGCGTCTCAAAAAGCTTCTTGCAGCCCCTAAGCATCTTTAAATTGTGAAGCATTTCATCAAGGCTTGCCACAGCGAGGTCTGGTAAGGGCGAAGCGTAGATCAAACCACAAGCACGATGGCGAGAGTGAAGAGAATATCGAGGCTCGGTGGCGAGGTGGGGGCGAGTGCGACGTTGAAGAGCTCAGGCCGAGCGCATAATGATCGAATACGCAGCTTTGGGCGTTGTGGACGAAGCGATTCTCAGGTTCTCTCTGGGCCAGGTGGAAGGAGAATAGGGACCGAAAGATCCGAAGATGTTGCTCCGTTAACCTTGATTCTCCTTGATTTGCATTCCCTGCATCCGAGGCGGGACTTCTTCAAGCTGCGAGACGACATGATGAATTCTTGCTGGCCATTCCAGCGTCAACCGCAGGCGGTTAAAAGCAGTATAGCGAAGGCTGCGACATAGGTGTCGCGAGCTCACTTTGAGACAAAGAGCCGGAGCAGGATGGATATGCTGGAGGTGATTGAGAATTGAGGCGTTCACGCGAATTAGGCGGCCGGAAGAGAGCCAATCACCATTGGTCGGAGGCCGCAGCCTCGTGGCTAGTGTACGAGGTACGATAAACGAGCCAATTCACTTTTCCATCGATCGTGATTCTGAATGCACTCCGTACAGTACACAGTACGGGATACGGAATCATATGGGCCAGCCTTCTTGCAATTTTCAGGTCTTTTTGTATCGGATATGACAATTGATGGCTTCATTTTCGGTCCGCTTTGATTCTCCTACGACTAGCAGGGCCATTAACAACCATTACAAGGTGGGCATCAATGAAAGTGAAAGCCACTATGAAAACAACCTCAAAGCCGACATCATTGCCGGTGGCGAGCCCGATTGTGGTAGGCTAAAGCCAAGGTGACAATCAATACCGTGCTGCGCTAGCAGAGAGTCGACAGAGGCACCACCGGAGTTGCTGATGTGGCCTTGGCCCCTCAAGTGAGGCTTGGTTTGGATGAAGATGCCTGGAAGCCAAAGAGAAGCTTCGAGTGATTGCAAGGCATGTTCCACGACGTTATCTGTTTTGCACACCTAAACAACTCCTTGCCGAGTCGAAGTTCTGATTAGAGTTGCCACAATCCCTTCCGACAATTGCTCCAAAGATCAGTCCTTCGTGCCTGGTCGAGGGGACTACCTACGCCGACCACCACTCTCTCCCCAGCAATGCTATTCCGGTGGCTGTCGCGGACCATTTGAACTCGTTCACAGAGAATGCAGGTATCAGGCAGAATTGAGCTGTTGGGAGGGTATATCGACTGGTCATCGCGGCATTCTCTATCGAGACATAGAGGAAGTAGTATGGTAGGATGAAGGATGCAATTTGGCGATGTCGTGATGAATCCCGAAACACGGCACTTCAACACCTGGGCTCAGGCACCCGAATATTTCCAGTCTGGTTGCAGGCCCGAGAGAACACTTCAAAACTGGTTGGAATCGAAGACCGACGCGGAGCTATTGCTTCCTGTCTTTTGGCGCCCTCCTGTCATGGAACATAAAGGACAACGGCTCCCCGCCAGGTAGGTGTAGCACTCTTGAAGAGAAAGCGTTGTTGCGAATCAGCTCTGCCTACGGAGTAGTCCTTCTCTCATTGTTAAAAAAGTCTCCTTCATGTTAGACTACGATTTGCATTTCAAAACACTCGAAGTGCGGTCGTGGGTTCATCACTCCGTTGCCTTATCCTGTCCCACTGTGACATGTCGTGAGAGTCCTTGTCTGTGAAACTCGCACAGCTCCGATCGTACCCAGTCGCAGTCGGACGGTTGGGCTAGATGTCTCTGTTCGTCGTGGTTGGAGGTTAGCACTGTCAAGCTCGCGAGGCAGATTGAGCACGCCCCGCAGCTGGGGGCAGCATTGGGAAGTCTCTCGTCGCCTAGACTCGAGACTTTCCGGCCGGAGAATAAATTTAAGCATCCCCGCGGCTGCCCGGGCCGCAGCTGCAGTCAAAGCCACCGTTCCACACACAGCGGGACTGAGTCCTCACACAGCAGCATTGGTGGTTCTCGCGCTATCGAGTCACCCTGCTGGCTGCTAATCCCCTTCGTGGCCGTCTCTCGACGTGTCAACGAGGGCGGCGTGGTCTAGCTGGGAAGATGTGGATCTCGTGACTTGTGCATGAACCCGACGTGATGCGGCCTATCGCCATTGCATGCGCCTAAGCGAGCCGTTGGTCATCCGCGACGTGTCCCTGGCTCCATCCCACTGCAGCTTCACTTGTACCTTGCTGCCCGATGAATCCACAATAGGTGAGTGACTCAGTCAACGGTGACTGTGAGTTGACTGAGACGACAGAGTTGTCACGCTACATGGTGGAGGAGATTCAAAATGGGTAAGTGGCCGCCAGCTCTTGTGCTTAAGCGTATCGCCATTCTATGCAACAAAGGAGCTCTCATCTCATAATCTCCGCCAGACGCAAATCGTTTCAGACCGCGCACACCGCTGTTCTGCTGCATTAATACCCGTTCTCCAAGGGCCTCACATGGCATCTGAGAGACAGCTACGAAGGATGTCTCAATCAAAAGCCCGACCTGCTCCCGTGAAGCGCTCCTCGAGCCTCCGGCGAGCGTACAATCACCTTTTCCGCTCCGACTCAGCGACTTCGAGAGCCAGCCCCCCACCAAGACCTGAGCGGCTAAAGAGGGCTCCCACCGTACCCGCTGTTCCCGAGTCAAACCAAGCCCCCGAGGCGGAAGACGATGCACTGCGACGAGAACTGCAACAATGTCACCAAGAGCTCGAGGAGGCGAGGGAGATGGTCATGGCGCAGGACCAAGAGCTGTCAACTCTGGAGAGGAACGCACAGAGGATGGAGAGACGCTACAAAGAGAAGGAGGCGGCTTTGACCAGGCAAAAGGCTTCTCTGGAAGAGAATATGGTAGCCGTGGTGGTGCAGCAGATCAAAGAGGCTCAAAAGGCCGAACGACAGGCCGTGAGAGATGAATGTAATCGAGAACACCAAGCGACGCTGGACAGCCTGCATCACAAGTACAAGTCGAGGACAGCAATTCTTACGCAGGAACTGGCAGATGCTCGCGCCGGCGCCGAACGACTCAAAGCCGATTATGAAAATCAGGTCACCTCACTTCGCACCGAGATTGCCTCTCTTACCAATGATCTCGAAACCGCCAAGGCAGCCATCGTTGAAACCAGCGACTCACTGAAGAACATCCAGCAAGCATCAACCACTGCTCTGGAGGAATCGGAAAAGGCAAATACAACGCTGAGGGCGGAGCTAGAAGATCAAATCGCCGCTTTGACCGAGGAACTCCATGCTTCCCGGATCGAGCAACAGAACGCCGGCGTGAGCCTCGAAGACCATGCCAGGCGATATGCGGACCTGCAAAGCACATCCTCAAAAGCGTTAGAAGATGCAGAAACCTCGCTGGCCTCGATACGCACAACACTAGAGTCTCAACTTGAAGCACAAGCCAATGACCTTTCCTCTGCCAGAGATGCACTGGAGACGTCGACCAAGGACAGAGAGGCAGAGAGATCAGCACAGCAGCTTGTTCAGGACGAGCTAGCAGCTGCACGTGATGAACTTGCCCAACTCACCGCCGAACTCCAGAGTCATGGTGAGACGAAGGAAGCTTTAACCGCAGCGGAAGCGCGAATCACCGAACTCACGAACGATTTGCAAGTTCATTCAACCACAAAAGCTGCCCTAGAAGCGTCGGAAGAGCGGGTCGCCCAACTCCTAGTAGACCTGGCGGCTTTTGATGCTTGCAAGCAAGAGCTCGAGAGAGCACAGACACAGATCGCACATTTGTCAACCAACCTCGAAGGCTTTGCTGGGACGAAAGAAGCTCAAGAAGTCGCGGAGGCACGGATAGCAGAGCTCTCCACCCAGCTTGATGGATACGAGCATCTCAAAGCTGACCATGAGACTACCAAGCGGAACCTCGAGGAATCCCAAGCCAAGATTGCCGACCTGACGACAGAGCTAGAGGGCTACGCCGACTTGAAGGAAGCACAACACAACGCAGAAGCTCAGATATCACAGCTCTCTGCCCAAAATGAGCAGCTTACTTCAGACCACGAGGCCAGCAAGCGGGAACTGGAGGAATCCCAAGCCAAGGTCACAGAGCTGACGACGCAGGTCGAGAGCCACGAATCAATGCGGGAAGAGCTAGCGGCGGCGCAGGAGAAGATTGCTCAGTTGTCCGCCGACCTGGAAGAACATGCTCAGCTTAAAGAAGACCGCGACGTACTGAAACAAGAGCTCGAAGATTCTCATGCCAAGATCGCTGATCTGACAACTCAACTTGAGGATTACCACGCAGCTAAGGGAACTCTCGAAGCGGCTGAATCGAGAGTCTCTGAACTCTCCGTTCAACTGGAAAGTCACACTCAGCTCGAAACAGATTATGAGGCTCTCAAGACGGAACTCGACACCGCTCACGCCAAACTTGCGGATCTCGGAACGGAGCTCGAAGAGCACAAGAGTTTCAAGGCACAACTTGAAGAAGCCGAGTCAAAGATTGCCCACTTCTCCACCGAGCTCGAAGAATACATCCAGTTGAAAGAAGATTACGAGAAGGAGAAGGAACGTTCTGCAAGCCTTGCACAAGATATTGATCGCCATTTGGCCGCTGTGACTGCGGCAGAAGTAAAACAACAAGAAGCAGAGGCTCGAGCTGTTGAGGCAGCAGAAAAGCACAAATCCGCCGCCGATGAGATCGATGATCACCTAGCCACCATTGCGGCAGCAGAAGAGAAGCACAAGGATGCTGAAGCTCGTGCTGTCGAGGCGAAAGAAAAGCACATGTCCGCTCTTGGCGAGATTGAGGCTCACCTGGCTGCTGTCACTGCAGCAGAACAGAAGCAAAAGGAAGCCGAAACACGAGCTGACGACCTCGAAGACAAGTACAAGTCTGACCTCGCCGAGCTCGAGAGTTTGAAAGATAATCTGGCCACAGCAGAGTCAGGCCATGCGGCGGCAAAGGAACAAAATGACCAGCTGAGAGGGGATCTCGAAGCCGCTTCGGCTTCTCACGAGGCTGCACAGGCTGCCTTGAATGAGGCGCAGGAGAAGGTACGCCCTCTGGAAGAGAAGATTGAAAGTCTCGAGTCTCAATTGACGGCGGTGACAAAGTCAATGCAGGAGGATCAGGAACATGCTCAAGCGCAAGAAGCGAAACATGCCGAAGAGCTCGCAGGGATTGAAGCAGAGAAGAATAGCTTGGCAGAAGGCATGACGGCTCTGCGAGAAGCGCACGACAAGTTGGCTGCTGAGATGCAATCCGCGGAGGACTCCAAGAAATCTGTTGAGGAGACACTTGCTGGCTTTGAGGAGGAGCGATCGAAGTTCACCTCAGAGCTTGCCGAGCTCAAAGCAACTTTATCAGACCGTGACAGCGAGCTGGAAGCTGTTGTGACGGCCCAGGGTGACGCACGGAAACAACTCGAAGAGGCAGAGGTCGCTCGACATACCGTGAAGGAGAAATTGGCCGCTGTCGAGGCCCAGCTCAGGTCAGTCGAGGATTCACGTGAAGAATTAGCGGAGAAGTGCAAGCAGCTCGAGGAAACTCAAACCAGTCAACAGGCCACGGAAGAGCAACTTGTTCGACTTGAGGAGCAACTGAAGTCCGCCCAGAGCTCGAATGAGGAGCTGAACCAGAAGCTTGATGAAGCTCAGACCAGCCGGCAAGCCTCAGGGGACGAACTAAGCGCACTTCAAGAGCACTTGAAGTCATCTCAGACCTCGAACGAGGAGCTGACCAGGAAGCTCGAGGAATCTCAAGCCAGCCAGCACACCTCAGAAGAAAAGATTGCTGCGCTCGAGGAGCAACTGAAGTCCGCCCAGAGCTCGAACGAGGAGCTTGCCCAAAAGCTTGAGGATGCAGAAGGTTCGAATACGGCAGCCGCCAGCGAGAAAGCAACCCTTCAGGCGCAACATGACGCGGCTATGGATGAGCTTAACAAGGAGCTATCCTCAGCCAAGGAGGCACTGCAGAAGGCGAAAGAAGAAGCAGATGCGACAATCGCAGACCTCGAATCCAAGTTCATTGCCTCTGATGCCTCTCACAAGGACGTCCAAGAGTTGCTGGAAAAGACTCGTACTGACGCCGATCAGTCAAAGACAGAAATGGAAGGCAAACTCGCAGAAGCCGAAGAACTCCACAAAGCCGCCCAAGAAGCGATCACAAAAGCAAAGGCCGATGCCGATGCACTGTCAGGTGATTTCGATCAGAAACTAGCAGAAGCATTGGCAAATCAGAAAGCTGCCGAAGAAGCCCTGGCAAAAGCGCGAGAGGGGGTTGAAGTATCCAGTGCTCGCGAGGACGAGCTTGCCGCAGCCTTAGCCGCCCAGAAATCTGCAGAACAGGCCTTAGACAATGCTCAGACCGAAGCTAAAGCAGCTGAAGAAGCCAGAGCCAGTCTAGAGGCGCAGTTACAGAGGGCTAAAAGCACAGAGGCTGATGCTGAGAAGAGGCTTGCCGAATCCGAGGCCGCTAAAGCTGATTTCGAGGACAAGGTCAAATCGGCCGAAGCCGAAAAGGCGAATGCTGAACAAGAAGCCAAGCTTGTTAGGGAGAAAGTCATGCAACTTCAGGCCGATCTTGAGTCGGCCAATCAAGAAAAGCTTGCCATTGTGGAGAAGTCGTCCAAAGAGCTCGGGTCGACAGAAGCGGAGCTGAAAGCGGCCATTGCAGCGAAGTCAGAAGCCCAAGACTACGTCAAGGAGCTCGAAGCCAAGCTGGAGGCTTTGAAGAACAACGACGAAGACTCAAGCCCCCACCTGAAAGAACTTGAATTGGAGCTCGAGTCCCTCAAAGCAAAAGCACTCGATGTCAACAAGATCTCGGAGGACTTGGAGGCAAAAGATCACGCCATTCGCCAGCTGACCACCAGCAAAGACGAGACTGAAACGCAATTGAAGGACGCAGAGAATAAACTGGCGTCACTCCAAGAAGAAATGGATTCTTTGAAGGCGTCGACGAGATCGTCAAACGAAGAGGCCGAAAAATACCTCGAGAGAAGAGAGCAGGAGTTCAAACAGCACGCCGAGCAAACCACTCAAGAGCTCAATGCGCTGCAAGAACAATTGAAAGCCAAGCAAGACGACATTGCAGAGCTGCAGGCATGGAAGGCCAGGATGGAACAAAAGCTGGACGTTCTTACTCCCTCGACATCCCATTCACCTGATGTGGGTGATATCGAGGATAAGACGTCCACGGTCGCAACCGTGAATGGCGGGAGGGGAAAGAAGAAGAACAAAAAGAAGGCGAAGGCAGCGGCCGACTTCGAGGACGCCATGCAGGAGGCAGCTGCAAAGGAGAACGGTGGGAGCGACTGACGACGTTTATGCTTGATGAGCAATGAATGATACACGACATGATGGATAGTGCTTCATATTTGTCTCGTAGCGGACAGGTTTTTGCTGCTTTTGTTGAGGAGGATGTATCTGATACAATGGTCGTAGGGCAGGGACCAGGAGTCTCTCCTTGACGCCCTCCGTTGCTTTTCGTGTCCTTCTGAGCAACCGTATTTTGTCCCCACTGCGTTTCTGGTCAACCGTAATGAAGACATCACCAGAATCACGTTGAACCACGTGATGGTGACATTAGACCCGCCATTATCGGCACCGGCGTCATTTCTCCGCAATTTGTCAATCGTCAATTTGCCGTCATCCTCGAACGAGGGGCGCAGGCAAAGTATTTCAAATGCCCGGAAGACCCTTCCATGGAGATTGTGGTGAATATATATGTGCTTCTCGTCTTTGTCACTGCTCTCTGCATGCTTCTCAGACGTGCATCTGGCTTGTCTCGATCCAAGCTGACTTCCGCATCTCGATCAATCCCGCGAGTCAGACTCGCGCAGATGTCTTCACACACGAACGGTGCCAACGGGCACGCCAATGGCCACCACAAGACTGAGAACACGTCTACCACCACCCTAGCAGATATACCAAAATCTCACATCTTCACCTCCAAACTCCCAGCAGATCCCCAATTCCCTACGCCACTAGACTCCCATCGCGCTCCACGCCAGAAACTTGGACCTCGAATGGTGCGATCTGCGCTGTTTACATATGTACGTCCCGAACCGACAGAGGAACCAGAGTTGTTGGCAGTGAGCAAGGCAGCACTGCGAGATATCGGACTCGCTGAGAGTGAAGCGGAATCTGAAGAACTCAAGCAAGTTGTGGCTGGAAATAAGATCTACTGGGACGAGAACAAGCCCGAGGAGGGCATCTATCCTTGGGCGCAATGCTACGGGGGCTTCCAGTTCGGCTCCTGGGCGGGCCAACTAGGCGACGGACGAGCGATGTCCTTGTTCGAAACCACGAATCCGGACACCGGCGTGCGGTACGAAGTGCAACTGAAAGGCGCAGGAAAAACACCCTACTCACGTTTTGCCGATGGAAAGGCCGTCTTGAGGAGTTCAATCCGCGAGTTCGTTGTCTCGGAATATCTCAACGCGATTGGAATCCCCACAACGCGGGCTTTATCGTTGACGCTGTGTCCGAAGAGTGAGGTCGTCAGAGAGCGTCTTGAACCTGGCGCGATTGTGTGCCGCTTTGCGCAGAGTTGGGTCCGGTTCGGAACCTTTGACCTCCTCCGTTCGCGAGGCGATCGAGACCTCACCCGTAAATTGGCCACTTATGTCGCGGAAGATGTTTACGGTGGGTGGGAGAATCTCCCGGCCGCCTTGCCGTCCCTCGAGGACAACAAAGAAGCTCATCTCGACCCTGCTCGAAATGTCCCTAAGGACGCAATCCAAGGAAAAGAAGGCGCTGAAGAAAACCGTTTCACCCGCCTGTACCGTGAGATCACACGGCGCACTGCCCTCCTGGTCGGCAAGTTGCAGGCATACGGGTTCATGAACGGGGTGCTCAACACGGACAATACTTCTATCCTCGGACTGTCACTAGACTACGGCCCCTTTGCGTTCATGGATAACTTTGATCCTGCTTACACGCCGAACCACGACGACCATATGCTTAGATATTCCTACAGGGCACAGCCGAGCGTGTTCTGGTGGAATCTAGTACGCTTGGGCGAGGCGCTTGGGGAACTAATTGGCGCGGGCGATAGAGTCGACGACGAAATCTTCGCAACCAAGGGTGTGGAAGAAGAGTTTGCGCCTGTTCTCATCAAGCGCGCGGAAACCATCATCGATCAATGCAGCGACGAGTACAAGGCCGTATTCCTCAGCGAGTACAGACGCCTTATGACGGCGCGACTGGGTCTCAAAAACCAGAAGGAAAGTGACTTTGAGAAGCTCTTTTCCGAGCTTTTGGACACGATGGAGGCACTGGAGTTGGACTTCAACCACTTCTTTCGCCGCCTAAGTTCTGTCAAGATGAGTGATGTTGAGACCAAGGAAGGTAGAGAGCAGACGGCAGAACGCTTCTTCCACCACGGTGGGGTCACTGGCTTGAACGAGACGAATGAGTCGGGCCGCGAAAAGATCGGCGCCTGGCTGGATCAATGGAGGCAGCGCATCATCGAGGACTGGGACGGCGAGGACGCCGACTCCCAACGGTGTGAATCGATGAGAAGAGTGAACCCCAACTTCGTCCCGCGAGGCTGGTTGCTCGACGACATCATCGATCGTGTGCAGAACAAGAAGGAAAGGGACATACTCAAGGGCGTAATGGAGATGACATTACACCCGTTTGAGGATGGCTGGGGATGGAATGAAGACGTGGAAGAGAAGTACTGTGGTGATGTGCCCCGGTTTAGAAGGGCCATCCAATGCAGTTGTTCGTCGTGAGAATCGGTCGACAGAGACGTCCTAGACTGTGCCAATTAGATGGAACAAGTCATGCAGCATATTCATATATATGAATTAATGCGTTTGTCGTTATACATCAAAATGTGCGATCGTTTTCCAGGCATGCGCACTCAGAGTCCAGCATCTGCCACACTTGGGATGAGCAGTCCGACGAGCCACTCATCTCCCGCCCGGTCATCAACAGAAAGTACGAAGTGTCAGGTGGTTGTCAGGACGTGTTTGCGAGTGGTGACGTTGTCGCGATTGAAGGGCAGGACATGTGCCCCGAGCGGGTATCGACGGAGGAACTCCTCAGCCCCAGGCTGCCCCGGAAAGTAGCGTCTGGTGCCTGGTTGGTGCCTGGGCAGCAACCCCCGCTCCACGCGATGCCATTCCTAGCAATACTTATTACTGGACACCGTACTCCGTACACACGACTTGCTTCCAACGATGAGGCAATCTCAGTGCATCGGAGTCAGCCTTGTTGTTGATGGAGTGAAGAGGGTTGCCAATCTTAAGACCTCCAGTATATTATATACCTTGTACAGTAGATATCGTTAGCAGGGATGTGAATATGTAGGTGGTGATGGAAGGTTTGGACACAATAATACGAGTACGGAGTATGGACAAGGGTCTCTCACTCAATCTTGAGTGAAGGTTCCCAGCCACGCGCACTTGTTTCTCTTCGCTTTCTGGTCGTCGTTCGGACAGCGCAAATCTGAACATCTGAACATAGCAAGGACAACCCAGGGAAAATGGCGCCACGGAAGCGAAAAGTTGAAGCGACCACGGTCAACAACGCGGAGTCGACTGTCGACGACAAAGCGCCGCTAAGGAGGTCCAGCCGCCGGAAAGCGGCAGTGCAGGCATCGGACAAGCAGCAGGGGAAAGAGACGACAACACCGGCCGTTGACGAAGACGATGACAAGAAAAAGAGTTCTACTGGACCAGCTAGTAGCGATACTGCCTTGGATGCCGAGGCCCTCCTGGCGGAGCCCGAGAATGCTCCCACCAGTATGCTCATGCTCAACTCGGATCATCCATCCCGGGAATTTACATCGTTCACCATCCCAGCTTCGAACAAGGCTGCAAATGCCCTTTCGTGTCTTCGCTCGCCCGTACGGCACCCGCGATGTCTAATCTTCACGCACGGTGCGGGAGGAGACCTTTCCGCGGCGGCGATGGTGCATTTCTCCGAGGGTTTCGCCTCCTCCCTAGGCGAGGGCGCAGGGCTGGTCATGTTTCCGGGCAACATGAATGTGAAGGCCAGGGCCGCGACGTTTGATCGCGTCAAGCAGCACGAGCTTGGCGAAGAATACATGAAGACGGCCGCTACTCGGCAAGAAGTGTATTTTGCATACGGTGGGAGGAGCATGGGTGCGCGGGCTGCGGTGATGGCGTCGCACGTCGACGAGGATGTGAAGATGCTGGTCCTGGTGTCATATCCACTTGTGGGTCCGTCGGGAGACGTGCGGGACAAGATCTTGCTTGACACCCGGCCGGACGTGGACGTCCTGTTCATATCGGGCGACCATGATAGTATGTGCGACATGGATCTGCTGGATGAGGTGCGCGGGAAGATGAAGGCGAGGACCTGGATCGTCAGAGTGAAGGGTGCTGATCACGGAATGAACCTTCGGGGTGGGAAGAAGTTGAAGGAGGGGACCAAGGCGGTAGGAGGTATGACGGGGAAATTGGCGGCAGGGTGGCTTCAGGAGAGAGACCAAGAGAGGAAGGAGATGGATCTGAGCTGGGATGGAGAGCACAGTGACGTTGTAAGCAGTGGGTGGTTGGCCAGTGCGAGAAAGGGGCAGAGAGAAGAAAAGGGCAAAGACATCATTGAGGAACAATCGTCCAAGACTGGAGACGGGAGTGGAAATCCCAAGAGAAGGAAAGTCAAGATGTAGACTGTGCATAGTATACTCGGATAGTGCTGTTGCACGGGCCACGAGCATTAAGGGCTGTGCTGTTCCTTGGATTCTCTGAGGTGGACTACTCCGTTGATACGATTATGCTGTCGAGACAAGCTAGACAGACGAGTCTTCCTACCTTGTATGGATATATAGGGGCAAAGTCAACCACATCGCCTTCCGTTACTCATGGACCGGCTGTCTGCGCTTTTATCACTGAGCTCCGAGACCGGTAGTCCAAGTCCCTCCGTGTCTAGAATCGCGATAATAGGCGCCGGCCCAGTCGGAGTCGCGTGCGCCAAATATTTCGTCGCGGAAAAGGCCTTCTCAAAGATCGACATATACGAGCAGCGAGACCGAGTCGGCGGCATTTGGAACTTATCCGAACCGAATCGATCAAAGTGTATACCGATACCGCAGACTAATCCGCGGTATGGCCATCACAAAGACGGCGCGTCGTCCTCGGAAGATCTGGAGTCGTTGGAGTTCGAATCGCCACTCTACGACTATCTAGAGACGAATATCCCAAAGGAGTTAATGGCCTTTTCTGATAAGCCTTTCCCCGAGGAGGAACCACTGTTTCCAAGTCATCAGGCGGTGTTGAGGTATTTGGAAGAATATGCCGATGATGTTCGGCATTTGATCCGGTTCAGCACGGCCGTGAGAGATGTCCGTCCAGCTGTGCATGGAGATGAGGTTACAGACACGAATGAGGGATACGAAAGGTGGGACCTCACGGCTGAGGACCTCAAGACCAAGGAAACCATGAGAGAGAGGTATGATGCCGTGGTCGTTGCAAACGGTCATTACACTATCCCGCACGTGCCTGATATCAAGGGCCTGAAGGAATGGAACGCCACATACCCCGGGGTGGTCATCCACTCAAAGGCCTACCGATGTCCCGAGGATTACAGGGACCAAAAAGTGATAGTGATTGGAAACTCTGCGTCCGGACTGGACATAGCGGCACGGATTGGGAAATATTGTCAGAAGCCAGTACTGCTCTCGTCGAGGTCAGTGTCGGCTTTTGGGACCCTGCCAGCACGAGGGAACCGTGAAGATGTCGACGAGATTGTGCAGTTCCTTCCACCACACGAGGACATGCAGAGAGCGGTGAGATTCAAGAGCGGTCGGATAGAGAAGAACATCGATGCAGTGGTTTTCGCGACGGGCTTTTTCTATTCATATCCATTCCTGGCGAACCTGTCTCCCACCATCATCACCGACGGTCTGAGGACAAGAGGCACGTACGAGCATCTGTTCAGCATCGACCACCCGACACTGGCGTTCCCTGTCATCAACCTCAAAGTCATTCCTTTCCCCCTGTCGCAGAACCAGGCGGCTGTGTTGGCTAGGACATGGAGTGGTCGACTCATATTACCCCCGAAGCACGAGATGCGAGACTGGGAGCGAGAAGTGATCCGGAAGAACGGTGATGGGAAGAACTTCCACCTCAAGAGGTTCCCTGAAGACGCGGCACAAATCAACGAGCTGTTTGCACAGGCATTAAAGGCGGAGAGGAAAGACGGACTCGAGAATGACGGTCTTGGGAAACTGGGCACCAGTTGGGATGAACGGCAGGTGTGGATGAGGTCGAGGTTCCCTGATATCAAGGCTGCGTACTCGGCGAAGGGCGAAGACAGGGGCAAAATCAAGAGGATCGAGGAGCTGGGGTTCGACTTTGATAGATGGCGAGAACATGTCGAGGACAAAGACCTGGAGATGTTTCATCGTGCCAAATGTGCACAGACAAGACGGTAGATCTGATAGATCTTCTCATAGATAGAATTGATAGATCGAAAAGAGGAGAGAGATGTGTTGGTGCCATGTGGTCAGAGGCGAAGAAAGCATCTAGCTCTTACATTGGATTTGCTGAACGTCTCGCAATCACAGCCTTGAGCTAAGTCGCTACGTTTGTGTTAGTCCCACGACTTCTTTTTGCTCGCGTGCACTCGATATAGCCGGAGTCTTTCTGTCAGCGTACATGACAAAGTACCGTTAATGGTGTTAAATTATCCTTGTTCAGTGCCCGAGCCTCCTCAGGTCAGTCGCAGTCACTATCCAGTCACGTGACACTCTCCACAGTCTCATCGGGATATCTTCGGGGTTGCCGCTTGAAGCCGCTCGGCTAAGTTGCCCTCAAAGGGCCCGCTTCGATGCGTCGGCGCATAAACAAGCTACCCATTTAGTTGACGACTTGCCCTGTGTATCCTTCTCTCAGGTCCCTTGCGTTCGCCATGCATATACAGATGACCATGCCTTCCCGCGGTACCTGCGACTACCCTTGGGGAAGATAATGACGAATCCGGTGCCTAAGCAGCCTGGGATCGCAGAATACAAGCACACCAGACGCAAAAGCGCAATCTACTCGCCGTGGCGGGACGTACCCTGGGACGAACAGCAAGCCCTCGGTGGAGAGTTCAAGGAAGCTGGCGAAGGCTGTTGGCCTGTTGAGAAGATCCTGGAAGAGCGCATAAACCGCCGGAGCAATAACCGTACCGAGTATCTTGTTCTGTGGAAGAGGCACCCCACGACACGAGAACTTTGGGCGCCGCAGTGGGTACGCATCGCTGGAAGCTTTGCTGGATACATACCTTGGCTGATCGTCATTGCAGGTCTGGGAAGAGATTGACAACAGAGTCATCGACGATTGGAAGGCCGAGAAGAGGAAGAAACGCAAGCGTGGTCGTCTATCCCATGGAAGCGCTGTAGAGCGGCCTGCAAAGACAAGAGCAAGAGTTACTCGCGTGTTGCCGAACTCGTCAAGCCAGTCTGAACGACAGGGCGAGGAAGAAGAAGAAGAAGAAGAAGCTGCTTCTACTTCCGTGTCAAATGCTTCCGCCGCTAGCGAAGAACAGAGGACCCCGGATCTGCCTTCCTCTTCTTTAGAAATAGCCGAAACACAACAAGAACCATTCCAGCCAGCACACCTCTTTGTCGACATCCCTAGGGCTACCGTAAATCTCGAGGACTACGAGTCCCTCCACAGCAGCCAGCTGCACAACTCCACCAGCAGTATCAAGTACGAGTCGTCACCAGTACAGAGCAGGAGGAAGCCACCCACCCACCCTCAACCAGCTACTCTAGGCATTCCCAGCTCATCTCTGTCTACTGGCCCGGAGTACGTCCCAAGCACTCTCTACGACTCTCTCAACCCAACCAGGGAACAGTCATCGCCCCTGGCACCCTCTCCACATCTCATCGGCAGCCAGTCGTCACCTGCCGAATCCCCAAGCAAGTCGCCATTGCAAAATTCCCCCATCATCTCCGCGGTAGACCTCCAGGTCGGCCGCCCAACTCATAACAAGCCGCGCAGTCAAACCGCCCGGTCATCCACTCGGTTCAACAACAGCTCTTATCGCTCAACTGACGGAACGCCAGCCAGATATACGCCTCTGTTTTGCAGTCCGAGTTCCCTCCGCCGGCCCTCGGCTTCTTCCAATTCCTCGTTTGGAGACGAAATTGTCGTCAACAGCATTGAATCTGACGTCGTGCAGGTCACATACACCATGGACATCGACTCAATCACGAGCACGGCCGAGCCAGCAATTGGTCCGACTATAGCTCCTCAAGCTACCATTTACGACACGGCTTTGGGAGGGAGCGCACTTCCTATCCAAGAGTCGATAGAGGACGAGGAGCCGTCTTCCAATGGAGAACCTTCGTCTTCGAACTCCAAGACAAGCTCAAGTCAGCAGTCGATTGAGAATGAGCGCGATGTAGCTCAGATTGCCGGCTTGGTCCAGCCCAGCCTACCTATCCTCGGGCCGAATGAATATGTTTTCACACTGCCATGTGAGGGAAAGATACAGTCAACATACGCCGACATCATCAAAGCCAAGGAGAAGTCCATCAAAAAATTCCTCAGCAGGCATGAATCAATTGGCTCGGCGCATGGCTCTCCAAATCGAACACACGAACGGAACGAGATGAATGACATGATACAGCGTCTACACGACACAGTAACACACATGGATCTGGGACTGCCAGGATTCTCGACCCAGTACTCGGTCAACTCGCAAGAACATGCCGCTTATGCGAACTATGCAGGCACGAAGTTCCTGTTTCTCGGATACCTCGTCGACTTTCTCCACCTCGTCGGCGTTTCAATTGTCATTATGTCCCGAGAGGGACAAATCCAAGACCTTCTCGAGCAATACCTGAAAATGAAGCACGTCGTTGTCAGGCGGCAGGATCGCATAGCGAGGTCGAAGTCACCCGCTACGGATCGACTGAATACGGACTTCTCGGTTGAACTTGTCAGTACTTGGTCCACGCACGAAGTTGATCTTCGCAGCAGGCCGTGCCTAATGATCGCTTTTGATGCCTCCTTTGATGCTCAGGATCCTCAGGTGGCTCGCATACGCGCCCAGTTCCACAGTCCACCCAGACTCATGCCGGTCCTTCATTTGCTGGTAGCCAACTCCTCTGAGCATGTAGATCGTTGTCTTCCCAAAAGCTTGCCGTCGCCGATGAGGCTGAAGGCATTGGTTCGCTATACATACAGCGCCTTACCCAACCTCGGGGGTAAGCCGTTCGTCATTCAGCTGGACTCAGACGTGCCGGAAGGCCGACCTATGGATTTTTCGGATCTTCAGAAGGGCGTGAGGAAAAGCCCCGAACGCAAGATTGCAGAGATTGCCAGAATCGTGGGGAAGGCCGCTGTGTCGCCAGATTTTGGGACATTGTTCACTTTGGAGACCCCTCTGTTGGAGTTGACAGAGCTGGACGAAACTCCGAGCATGAAGCCTAGCAGGACAACCACAAGGCCGGAAACTCCCAGAGACGGCGCAGCTCGATCGAGGACTCCCGTGTCCCGTGCAGACACGCCTTCAGGCAGAAAGCGATTGCTAGATGTTGATGGTGTGCTCCCGGCATTAAACAAACGACAACGCATCACGCCCCTTCGCGACTCAGTTGAGCTCAGCAGTAGCGCGCATGAACCAAACAGCAAACTTACGCAGCTGGAAGAGCAGGTCAGAAAACTTCAGGCAGATCTCGCAGCAGAACAACAAGCTCGTCGAACGGTAGAGCAAGATAGAGACCGCGTCAAGGAGCAATTGACGGAATGGCAACGGGATCATGCAAGTCTCCAACGACGATATGAAAAACGAATGACGAAATGCCACGAACTAGACAGGGAAAAGACCAAACTTCAAAAGACCATCGAGAACAACAAATCGCGACATGAAAGAACGCTGGAGGAAAATGCAACCCTGAAGCAGAAGAATGCAGAATTGCAAAAAGAGCTTACTGCCATACGCGAGGAAATCAAAGCTGGCGGAGGTGACGCGGCGGCATTAGAGACGGCCAGAGAAGAAGCGCGTACACTCCTGGCGAAGACGACTTATCTGGAAAAGTCACTCGAGAACACCCGGAAAGATTTCGAGTTCACGCGCTCTCAATACCAAAACGCATCCAACAGGGCCACCGAATTGGCCGGCCAGGTTACCGACCTGGAAAAGGAGACGGCCGTCCTGGCGAAGCAAGCGAGCGACGAGAAACGGCGCCTCAAGCAGATGAATTTCGAGAAAGCCACGGATCAACATCTCGCCAAGATCGAACAGTCAGAGCTGGAACGCAAATCAAGAGACATCCTGCTCAAGAAGTTGGAGGAGGAGAATCGCCAGTTGAAGCGCAATCGTGGGGTTCAGACAAGAGGATCCAGCGTGCAGCCGCCGGGTAGTCCGGGACTGGATGGACATGGACATGGCGGCCGAGGAACGAGGAGTAGACAGGGAAGTCCTGCGCCGGGGTTATTCCCAAGCACTCACGCGAGGGCTATCGATAGGGGGAGTCTTTTGCGGAATGAGCGCTAGGAGTTGTAGCGGGGGGTGCAGCGATACCAATCGATGAAAACAGTTATATAGGTACGTCTGTACGGTAACCCGGGGCACGATGATGGAACAGGTGGGCGTTGTTGAACGTATGGCAAGCTACATACAGTACTGAGCATGTATGTAGATGAGGGATGAACAATGTCGACGAGGATGCTGATCCAAGTGTACTGACTGGTTTGGACAGGACTGATAGGATCAGGTACTCTATGCACGACACTTACTAGCCAAGGCAGGTGGGAGGGAATGGTCGTTTTCGTTACTGCTCCGTCTTACGCTTTTCCTTATCGACCGAATTCTAGGCTCTGCACCAGAACGGCGTCAGCGGCGAGTGCTGGCAAGGTACGGAATACTTTGTCTTTGAATGCAATTACACCTTGAAGTGCAGAGGCAGAAGCCAAAAGGCAGAAGGCGAAAGGCGGAAGCTTCATCACATTTCTTTCATTCTTTCATTCATTCTCCCTTGCTTGTCCTTTGAATACCATACATAGTACAGAGTACCGGGTACCGGGTACCGAATCAGCCCATGGTTGGTTGACGTGGCGTGGCGTGGCGTGGCGTGGCGTGCTTCCTGCCTGCTTGCTAACCTGCGCACAGGTCATGGTGAAGGTGATGGTCAAGTCCGAGTCTCAGTCTCAGTCCGAGCCCAAGTCCAGTCCAGTCCAGCCCAGTCCGAGTCCGAGTCCAAGTCCAAGTCCAAGTGCAAGCTCCATCCCCCAAACGCCTAGCTCCAAGCTCCAGGCTCCAGGCTCCGAATCATACCCATAAGCCATGATGCCAGTCTCCACGCCACCCGTGCCTTTTGTTTGTGTCCTTGCTAAAGCTGAAGAAGAACCTCACTTCCATTCATTTCACTTAAATCTGACCACAGAGCAGCCTTTGATCATGCCTTCACGTGACGTCTCATTTCGCTTGTTCAGGCAAGTATGCACCTCCCGCGATGACCAGGTTCATGTTGGTGAACTTGACGGTGTAGACGGGACTCTGCTTTGTGAGGAACGCGCTGATCTGATCGCTGGTGACGACCGCATCTTTGGCGCGACGCTTGCCTCCTGCGATGCCTCCCACGCCTACGCCGGAAACGCCGCCCACACCAACACCAGCAGAGCCAGAAGACGTGCCGGATTGGAGATTGAAGTTGGATGGTGCGGAAGTGGCGGTTGCGGATTTCGGACCGCCACCCTCAGAACCTGCCTGCGTGGTGCCGTCGGTGGGTTTTGCGCCCGCCGCGCCACCTGCAGCACTGGACCCGCTGGCCTCTTTCGCCGGACCGGCAACATCCCACGCCCGCACTGTGCAATCAGCCCCTCCTGACACCAAGACCGTCGATTCGGCAGACCAGCTCAGAGACCAGATACCGCCCTTGCCGTGGCCGCGCATCTTCTTGAGGAGTCGGCCGGGGGCGAGATCCCACAGAAGAATGACGCCGGTATCGTCTGCGCTGGCTAGAATTTTGCCGTTCTTCGAACATGCCAATGCCGTGATCATGGAAGTGTGGCCTGTGAACATTCTCACCGGGTTGCCGTTGTTGAGGGCCCACATGCGTACCGTCTTGTCGCTGCTCGCGGTGAACACGTACGCGCTGTTGGGATGCCAGGCGATCACATCGACATCGTCATCATGGCCGGCGAGGATTCTCACTTGTCGGATCTTGTCGGTAAGCCAGATGCGAGCGGTCTTGTCGTGGCCTGCACTGGCGAAGTAGTGGCCGAAAGGACCCCAGGATACACTCCAGCAAGGACCGACGTGTCCTTTGTAGACCACGACGCATTGCCAGACGTGCAGAGACCACAGACGGATTGAGGCGTCGGCCGATGAGGAGAGCAGCCATTGGGGCGACGTATCGGCAGTTGCACCTTCAGTAGGGTTATCGTCAGCGGGATTGACTGTCGCCGGTGCGAACGAGACGGTGTACACGGGTCCAGAATGACCGATCAATCGCTGAGAATTCTGCTTCTGACCGTTCGGTCCTGCTGGGCCAAGCGCACTTCCATCCAAGGTCCAGACGCGAATGTAGGACTCAGAAGTTCCGGCCGCCACGAGCTTCTGGTCGCCGCTGAAGTCCAAGCAGTTGATGCTGTCGTGGGTATTGTGGAAGGTGTACATCACCACACTCAGACCAGGTCCAATGCCACCTGTGCGCGTCTCGATCTTGAGACGATCACGGTTTTCGCGAATCTTCTGCACTTCCATTGCCACATCACGGGCTGTGCTTGGCGGGTATGGGATCTCAGAGCGGCTGGGTCCTTCGTCTTCATCTTCTTGTTTGATGTTGACGAGCTCGTGGGTTTGGACTAACGTAGGTTGGCCAGGCACGGGAGGACACTTCAAGTCGAGTTCTTCCAGATCGCCCCGCACGTCTTCTTCAGCATCTTTCTCCATGGGCAGTTTGCCGAGTTTCAGAGTTGCCAGGTTGTTGCCGACGGTTGGATCGGTAGAGGACACGGCGTTGCCAGGTCGATGACCAGGGATACCTTCGTCTTCGGCAGGCATGTCTTGGCCGTCTATGCCGCGTTGAATCACACTCGCGAAGCTGAAACGGTCATCGGCGCCGCGGTCGGTCTGACGGAGGTCCATATTGTTTTCGACAATGGAGATGAAGAGCTTGTAGCCTTGTTGAGGAAGAGACTCCAGGAACTGCATGAAGTAGACGTACGCAGCACTACTAAGGGCCAGCCGATACTTATTGTCTCGGTAGATTTTGGCGACTTTGTCCTGGTCGCTGTGCTCAGGCAGAGTGATGTGTTCGAGACCTCTCAAGTCATATTCGTGCTCCTTGCGAAAGTCTTCGGCAAATTTCTGGAACAGACGTTGCGCCTCCTTAGGGTAAAATTGCTTGACGAGGTCGAGGTAGGAGTAGACAAAGATCGGCCACAGCAAGCGTCTGATTTCGGGTTTGTAGATGTCGAGAGCATCGTCGGTCCAGGCACGGAGACGAAGAAACATCTCGTAGTATCGAGGCGGACCCGTAGGCTGCGGTCGGAGTTCTCCATCTTTGGGGACTTCCTGGTTGGAAGACTCGGCGCGCAGAGTGGCTTCGGTGCGATGGTATCCTTTCTTTGCAAGGTAGTCGATGACCTGGGAGAACACGTTAGTCAAGGCCAACAGGATTGATACAGATAAAGACATGCGTCAAGTTGAAACGTAGGCGGAGCTTTGGAATCATCCCGAACGGCCTCTTCCCCAGTGACACTTTCTTGCTCAGTGGACTCATCGCTGAGGTGAGGTGAACCCATCGCAGCAACTGGTGCATAGGGTGCCGTCTGCTCAACAGCTTGTTGAGACTCCTCAGGAAGTTTCGAACACTCCCCCATTTTGAAGACAAAGAATGGATGGAGAGGACAGAGGTTTGTGGAGGTCCCGACTGGTTGAGGTAAAGAAGAGATCAAAGTCGCCCCGATTTTTCATTCACACTTTTGTGGCAGGCGTGGAAAGCGAGGGAAAGTCCTTTTGTACCGCACCTTCGACCAAGGCAACAGACATTGGAAGCGGACTGTTGAGACATTCTTCATCCGCAGGCCAGACCTCGCCGAGCCCAAGACATCACAAAATCTTTCTCAGTTGTGATTCCTTTGCTAGAAATGTGGCCGACCGCAACTCGTTTCCTCTCACCGAAGTTGGGCCTCAAGAGAAAGCAGAACACTGGGGATGAAAGAGCAGATCACTCACAATCTGGTTGAGGTTCTGCTGGGACATGCCACTGGAGGCTCCTGTCGTGGCAGGCGCAGGCGCTGATGATGCAGATCCAGATCCGCTGGCGACGCCGTTCACCAGAGGCGCGGTGGAGGCATTGACAAGAGGGCCATTGGGACCAGTGCTTGCGCTTCGTGGCGCTGGGCTGGGCGCCGACATTTTGGCTGTGTGATCATGCACAGCTTGACAATAGCGACCCAGTCGATATCAAGAGTTGCGACAACTGGTGTTGCACGAAGACAAGAAGATGAAGTTTGTCTGAAGAGTGATTGACCTGCAAGGCGACGACGTGAATGCCATACGCCGCTTTACCTGTCTTAGCGTCTTCGGCTAAGTTACTATGTACAGCACTGGCAGTAAGGTGCTGTCTTTGAGGCAGCGAGGTCGCTTCACCACGAACTCCTCCTCACGACTTTCTCTGCTGAGTTGGTGTCGGACAATGTGCAAACAGTGGGTACAACATCTGCGCCAATATGCCAGACGCCGATATGGAGGATGAGTCACCGAAAGGAGGCGAGGGCGAGGTCCCGGTCTTTACACCTGCAACTCGCATTGCTGAATTGAACGACATTGATCGGTCTGTCTCTACACTGCTCTCAGCGGCATCCGATGCCATCGCCATTCTCTCAAATGCGCCGTCGAGTGAAAAGCACGAGGCGGCTCTTCGAAACGCCACAAGCGCTCGAGCAGCGTTTTCAACAGCCGCTGAGACATATTTCTCTACACTCTCCTCTATCGAAGTTCGACTCCGCCGCCAAGTCTATGCATTGGAGGAAGCGGAGCTCATCAGGCCCGGGGATGAAAAGGACGCAAGAAGAGGACGAGCACCGGGTGGTGACAACAATCTGGTCAGAGTCGGTGGTGGTCCTCTTGATCCAAGCTGGCTGAATGCTAGAGCCAGTGACAAGGTTGGCGTTGGGATGAAGAAGGAACTTCTGGCGCAAGCGCGGGAATGGGTCGAACGCCATGGCAAGGACTCTGCTTGAAGGTTAGGGCTGTCAGCTTGGAGAAGACATGAGGTAACAACCCTCCACGGGCAAAAGCTACGAGCCATCGAGCCATCTGGTGCCGGTTTGCGGCGGCCCAAGAAGGCGCCGCTACGGCAGATGAATGCTACGCACAGTGGTGCTGGAATCGTAAAACCGCAATGAACAATCAAACAACTTCGCTTTTCATTTTCTTGTAGTTTCCAATGCTTGACTCTGCCGTCGACGAAGAGACACGCCAGCAACGACCCAATCATGTCGAAGCTTGGCAAATGCCCAAGTCGCGACTTCAGACTTTCAACTCTCCATCTTCCACCGGCACTCACCTTTTCTTGGACATATACCTCAATTTTAGACTAGACGGGGCCCATGTCACCGCACCTCCTTGATCATGGATAGTATTAGTGTCGATGAGGTCGATGCCAACCCGAAAAGACCGGGTATCCGCCGGGAGACTTCGACACCCGCACCACCACCCCCTCCATCACAACCGCCGCCAGCTCCTCCGCCATCCTCAGATCCGACAGACTCGCTGAGCCTTCCTCAATTGAGGCAACTGGTCAGCCAGTTCCCCAAATCGGAAGCAACGCCATATTCGTTCCAGTATAAGGACGCCGAAGACTTTGAGTCTGAAATCGATGAGTGGTTCCATTACACTGAGCTTGACCAGGACCGACAGTATCTGCTCGCTTCTTTGGAGGCTTTCGAAGCCAAATGGACGCTATTCTGCCAAGCGGAAGGAATCTCAGACGATTCAAAATGGTCAGCTGTGAGCGATGACCAGCGGCAAAGATTTGCCTCAAGCTTGATCAACGACCTCGCAGATCGAGACTATGCGCCACGGGTGGATGCCTTGTCCTGCATTTATTACATTCTAATGGGCACCTGGGGTACAACATCAGGCGTAGAGACGAAGGGGGCATCGACTGAGGACGACAACGAGGCAGATAACGAGCGGTCAAATCTCATCCAGATTGAGTGGATGCATAAAGGGGCCGATATTGTCCAGCAAGCTTTACTCATTCCCCCAATCCACAACTGTTTGATTCAGGCATCACATGCGCCCGACTCCGTCCGTTCTCCGCAGTCCGTCGATGTCGAGGACGCTTCCGAAGGAGCCTTCGGCGAGGACGATTACCGAGAACTCAGTCTGTGCCTGTCCTGCTTCTATCTCTTGATTGAGTCGGCGAGGGTCCGAACGGATACAGCTGCTGGACAGGCTATCCGACAGTCCATATCTTCTTTACAGCTCAGCTTTCTTGTCTTCCTTGTTGGCATGATTTCACGATTACGATGGGATGAAACGTATAATATACCCCTCATGCATGCGCTGCAATTGTTCTGGAAGTCCATTCTCCTATTGTTTGGGAATGTTTCCAATCACCTTGAAAAAATTAAAAGCATACTTCAGCCGCGCGAGGATCCCTTCTCGGCGGATGCCGCGCACCCGAAGCTCACAGCGTCTCCCCTGGATTACCACGCATTTCGTCAAGAGATCACCTCGAAATACCCGGCCTACAATCCTCCACCTAACATCATACCCTTGGAGCTTGAGCAGAAGACCATGCTTCCGCCGCTGACAACAAATTCGCGGAACGACGTCTCCAATGTCGCGAGTTCAACTCTGCCTGGCGCAAGATCAATCCTCCATCAACCTGTCCACATCGCCACACCCGCACCTTCTCCGCCTCCGTCTCCCATTGGCCCCGGTGGCAAAGCTGGTAAGAAACAGAATTACCAAACCAATCAGAATTTTCCGTTTCTATACCCCCCCCTTGATAGCACCAGTGACAACATCGGCGGAAAAGGCTCCACGCAGATACAAGACATGATGGTGGGCAAGAAATGGGAAGGTAGTGATGTTCCGCTCTCAATCATTGAAGCCGGAGAGCTGTTCGCCAGTCGTATGAGGATGACGCGAGCGATGCGCCAGCTTTGGAAAGAACGGGATTTGTTCCTGAAGTATGAAAGGGGTTGGAAAGGTGATTTCAAGGACGCAGCGAAGGGTGAGAAGGATGGGAAAAGCGAAGAGGAGCAAGGACTCGACGGTCTGGAGGACTCCGATCTACGGTCGCGCATGCTGGCCGTTGACGATTTCTTCCACTACGCTCTTCCCGACTTGCAGTCCTTGGTCATCGTCATGATGAAAGTCATGCTCACGAACGTACAAGACATTGCCGTTCGAAATGGCGGCGCGCAAGAATCCGCGCAATCAGGCGGACTCAATCGTACCAAGTCGAACTCGAACATGGCTCAAAACCAAACCCTGCCTATCCCTCCACCACCTCCTCGACCGAACGAAATGACGCTGGAAGATTTGGACAATGTCCGCTCCCGAGAGATCAGCCAGAAAGCCATCTCAGGTGCCATATTTCTGCTGCTAAAGTGGTTCAAGGTCTCCCACGTTTTGAAGTTCGAGTACATGACGCAACTGCTTCTGGATTCAAACTACGTGCAACTGACGTTGAAGTACTTCGCCCATCAAAACCTGGAGGACCTCGTGTCATTCAAGTACGATCGCGACGACTTGAGTGTATGGCACTACTGCCACGTCCATTCAGACCACCCACCGCTCTCACCCACTAGCCCGGACGAGAGATCAGAAGCATCAGACGGCGATGAAGCCGTTCCGCCACCCATTGCACGCCACAGACGCTCACCCACGGCCAACTCGGGTGGTCAACCTCCCAACGAACAGACTCAAGATGTACAACAGCAACAACCCCCTGATCAAGGCCGCCCTTCGGTCGACGAGCTCGGTAACCCCCTGGGTCCGATCCCTCAGACTCCGATAACAACCTTTTCATTCCGCCAATTCCAAACGTCGATCCACCTGTTGCGAGTTCTCCAGAAACTCACGCGCGGCAAATCGCACCGCATCCTCTTCCTTGTACAGTTTAAGTCGTCGCAGATTCTGCGTCGCGTGCTGCGCGTCCCTGACCCGACATTGCGACTCTACGTGCTAAAATTGTTCAAATCGCAAGTCCCCTATTGCGGTCGCAAATGGCGCCAAAGCAACATGCGCGTCATCACGGCCATTTATTTACACTGCCGCCCTGAGCTCCGCGACGAATGGCTCGCAGGCATGCACGATGCCAACGTGGAAGGCGAAGTGGACGAAGCTGTACCCTTAGAATGGGCACTCCGTGGCCTGACGTTCTGGTGGCAGAAGCGGCGATACCCCGACGTCACGCGTAAGGGCAAGAAAGGGACAGAGGCAAAGGCGGCAGAAGAGGAGGATGATTTGCATGATATTGATGATGACGAGCGGGACTTTTTCCAGAGGGAGCTGGATGCACTCGGCTGGGGGCTTGCGGCGTTGAGGGTTGCGGATGGGGAGGATGTGGTCTTTGGGGAGGAGGCAGGTGTCAATGGCGCGCACGGCGTCATTAATGGTGTTACGAACAACGTTGTTGACACAGGGGTACCGCAGCCTGCCACCTCAGCGGGAGAGACGCGAACGCCGCAGACGCCGGTACCGCAACCGCAGTGGGTCGTCGCGGATGCGGCGGCGCTGGATAACTGGCAGAATAGCTAGAGACTTCTTCACGAAGTTTACGCGGCGCGGAGAGGAGGAGACGGTGCGTCTGGGCCAGGGTTTGATGCCGATGTGGATGTTGAAGAACTCGATCTCTCAGAGGGTTTAAGCGGGTCAAATGATACCGAGCGATGTCGGGACGGTGTATCAAATTACAGGGCGAACGCGGCACTGGCCGATACGTCGGTAAATCTGGACTGGTGGGAGCCTGGTCAGTGAACGCAGCGACCGCCGAAGCTGTAAGGATTCGGAGCCAGGCCTTCTGACTGTAAGTTCCATGAAGAACACGGTGCAGAACCCAAGTGAAGTGAATCTCTCATGTGACAGGCCTGATGTTGAAGACTCGATTCTTCGACAGCGGCTATTGGGACACTCTTGGCAGTACCTGCTCATACTTCTTTCTTCAGTCGTCAAATGTCATTTCCCTGGACTCCCTTCTGCTCCCGAGTCTTGAGATTCGGTTCCTGCCCCAAGACGCGGTTGACATGGCGCGAGGTCTCTCACAAGAAATGAGGAGAGAAAAGCGTAGAGCCCAGCGACAGCGCCAGAAAGCCAGAAGACGCGAGCGAGCTCAGCACAGCCAAAGCCTCCAGCAGCAGTCGAACAAGCTCTCCGAGGAGACGAAGGTGAAGGCGGAGGAGATCGGGCAAGAGCAGGACATGACAGAGAACCAGCAACCAAAGCTAGAGGAGGTCGACAACGAACAGACCGGCAAGATGAAGCAAGAGCCGCAATCTCAGCCAGCAGAACCGGCGAAGGCGAAGACTGTCCCTATGTCTGCAGATGACTGGCATCCCTCAAAGCTCCCCTCTGACCTCCGTCACCTTCACTTCGGCAGCGCCACGTCCAACTCCAGATCCTTCAGCGTCAAAGAGTAAGTGCCCGCCTCCTTTCCGGCCACGTAGTGCACCGTGCCTAATGGTACCACGCTTACACCAAGCAGCCACCATCTCGACCTCGTCGCCGCCGGCGGAAAGGACTTCTGCCACAAGCTAGAGGCCTTTAGCTGCGACAAACATGTCCAAGGTCACGATCTGACGGACGCAGCGATCACGCGCCTCGCGATGGCATGTCCGAACCTCCAGACCGCCAAACTCACCTCCACGACCAAGTTGACCGACGAATCTGTCCTGGCTTTTCTGACACATTGCCCGGGTCTGCGCACCCTCAGCATTATCGGCAACTATCCGACCAAAGGCAATATCACGGGCAAGCTAGCGTTCGCGGACCTCAAACAGAACAAGGCTTTGGGCAGGAATCTGCACACACTCAAACTGGTGGATCAGCGGGTCGGTCAAGACGACGTGATGCGTCTGTCGCGAGCACGCAAGAATCTCGTCGTCTGGGAGGGATACGTCGTAGGGCATGCCGGGGAGGTTGTCCTTGATGATAGGGACTTGTTGGAGTCCGAGTCTGAGGACGAGTATCAGGGTGAGTACGAGTACGGCGACGGGTTGACGTACTGGGACATTCAGGACGCTCTCCCTGAATGGGAGCGCTGGCATCACTGGTAGCGGCACCCTCGGCGTGCTTTCTCACACAAGGCTCATGCATATGGTCTTTGGTGTTATTCTCTTTCGGGCATGAAGTAGGCGCGGTGTACGCGGAAGGAGAAAATGAGAAAGAGAGCACAGGGATGGCGCACAAGCTTGCTGCGAAGGGGACGAGCCGAGCGAAGGTCCGGAACTCGTTTATTCTCCTGTATGATACATCCCAGAAGCCTTAATGGGCAGAGACATGGCAATTGTGGTACTTCGTCTGTAATAGTCCATTTCTTGACCAGCCTGTGTACTCGTACTCGACTAAGATGGATCCAGAGAAATACTAATCACGTAGCCTTATGATGTTTCAGCCTCGTCAGCCTCGGTCCCGCGCGGAGCCTTGTCGGCTGCCCGCGATTTGAAGCTGTCACTGGCACGCAACGCTGATTACGGCCGTTGACACCGGGCCGTGAGACTCGGCCGTTGCTTGCTCTACACGAGCATCGAGGCCGGGTATATGCTTCACGAGGTCTTATATACAAAGGCTTCCCTTTCTCAGATCCCGATTCCTGCATCTCCGTGATCCTGCCTTCTTACGACCCTCCACACTATTCATCTCCCATTGTTCTTGTGTGTACCTGACACCCACTCACTCATTCACTCGCGCGGAAAGCCACAATGCCACTCCAACCCTCCGAATACCTCTCCTCCGTGTGGAAGCCCGACCTCTTCCGGGACAAGGTCGTTTTTTGCACCGGCGGAAACGGCTCCATATGCAGTGCCCAGGTCCGCGCACTGGTGCACCTGGGCGCGAACGCGTGCATTGTCGGACGAAATAAAGAAAAGACCGAAACGGTTGCCAGAGATATAGAGACGGCACGACCGGGGAGTAAAGTACTAGGCATCGGGAACATAGACGTGCGGAGCGTGGAGAGCCTGCAGAAGTCGGTGGACGAATGTGTGAGGGTATTCGGCGGGATTGATTTCTTGATGTAAGTGACGACGCTTCAGCCAACCCTTGGTTATCGAGCGAGCGAGCCAGTGTTGACGACGTGACGGAACAGCGCAGGTGCAGCCGGCAACTTCCTGGCGCCTCTCGCCCAAATGTCCACCAATGCCTTCAAATCCGTCATGGACATCGACATCCTCGGGTCCTACAACATCACGAAACTCTGCCTCCCGCATCTCGTCGCCTCGGTCAAGAAACACAATGCCACGTCTACGCTTCCCAAATCAGCCTCGGAAACGTCCGGTCCAGGAGGCCGTATCATCTACGTTAGCGCAACGATTCACTATACGGGCCTGCCGCTGCAGACGCATGTGTCGGTCGCTAAAGCTGGTGTTGATGCCCTCAGCGCAAACGTGGCGATCGAGTACGGGCCCTTGGGCGTGACTTCCAACATCATCGCACCTGGGCCCATTGCAGGAACAGAAGGGATGGATCGCCTGTCAAAGAAACACAAAGCGGGAGGTTCGTCGCAACCTGGAAAGCGCATCCCAGTCGGACGCTGGGGTTCGATCAAAGAAATTGCCGATGCGACGGTGTTCTTGTTCAGTGATGCTGCCAACTACGTCAATGGCGATAGGCTGGTGGTCGACGGCGGTGCGTGGCATGTCAATGCCGGGTCGCCTGGTGGGGACTTTGAATATCCCGACTTCATTCTTAGCGGGGCCGAGGTCGATGGTGTTGGGGGGATGAAGAAAAAGAAGGAGGGTGCGAAGCTGTGAGCGAAGAATAATGTCTGTTGGCATCTTTGTTTGGGTGAACGGTACCTAGGAGGCACCGTTGGCGGTATCATCATGTCAGAGGCTCAGCAGTATATGACCCGAGCGTCGACCCTTTGACCTCGATGGTAGCAAATCGCGCGAGGCATCGAATGACTAGGTGACGACCCTGCTGTAAGGTCGAGGAAGCCCTTGCTCTCGGCTGAGCACCATTACTGCAGCTTGACGGAATGGAACACGTCGAGAATTTCTGGCCCTGTGTGAAAATAGCACAGTCAATGAGTGCCTGAGCGTCGGTCGCGTGGAGACTTAGCGGACGGAACCTCGACCCACGTGCCGTAATTAATCCTTCCCGATCATTTACTTTTCTTACCTCAACCTCGTCCTTTCCAATACCTGCGCCGATGACTGTCTGATTGTTTCCTGTGCTGCTACCTGCTGCGGTGAGCTGCTGTGCCGGGTGGCAGGCGCTATCATGGAGACAGCTGGGGAAGCTACGACCATGCCGAGGGACTCAGAATCTTCTCAGAATCTTTTTACCATGCAATTGACATTCGCTGCACCACGGAATCGACAATACGCGAGGAACACAATCTCCTCTCCTAGCCTGATGTATTGCGCCCTCTCTGCGCCCGACATGGCACAGAAATGCGGGTTGACGCCGTCGGGCTCTGTGCCACCCGCTTTAACAGCCTCACTGCAAGATGGCGAGACCTGCGGCTTCGGCTAGGCTTTCCCAGCTTCTCAAGCCACTTCCAACAGAAGGCATCGAGAGACACCTAGCTGCACAGGCCACGACCACCTCCCCTCCCCTCTGCTGGCCGCCGTTGGCCATCCAGCCTCCGGGCGCCACCTTATCGATAGCTCTCTCCCATCCTCCCGGGGTCTCAACCAGGACGACACTCGGCATTCGGGCTGTGTCTGGGCACCCTGAATGCTCGCTCCCAGCTGAGGCTCTTTGGCCTACTCACGTGCCACTGTCTCACATTTCATCACATCCTGGCTGGCGCTACTGCGCACCTCAGAGCCCAGTGGTCCACCAGTTCGACCCTTCCTCCCACCCATGCCCAGCCAGGCAACGATACAAGGCAAACAATGATGGTCCAGGGCGGCGAGCTAGAGTCATCATTCGCTTTCAAAGTCTACCACTACATTACCTGGAGTTCTCGCAAATACCATCTTTGTAAATAGAGATCGCACACACGCTTGCTTAACCGGCTTTGGGGCTCCCCACAGGCCCAGCCTTTTCTGGCAAAATCCTGACCAACATTAGCGGCAAGGCTGGGTGCCAAACGGCTGGCGTTACGAACCATGCCGCTGATCCAGGAAGTTGCGCGTTTGTGGGCGGAACTGCTTGAGAGGAGGGATCACGCGTTTCTCATTCAAGAAATCCTTGGTCGAGTATGGCCGAGAAGTCTGCGGGATTCTCAAGTGATCGACGAAGGCTTCTTGAAAGACGTTGTTCTATTGAAAACTATCTTCGACGTTCAACGCACGCGCATGCGCTACGATCCATCATACAGTTACCAGCCTTCGGACGGCTTCCTGATCTCAGTTAACGGCCTGGTCGACTGCCTCGACTGTCTCTTAGGAGTCGCACCGGCAATAGCCCGCAATCCCCGGATCTCACAAAACATCCGCAACATCTCCCTCAATATTCTTCAACAAACCCTTGTCTCCGGCTTCCGAGCGTCTCTCCTTGCGATTGAGCGATTGAGCAATCCCGTACATTCCGATCCGAGGGTTTCTCGACTCGAAGCCTGCGTTGACCGTTGGATCTCATACGGGTTTCCTGTGGGCGGTGGAGAAAGGAGCTCACATATCTTTCGAAACGCCATTGAGAGTCTTCGCGGTACCCAGGAATCTGAGAGCAGTTGCGACGAGCATGTCCCACTTGATAGACCGGATCGCCCAGGTGTGAGTTGATGTCCAAATGAAGGCAAGATTACAGTGCTGATAATACAGTTTGCTCTCGATTTCAATATGACGAGGTGTGTATCTCAGGCGATAAGCTGCATCACCCGACGATGCGGCCAGGCATTCAGGAGTGCTCTTCTTCTGCTGGATCTTCGACTCATGATCATGGCTGAATGCTACCACCAAGTGAATGCCAATACGTATCAATGTGAGTCCAATAGTTCCTCGGGCTCGACGTCCAGAATCTCAGACACAACGGCTTCCTCGCACGACATGAGAACGATCCTCAACAAGTGGAATGAACTCGGCACTCAGCTACAAGACTTCATGAACACAAGTGCACCCGATGGAAGTTATCCGCTTTCCTCCTTTACCGACTTTGCGGATGCCGTTGAACCCGGTCCCCCGTCTTGCGACGAGCCAATTGAGCAGATTCTGAGTTGGACGGGACAGGATCTCAGCGTCACAATCCTCGCGGGCATTCTCAGAATACAACCTTCTGTATACACCAAGATTTGTCAGGAGCTTCGACTCCGAAACTCCCTCGTCTTCGACACACATGGAGATCTACAGACCATTTTCAGCCAGTTGACCGCACAGATTCAATCATGGGTGTCACGAGCCGGACCTAGGGAGGTTCTCGATTCGCCCGCGCAACACGACGTCTACATACTGGAATGTAGCGAACTTCATCCCATTGAGTACGACACATTTATGGAGCATATCAATGGCCAGGCCAGAGAGGTAAGGGTCAAATGCACAAGCCCCAAGTCGAAAAGACCACTGATATGCGCCAGGCCTTGCGGAGCGGTCAACATGTTATTGACCATGACCTGTACTTTCAGTGCCCCTTCCACCGGTCACCTGCACCATATGTTCGGAAAGCACGCAGAATAACCCCGTTGAGTGAAATCTCTAGAGCGCTGCAAAGAATCGTTCACTCACCGGCCGCGATGAACGACCATCCAGCCAGTGCTGCGGCTATCTCTGATGATCTGGAATTTTCCTACAATGAGCCCGAGCATGTTGAAAGTTCAAACCGGTCAACTGCGAGCAGGGCGTTGTCCTCAAATCAGCATGAGAACGCGACAGTCCCTACGACCTCGACACCCGTGCCACTACCAGATGCATCACCGTCGCTTCGCCCGCCCACTACTGGCAGGGCGACTATGCGAAGCAGGGCCCTTACTACCCTGGGACGGTGGATCAACTCAGCACACAACCGCAGCCAGTCCGAGTCCGCCACAAGCCCGCACATGTCTGAATTGTGGCATGCGCTCAGTCCCGACGCTTCAAACTTGATTGTCTGGTCTCGCCACAGAATCTGTCGCAAACCACTGGCGAACGATACTTGGAGTCAAGAACAGTTCTTGGACCATATCATACTTGCCGCCACAGGGACCACTCACTTCGCCGCGGTCAGCCAAGGGACGGGGGGTTATCAACTGTCTCTTTTTGATGCAACAGGAGGGCCTGCAGGGCAATCCATGATGCGTCTCGATAAGTGTCCCAGAAGTCTGTGCTTTTCTAACGATGGATCCAAGCTGGCTGTAGGCACAGCTTTTGAAGTGAGGATCGTTTCGACAAGCCGGGCCGACTGGGCTCACCGCTATCGCAGGTACAGGTTAATCCCGCCCTCAACAAGCGAGGAACTTGACCGAGGATCTTCGAGCCAGTCAACCCAAGATTCGTGGAACGGACAAGAGCTGCACAGCCAAGCTTCGTCCTTTTCTCCAGACCGGCAACAGCTCTTGGTGGCCACACAGTATGGCCACGAAGAATGCACCATCCTCCTGTGGCTCTACGATCTCGGAGCAAGAGGAGATCGACGAACTCTGCCTCCATATTCCTTCAGAAAGACACTCAGCATGGTAAGTCATGCGCAATCTGGAGAACTTGTCCTCACTTGGGCTTTGCAGCTAACACCTATCAGGTCGCACCAGACGCTGGTTTGACAGCGATACCTTGCTTTCACAGAAGCGGTCAAACCACTTACATCTTTTGCAGGGCTGCGGCGCATCACAGACGACCCAGGGTCGAGAGGATCATGCCTCCCGCTCCAGGCGGGGGCACTAGGTCTAGAGAGTCCGAGCAGATAACCGGCACAGAGGTCTTCATCGATCGTGTGCATACGGCAGTTCCCATATCCGGTGAAGCACCTCGATTTCTCTTGGTCAATGAAAGCAATGAAATATACCTTGTCCGCCGAATCGACGACGTGAGGGCTTGGGCTGCAGAACGAATCCGCATTGACCTCCCCAGACGTCCTGCTTCTGAGCAGGGTGGGGGATGGAGAGTCTCTGTCGCGCCTCTCAGCGCTAGCAATATCACTGCCTTCTATATCTATCAGGGTCAGGGTCACCTTGTTCGATATGACGCCTCAAGGTCTCCGCGAGAACAGTCAGAGGTCGTCTCGCTGGATGCGTTCAACCCAGGGGCTGTGGATATTGTGGCGGAAGCTACATAGCATAAATGCAACCGAAGCCTAGCTGAGATGTCCCATCACTTGAGCCATACCCAAATCCATTCACCTGTCTTGACGATTTTTGTTGACAAATTGTCCTCCTTTCCGAATGCAAGCTTGTCCCGACCATACTTCTCATCCGTCAAATCCACCATCACAGGGTGTCGGAGATACAATGTTGGCTGCAAATGAGGGAGGATCTGACGATGCAGATGCCAACGATAGAGGACACAGAGAGCAACGAATATGAAGACCTGCGGCTGGTCAGACTCCGGCACTTCCAGAATGAAACACGTCCCGTGATTTGGCAGACTTACGCTGATGTACGACGCAACAAAATCCGCGCCGCTGAAGGGGGAGACCGACCGCCAGCCATTGAAGAGTATCAACATCGTGCAGCCGAAGAGTGCACAGCACGTCCGCAATGGCTGCCAGTTTGAGCGATATGGATAGGTCATGGTTGTCTTCTGCCTAGAGTATGCTCTGAGGTCTTGCCCAGGATCGATCGAAGCTCGTGGGATGCGGGCTGCGCCGGATGCTAGTTTCATGCTTCCATCATTCATCAGTCGAAGGCCCTGACAAGAGGACCGAGTACTTACAAGCTTTTGAATCTGAGAAACGTCACACAGGTCACTGCATACACAACAAGCATTGAAACTGTGGAGTTGAGGGCCAGCCGCCCCAGTTGCTTCCAGTTGTTAGCTGCGAAGAAGGCTGAAGATCGTTATGGACTTACGTGCGATGGAGTTTTGCCCGCGGCCAGATATCCAAGAAAGCCGAAAAGCCAGCTTAAGAACACGGCGTTGCGGGGGACGCCCTGGGATCCTGTCTCCTGCAAACGCCCCTGGAACTTCCGAAGAAATCTCGGCCACGCCTTTTCGGAGAGTGCAAGCGCATGCAGAATGCGCGATGACAGGTACAGGGAATTGATGCCCGAGGATGTGGCCGAGAGAATGAAGAACCCGTTGAAGAATCTCGGCCAGAACGTCTTCCCTGCTCGTATCGCTGCCAGCACGAAGGCTGAATGAGTGCCGTTATCCAAGGCCGAGATTTCTCGGTTGACCAGAAGGGGCTCGTCATAAGGAACGTTCAGTCCGACGGTGAAGGTCGCCAAGCTGTACAGCAGAATGATTCTCATGGCAATCTTGCGGCTGGAAATCTTGACGCCTTCAAATGTGCGCAGCTCTCGGTTTTCTGCGGCCGTGACCGTAACCGCTTCGAATCCGATCATCGAGAAGATGGTCAACGTCATGGCGGACCAAACGCCTGCAAGATGTCCCCAGCCTCCGGTCTCCTCATCACCACTTGGTGTTATCCAAGCACGCGAAATGAATCCCCATGGGTCGTTGTAGAAGCGAAAGTGGGTTCCGGTCTCGATATTGATACCAATGTTGAACAGTATCAACCCAACGATGAACACCATTTTCATAAGGCCGATCCAGTATTCGATTTCACCAAACCATCGCACTCGAACGAGGTTGACAGCGAGTGTGAGGACAAGGAATATAGATATCCAGACCGCGGGGTTGACATCACTCGTCGACCACTTGAGCGACGGCTCCGGGTAGTCCAACCTCTGAAGGTCTGCTGGGCTGAAGCCGAATTGGAACAAACCGGCAACTCCTTGCAATTCAGCCGCGATGATAACAACCCAGGCAAACCTGCTTCCGTCAATAACAGATGCCCTTGCCAATGGACAGAGGTGAAGGCAACTCACCAGGACATCCACCCGACGGCATATCCTATTGACTGGTCGAAGAAACGACATGGTAATTCGAACAGCGCGCCCGGGACTGGAAAAAGAGCAGTCATCTCGCCAAGGGCCGCTTGCACCGACCATACGATCGATCCCATCAGGGGATATGCCAGCCATGCCATTCCAGGCCCAGCAAGATTTATGATTCTACCGTTCTGGAGGAAGAGGCCAATACCAATGACACACGAAAACGCGATCATATTGACATGCCGCTCCCCAAGATCGCGTCTGCGTCTGGATCAGTGGACGTCTAGGTCCTCAAGCTGCGTATAACTTACCTCAGTGATGTATTGACTCGCTCCTCGCCAGAATCATCATGAGCATCAATATCAGCATAATCGACCGGTTCATCGCCTCCATCTGAACGCTGTGTATGCTCAGAACCCCGTCGAGACTCAATCACAACAGCGTGAGGCTGCAGGCCATTCGCTGCTAGTTCCCCTTGCGAGGAAGACCCTCGTGAGCTCGAAACCTCTCCATTGTTGCTGTGTACAGTTGTTAGAGGGTATTCATCGTGAGTAGTGGCCATGATCGCACGTAGTGACAGTGCCGGAACGAGTCAACATTGAGCGTCCCATTACTTAGCAGACAGGAGGTCGATTCTTAACCTGACGGACTTCCGGCCACGGTTTGCGGCTCAAGACCCCTGAAACAGCTGCCTATGTTCAAGGCGGCTGCAACCAAAGGTCCGCGACCCAAGGCAGAACTGGACAGCCACTCTCCACGGCGCCAGAATAGGCAAGCAAGGCATCTTGCTGGCGAGAGTCAGTCGGGCGCTCGTATTGAGGACCCACATGTTTTAAATCGCTGCAGGAGGGCGACGTTGTCACATCTTCCATGGGCCGTGATTGGACAAGTGGCGTTCCACCACTTTCAGCCTGACCGTCTGTGCGACCACCACCAGGATCTTTGGTGCCGTCCCAGGGCAAATATCGAGCCAGGAGGTCGAGTAGCCTCATGGGCGTTATTAACGCATTCAACGTGGCCGCCTTTTCTGTTGGCGCTTTTGGACCTGGTTCTAGCCTTTCGCCACTGGCAAGTATTGCCGGTATGCACGTTTGAGGGGAGACGGCAACCATGGCGCGTCAGGCTGAGCGGAAGGCATAAGGACTAACATCTGGAGATATCGCTCTCCGCGTCTCTGACAGGTTATTGATTGATTCCTGCGTTGGAAACCCATTCGTAGGGTTCGATTGAGGCTTGTTGAAGTTGGCATGGGCAAGAACGGAAGCCAGCTGCGAACCATTGACAAGATATGGCTCCGTTATTCTCGGAAGAGTCCTTTCTATCGAGCCTTAAATGCGCTTTGTGCGGAGAACGGAGACAGATCGAAGACTTGACGCTTTGCTCAATCTGCAGTCGAAATAGGGCTTCTCGAAGGTATCTGTGCATCGGTCACTGCCACAGAACCGAATGCGAACATGCTCTGGGCTGCGAACAGGACGGACACTCGTCATGCTGGTATAGCCACATGTCGGGAGCCTCTCTCATGATGCAGGAGGATCACCAGAAACAGAGTGCCCTGGCCGACGGATGCATTCAGGTCATCGTGCCTTCCAGTGTCGATGACAGAACTCAGACTGAACACCATCGGTTCGACCAACAGGCAGAGTGGTTCCGGGTGACCATGGCCAGCCTTACGGCACAAGGCGAAGAGCCTAATCTCCAGGTCACGGACCGTTTCAAGAAACTATGCAATCCCAATGCCCAGTTCAGTCTTGGGCAGTATCCGAGCCTTGTGTCCTTCGTTGGCGATACTGGGGTGGGCAAGTCAACGCTTGTCCGTGCAATGAACACAGTTGGCATTGTAGAACAAATGCAGAAAGCCGGCGTCATGGACTGGAGACATGTATTTGGCTGTCAGCTGCATGGCCCCGTCACGAGGGCAACTTCTGCACGAAGGACTACGCGCCCAACCTCAGTCGGCGTCCACCTTTATCGAGACCAGACCATTGTCCATGTAAGGGACGACCATGGGAATCAAGAGGATGTCCCGATACTCTATGCCGACTGTGAAGGCTTCTCGGCCGGCAGTATGAGAACAGATGCTGAATTAAGCACTGCGACGAGCTCGTCCCGTGGTTCACGGATAAGGTCTGGGTCCCTGACATCACAAACCTCGCACTCAAGGCCGCGCGCCGACTCAAATACACCTCCTGAGCTCCCGGCAGCCCCAGGAATGGAAGGCCCGCTACAGCTAGATCTCGTCATCAAGACGCCCGGCTTCAAGGAAATGGGCAAGGCGAGCGCAGATGTCTTCTACGCTCGCTTCTTGTACGCCTTCAGCGACGTCGTCGTCTTCGTGATCAACGAGGAACAGAAGATGAAGCGAGAAATGCAACGGCTGCTTGAGTGGGCAGTATCTGCCGTGAAGACGTCGAGGAGCAGGAGCTCACCTCGAACCCTCCTTGTCGTCCGCAACGGTCCGAGGAGTCACCACGACTCTTTCTACGATGACGTCGACCTCAAGAACGAGATGTTCCAGGATTTTGGCGACATCTGGGACGATTCGCGCATTCTCACCGACTACAAGGTGGACCATAACTTGAAGTGCAGCCGAAATGAGGACAAGATCTACGACAACGATCAGTATTTCAGGCTCTTCTTCCGCGAGACCACAATCTGTTACATCCCGAGCATACAGAGCGGACAGTCGCCCGATCGCATGTATCAACAGTACTCTCATCTTCGAAGGCTGATCGTGAGTGGCGTCCAAGCAGCTCAAAAGGCTCGCTCCAAGTCATACTTTCGGCATGATGTTCCATCTGCGATCGACTTGATCAGCCAGGCTTTCAGGCACTTTGCGGAATTTAATGAGCCGTTCGACTTTCACGTGGCGGCAAGGAAAGACAACCCGACCCCAATATCCATCCCCGGGCACATTGCCAATCTTCTCCGCCACCTAGGCACCACCAAAGAGAGGTTCTCCAAGTTTGAAATTATTGTCGCGATATGTTTGATCTCATACAACTATCGATCCTCTCGACTCGGTATGTTACAAGGCATGCGATTGACCATTAGCGCTAATGAGCACAGGAAGGGAACCTGCAGACATCTTCGACGACGAACTTTCACACATATGCCGAAAGGGGCTGGAGATCTATCAGAAACAGTTCTTGCGCTGCGCTCTTTCGATGGGCGACGGGACCAGATGCGTCAATTTCGCGTATAACCACGATTGTCATCAGAGTAAGAATGGCCTTATCTGGACTGGGCCCATCGATCGCTCATGTTTCGAGAAAGACGTCGCCGATGTGGTGGAAGGGGTCAGAAAGGCGTTCATTGACCTATACTCCGAGCTGTGGGATGTCAGTGCTCAACGTGGTGCCCCGACTCTAGAATCCACGGCTGCATTTCGACGCAGGATTCTTGGACGAGAGCGCACATCGTCGAATCCCCCTCTTGCGCGGGTTCCAACGCTGCGATCTCAAGACTTTAACAGGGTCGATCTGATATGGTCGGACCTCAAGAGCAACATGACCTGCTTTGCCTGTCTGCAATATGCGCCTGATCATGTACTGCCGTGTGGCCACGGCTACTGCGAGGATTGCGTCAAAGATTTCGGCAAGGTCCTCCCACAAAAGTCCTACCACTATGTAATGGACGAGTGTGTCCTGTGCAATGCCACGGCAGCCGAGTGGCAGACACGGAGAAGTAGAGTGTCTCCGAACGGACCATCAGTTGCGAATGAAAATGTCACGCCAGTCATCAGACTCAATCCTCGCTGCGGAGGGATAAGAGTGCTCACGCTGGATGGCGGCGGCGTCCGGGGCGTCATTGAACTTGCGCTGATTGAGAAGATCGAGCAGAGGATCGGTTTGAACCTGCCCATCTCGGAATTCTTTGATTTGGTCGTTGGCACCAGCACAGGTACGTGAGTCCGGCTGACCATAAGGCTTCGACTCAGCTGATTGAACGATCGCAGGGGGCATCATCGCTCTCGCCATAACAAACTCGCACAGGGACATCAGGACCAGTGCAATCACATCCAACTTCATTAGCCTGGCGAAGAAAGTCTTCGAAAGGGATCGCTTTGGCCACGTTTGGAGGATGGATCCGCTGAGAGTTGTCAACAGGTCCATGGTGCTGAATATCATGATGGTGCTGCGGGTCATCAAAAGCAGGTACAAAAGCAGCACCCTAAAAGACTGCTTGCTCGACTTCTTTGACCCGAATCAACCCATGTTCGGGGGCGCCGTCGTGTCCTATCAGCAGAGAACAGCGAGAGTGGCCGTCACAAGTACCAGCGAAGGATCCCCTTGTTTGTTCACGAACTACAGTCGTGCTTCGTACGCTCGAGCAGACGTCTCCGATGTAGAACATTTGGTGGACAATCGAGGGTTTGAGCGGCAAGACAACCCCGACATGGAAGCGCGAGTCTGGGAAGCGTGAGTCGACATGTGCCAGCTTCTAAGCTTCACCTGCTAACTCGGGCATTTAGAGCCATGGCCACGTCGGCCGCACCGGGTTACTTCCACGAATGGAGAATCGAAGATGCCGAGAATCGAAAACAGCGCAGGGTGCCGTTCCGGGATGGGGCTCTACATTCCAACCTCCCTGTGCAATGTGCTTTGGAAGAGCAAGACCGCATCTGGCCAGCTCATAAAGACTATAAGAAACCTTTGGACATCCTGGTATCCCTCGGCACAGGCAAACCACTCAAGGAGAAAGAAATCCCTCGCTGGCTGGAATTCGCAGGCGTAGGGGACATTGCCGCGGCGTACTACAAGAATGTCATCAACACCGATGCCGTCTGGGACGCCTTTGTCAACACCCCACGCAGCAATTATTCGCCAGGCCGCCATTTCCGGCTGACCATTGACCTGGAAGAGCGTGTCGGACTCGATGAATGGGACAAAATGCACAGCCTGTACGACAAAGTGGGCCAACTCTACGATTCGTCGTCCAAAGACCAGGCGGGAATGTGGAAGAAAATCGACGAGATCGCGTACAAGCTCACAGCCTCGCTGCTATTCTTCGAACCGGAGAAGTGCGAGCCTGTCCTCACGCGCGGGCAGACCCAGAGGCGAGAACAGATCAGCGGGACCATCCTGTGCAGACTTCAGTCGCCGAGTCCTGCGTTGCGCACGCTCATCCGTCGCATTGAAGGATTTTACCATCATGCCGCAAGTCGACATGTGGACACTCCACTACAGTTACCACGAGACTGGAAGAACGTGGCCCTCCAAGCAGAGCAGAATGGACAGCCGTTTGGTATCCCTTGTCGGCTGGACAATGCCGAAGGAGCCGCAGTCCGGCAGAGCTTGCTCGTCAAGTTGAAGCCTCCAGGCGAAGCGGGCGAGGGGTCTTTAGAGCCCATTAGTGGCTTTCCGATCACCTTCCAGGAGTTGAAGGCTGGGATGTTCCAGAGGGGCTTCAAGTGAGAGTGCACGGTAGTCTACCAGCTGCATGCTGTGGCATAGGTGAATCATGATATTGGACGACCGATGAAGAGGTCCCGCCCTAAGCTCAAAAGGAAGGAAACCGAGGACATTGGCACGCATCAGCGGAACCGTCGATATCATCTCGATACATATCGGGTCCGTCTCCGCACGGGCCCATGCCGAAGTTCCGGGCACCTCACTGCTGTGTGGTACAGATGATAAGCTGGCGTTCGTACCGGGCCCCTAGGACCAGCCCTTCTGGATGCCTTTCTCAGGAGCCTCGACACCCTTGGTCACCCTTCCATTGAGTCGGAGATCTTTGGGGATACGAAGTCATGGAGTACATGCCTGCTCCATGTTACTTGGCATGCAGACGACAGCCGCGCAGGGCAACTGACACTGCGCAGCCTGACAGACGGATGGACCGAGGTCCTCCTCCACATCGATACCCCGAGCGCGGGCTATTCTGAGAACCGATCTCCACGACTCCGCATCGCGGCTAGCTACTAGTATCTCTATAATGTACTTATGTCGTGAACGGTCCGACTATGTATCATCAAGGGGATCCACACGCCGTGTCAGCATTGATTCTTAGACGACATCCCTCTAGATCCAGGGTACACCGTGTCTGCGTTTCTTAGACGACATCCCCCTAGCTCCTGGGGCCGTGTCCTGCGGAATCAAGAAGAAGTCATCAAGGCCATATTTACGGCAAAATGAAGCGAGATATCAGCAACGTCACACCCGCCACCAACGGGACACACGACGCGGATAAAGCACACACGAATGGCGACCATACCGAGAGCCAGCCCCTCGATATGGTTATCGTGGGGGCCGGGTTCGCAGGAGTATACCTGCTTCATCAACTGAGGAGACGGGGTTTCAAGGCGAAGATCGTCGAGGTATGCAATTATGCAGTTATTAATTGCCTCTCGTCCTCTCTCCACTGACATGACTCAAACCAGGCCGGCTCCGACCTCGGCGGCATCTGGTACTGGAACCGCTACCCGGGCGCCCGCGTCGACAGCCAATACCCCGTGTACGCGCTGTCCATCCCGGAAGTGTACAAGGACTGGACCTGGTCGTCGCATTACCCGGACCACGCCGAACTGCGCGCCTATTTCGAGCACGTCGAGGACCGCCTGCACGTCAAGAAGGACTGCGTCTTCGACAGCAAAGTCACGGCCGCGACGTGGGACGACACGACATGTCTGTGGACCATCACGTGCGAGACGGGCCGGACGTTCACGACGCGGTACTGGACCGCGTGCACGGGATTCGCGGCCAAACGGTACTTTCCGGCGTGGGAGGGGCTCGACGACTTCAAGGGCGTGATCCACCACTCGAGCTTCTGGCCCAAGGAGGGCGTCGACGTCAAGGGGAAGAGAGTCGCCGTCGTGGGCACGGGGGCTACCGGCGTGCAAATCACGCAGGAGGTGAGTGTGCCAATAATCAGCCCGATGCTATCTAACAGCGAGCTCGATCTCCGCGCGCAACCCAAGCTAACGTGCAATGCCAAATTATCAGTGGGCCAAAGAGATCGGACCGGACGGCCATCTCAAAATGTTCCAGCGGACGCCCAACTACGCGTGTCCGATGAACCAAGTCTTCATGACGAAAGAAGAGCAGCTCAAGCTCGTCGACGAGCTGGCCGATCGGTTCGCCGAGCGGAACAATTTCTACAATGGCTTCTTGTACCAGTGGCGCGACAACCTGACGTTCGACCACAGCGAGGAAGAGAGACGCGAGTTTTATGAGATGCTATGGAAGATGGTGAGTTGGATGCCTAAATATATTTTCATATTCTCAGTGTGATGGTCGGAGTCGTCGTGTTGTCACAGTCTTGCTTGCTCAGCTCTGCTCCGTTCTGTGTGCTCCTGTCTTGTCCTGTCCTGTCCTTATGGCCTATCCATCTTCTTATTGATTTGATCGCAGGGCGGCTTCCGCTTCCTCATGAACAACTACTACGACATGACGCGCGACAGCGTGGCCAACCAGACTGCCTACGACTTCTGGCGCGAAAAGGTCCATGCTCGCGTACACGACGAGCGCAAGGCCGAACTGCTTGCCCCAAAGGAGAAACCTCACCTGTTTGGCGGGAAGAGGTTGTCTCTCGAGCAGGATTTCTACGACCACTTTAATAAGGTACTAATTAGACCGCCCTTTTCTCCTGAGGCTTACTTGTCCCTCATCTCGCTTGGCGCAGGCCACTTGATTGAGTCGGGCAGGATAAGCAACCACCCTTCCCCCTCCCCAGCGGAACTTGTATTGCAAAATGCTAATGCCATGGTCGACCAGCCCAACGTCGATGTCATCGACACGCGAACCAACCCCATCGTCCGATTCACTCCGGACGGCATCGTGCAGGAGGACGGCACGTTCCACGCGCTGGACGTCATCGCGCTGGCGACGGGCTTCGACTCCATCACCGGCGGACTGAAGGACATGCACGTCACGGGCGTGGACGGCGTGGTGCTGGCCGACAAGTGGGCCGCCGGCACGTGGACGTACCTGGGCATTTCGACCGCGGGGTTTCCTAACTTTTTCTTGTGAGTACCTATTGTACTCGACCCGTCACTCGTATGATACTTTCTCGCTCCAGAAGAAAAAAAAATCAAGCCGGATTTTTTCATACGCGTATGTGCGTGTTGTGTGTGTGTGCAGGCGACACTAACGAAATGCTCCTTCTTTAGCACGTACGGCCCCCAGGCCCCAACGGCGTTCAGCAACGGCCCCAGCTGCATCGAGATCCAAGCCGACTGGATCGTCGAGGTGCTCGAGGACATGGCCGCGCGGAATCTGCGCAAGATGAACCCGCAACGTCGCGCCGAGGAACAGTGGCGCGAGTTGGTGTTCGAGTTGATCAACGACACGCCGCGTGGGAAGGTCGACTCGTGGTATAATGGCGCCAACATCCCGGGGAAGCCGCGCGAGCATTTGAACTATGCGGGCGGGATCCCCAGGTATAAGAAGACGTTGGAGGAGGTGAGGAAGGGAGGGTATGAGGGGTTTGAGTTGTCTTGAAGAAGAACGTATGGAACGGGTCTGTCTCCGGGGCGGTTTCTAGTATATATAGGGGCGAGCAGGGATGGTGCTTGCCTGCTGTAATCAGGGCCGAGTCGAGAGGGATGGAGCTCGTAGAGTATGTATGTACACTTCTACACGACGAGGTGGGTTGGTGTCAGGCAGCGTTGATGTGGCTTTGGATGGACTGTACTGTACTGTAGAGGCATGGTCATCTCGATCGTGGTGCAGTGTTGTACCCTGTTGTGACTCTGAAGGCGGCCGGGACCATGTGCTGCGTGTTACAATATTGTGCTCTGTCGTTGCGATTTGGGACATGGCTGTGTGCTGTGCTGTGCGTCACTATGGAGATTCTTTGGACAGTCGCCGGGACGTCTATTGCGCCCTTAAAGGGCCATCCATTGAGAACTAGTCTGTTCTCAGCGATTCAGTATCCCTCTAGCGTAGAACGGGTGAGTAGGACTTGCCAAATGCAGGCGCTCTGTGGTGTGAAGGCCAGAAGTAGTATGACTGACTAGATGGATGCTTTGTCTGCGGACAAAGTCGTATTTTGAAACACACTTCTGCCCTTCCCAGGCCGTCCAAGCTGCTTGCCATACAGAGATCCGTTCACTCCCGCGGTACCGTAAGTGTGGTGTACACCAACATTCTCCAAATCTACCCAGACACGATACGCCTACTCGAAGAGCGCAATCCGATACGTATTGATATCCCCCTTCTCATCCGTCACTCGTAGCAAGTGCTTGCACTCGTCCATGTCCTGGCTCCTCGAAACTCTTACGCCCGCCACAATACCGCCTTTCTCCTCAATGTTAGGCACCTTTTCAAGGGGATGTGACGTCGAATATGCCTCGATAGCGCTCCGCGCGCCGTGGAATTCAGACTTCAAGAACGAGGGGAACAAGCATGATTGGGCCACTTTGTCAAGTCTAACTCCCTCAAGACAGAGCATGTATTGGAATCCTCTCTTCTTGTGGTAATACTTGAAGTCCGTGGAGTCAGCTGGCGCAAGCGGGAACGTGGTGGTCAGAGGTATCCCGTCCCACAGGTACGGGGCGGGCAGGATGCAGGCAACCTCGTTCCAATCGTCGGGAAGGAGGTTATGCTCCGTGACCGGTGGAGGGAAGGTGTATTGGAACCATGAGACCCTATTGTGGTTCTCGTCGTTATGCCACTGCATCAATGGCTTGGTCCCTTCGTACCCCGTGATAAGGAACGTGATCGGATCACAGCGCTCAAGCATGTACTCTATTTTGACAGCCTTGGGAAGGATATCTGTAACGAACTTTGTGAATGAGATGCGCGTGGGAGGTGTGGACAAGCCCGTCTTGTCCAGAGGTGCCGGCTTCGGTTGAGGGTTCCGTGGTTTCGGCTTCACCGTCGAGAAGATGCCGCCAGGCTTCGCGGCAGTAGGGACGCGGTTCTTCCTGGCCGCCGACATGAACATGATAACCTGCTCTGGCAGTTCGGACATGGTGAAGTCTCTTCGTCTGAGGTCGTGCGATGTGATTCCAAGGGACTCCATCAGGAGCTCTGCCGCAAGAAGTTGTCCAGCTTTAGGTGCCGCCTGGGGTCGGAGGTACCGCGCGGGATCATTGACTTCCGACCAGTGTTCTTTGATCTCGGTAAAGTCTTTGCCTGCCTCGATGTCTTGGAGAAGCGTGGATAGTGCTCCGGATCGCAATTGGCTCACACAACCTCTGAAAGATATCGCGGCGTGTAGATACAACAGATTTTGACGCGTGGTCTTGTCCGAGTCTTCCTCCATCCTCTTGTTCTCGCGTAAAGGGAGGAACCAGCGAATCGCAGCCTTGTGGCTGTCAGCGTGCGGGAGCTTGTCCTCCGTGAGGATTGTGAAGGCCTGCCGAATGGTCTTGAGGCTGTAGTCGTCGATGACCCGGCCGATCATGGTCGCAAGCACGGTCACGGGTGCAGATTCGAAGCCGCGAGCCTCTTTCTTGCGGATGCGTGCCTCGGGGAAGTCAACGTAGAAGTGGTTGTATCCGCCTGAAGTTCGGGTTCCGATAGATTTGGTCCTAGGAATGACCTTGAACTCCTCCGACACTGTCGCAGAAGAGACCTTGTCGTAGATTGCTTTGATGGACGCACGGAAGTGATCTGGTCCAGGCCGCTCTGTAGGATCCCAGAGCAGGGGCTGGACAGCGCCTTGGCTATCCACCTGTGCCAGGCCACCGTACCGCTTGATAAAGCGTCGGCATGTCGTGCACGAGTATTCGTGCCGTAGGGAAGGATCCAGATTATCGAGCCATGTGGACCAAAGTGTATCCTGCGATACGTCAACGAGGAAGATGGGAGAGGCGTCCTGGTTGAGTCGAGCAAGAGCAGACTCCGCAGTCACAACATAGAAAGCGTATTCCTTCTTCTCGTCCGCAAGATGTGATGGGTCCGGCTTCTGCTTCCTATCGCGAGACTCGGCTTTGACGTCGACCCAGTCGTCGGCGTTGTCGTCAACCATAGCAGGGTCGGTTGTTGTCACGGCGGGACGTTCGATGGGTGCAGGTTAAGTGATCTCGAAGGGGGACTGTAGCGGGCGAATAATCTCTCTCGAGCACATGTTTGGGGCTCTCGGATGAGATAAAAGTGATATGAAGATGAGTCTGAGGTGGCATGACTCCGAAGAGAGTAAAAATAACAACAATAAATAATTGAGCGTATCGAGCAAGCAAGCTCTTACTCAGACCGTGAGTCACAGAGGCAGTGCGGGCCAAGCGCGATCCTGTAAAGTCTGGAGTCATGTCAGAAACAATTTATACTGAACTCACTGAGACTGCGCCTGCACGATGAGCGGAGGCGCGGCCGCAAACTTCAAAGCCAACTGAGGCGGAGCTGATTCAAAACCGAGGCGGAGCTCATCCACTGCTCATGCCCACATCACCCCGATCGATGCCAGAGACCTTAGTCCTGAGTCCTGACGACTGCTACATCTTGTGCTGGTTCTGGACCGAATGTGTTCAATGTGAGTGTGTTCGCTTTCGTTCGTCGCTCACGCTCGCATCTAATCAAGATTGTTGTTTGGTGTTGCAATTTTGAGAAAGCGAGATTCGCTGGGACTTGGCAAGGCCTCTCCAAGGGAAGGACAAGAGCCAGCCCAGCTTCACATTCACACTTTCCATGCTATTATCCTTTGCAAAAGCAGCCATGACAGTTTGCTCTTCAGCTCGGGTTGACGCTTGCATCCAGAAAGGACATGGACCAGCTCGCAGGATGGGCTTCTGAGCATGTGGTGGAAGGGGGATTCAATGCATCGTATCCATCTGCGATTCGAAGACAATGGTCAATGTGTACGTGAACAGTCCCAAAACTACCTCAACGACAGACATGGCGTCGTAATGAGATGTAAAGGCCGTCGTGGCCTGATTCGAACGTAAGTCTCAAAAGCCATGGCATTCCTATTAGCTACAGAAGACGGCTGACAACGCAAGAACAACAGTTATTGACACCAGCGCTTTCTGTTTCGCGGCTCCGGTGGCCGAGATTCCCCAACCTTGCTGCGCCTGTCCTGTCGAACTCGGTCTGTCCACCCAGGCCGTCGCCTCCGGTGCAACCGGGCTTGTTGTAGCTGCCTGAATTGCACTTCCAGCTGTTGTGGTGGTTGCTGAGGTCCGCTGAGTCGTGCTGCTGGAACTATCTGTAGCCTCGCGGCTCTCACTTGCCAGGCTGAGACTGCTGTAATAAGCCTCCTCACTCTCGATGGCAAGTGAGTAGCTTTCACAGTCGAGGCTTACAAATCGGGACTCGCGGCTAATCGACACGGAATCGGTGGATGTTGCGTTATAGTGATAACAGTCGTTCCAACACCTAGTTACATTGTCGTGGTCAGTGGGAATACGAAGGTCAGTTTGGGGGGAGAGGTATATGCTAACTCTGAGGACCGTTCGAAGTAACCGTTTGTACACATGCAGTATCTTCGCTGGTAAAAGCTCGACTCTCCGAACTCCCTGGAACAAGCATTCTCTGAGCTTGTTGCCAGCTCACAAGGCCCATTCGCATCAACACGGCATCCAGGATAGGTGATGCTCATCTCGTTGGAGCAACCGCTGGCGGGGATTGACTGGTGTTGCGGGCGGTGCAGTCAAACATACCAGCAGTAACTTGAAGGTCTTTGCTGGTCCTGGGAGGTGGTGAGTGCGATAAGTTGTCCATGTTAAAGCGCACCGACGAATCCAGGGAGTACGTCGATCGTCGTGGGGGAATACGAATACGCCTGATGGGCTGATTCGTGCGACAACGGGAGAATGCAGGAGCGCTTGCCAAGGAACTCTATCTTGGTCGGCGGCATCCAGGACGGGCTGGGCTATGAAGCAATATATTCCATTGGAGGAGGGTACGAAACCCGAAAGCGCCAAGGACTCCGGGGCGATAGGCGTACAGACTACGGGGATATGGCCTGGAGTCGCGCTGCGCAAGGCGAACAGAAGTGCCAACGCCTGCGTCGAGGTGGGTGATTGGACTTCCGCGGCGATGCAGGCTCGGGGTCGACTGGTTATTAAGGGGGACGAGCATCGCAACCAGTTTCCGTTCTTTACCCCGGAATATCTGGCAAAATCATACGACAGTTTCGAGAGGGCGCCAGTATCAAGCCGTCGAGATGCTCACCGTCGCCGAGGTGTCCGGCCTCATCGCCGCAGCAGTCATGATAGGTATCCCGACTCACCACTCCTAGGCCTTACGAGGAACGCATTTGCTGACGGTGGGCGCCAGTCCAGTATGGGCTCCCCGCTGCCTTAGTGGTGATTTTGGTGAAATATGTCGGGACTGAGAACACCGCCGTGACATGGTAGGTGATGCGGTTGCATATCAAGCACAGGGAGGTCTAACGACGTCTCAGGTCTGTTGTCAATCGCACCATCTCTACGACCATCTGGCCACACCTTCTTCGCACAGACGCTGCCAACACACGCCAGGTTCCCACGAGAGTCCAGATCCCGAGCTGGGCTGCAACAGCCGGTGCCGCTTTGTTGGTTCTAGCTAGCGTGGTCACACCCCTCGGACTACACGATGAGATCGTGCCGGGCGAATCCACGCTGGTCGAATTCCAATATGTAAAGGATCCAGGTCCCTGGGGAAGGGTCACCATGCCTCGCCCAAACGCCCAGTTCTCTCGCCAGTGTGAAGTGGGCACGGTGATCAATTGTCCAGGGCAGTACCAAGGCGTATACATGGCCGAAACAGAGCCTGGCGTGTGGCGAAGTTTGGAGACGGACGAAAATTCCACCATTAACATCACGATCCCGGAGAACTTCACCACCATGTTTACCAGCGCCACTGCCGACCAAGGGAATACGGTGTCTGGCCTGTTTGATATCCAATATCGTCGCTGGAAGTTCAATCAGGACGGACTCATAAACAAGGGCCAGCCCTACGTCAGAGGCGACAGCCGTACTATCGGAACTCTGATCACACAGGAGCGGATCCTGCTCACAGAAGGACTCATCGTCGATATGAGGGACAATCCGGGAATTGGATTTAGGAACCACACAATACCTGTGGGGCTGGAGCACGGAGGAACCTGGACCGAAGACATCACCTGGATCGAGCCCGTGACGAAGTGTGCTGACACCAACTTGTCCATCGAACTGAGGATCGAGAATACCGTCGACGACTTTTCTAATCAAAATACGTTCTCGATTATCGATAGAGGTGCTTTCTTCGGCCTTGATGTCACGGCGCTTGAGTCACGAGCCTGGATTGACAATCAAACGCTTGATCTGTTCGGCCGTGCGCACAAGGCAGCCCGCATGCACAACGTACTTGTGGCTTCCAGTCTCAACATCTCTCTCCCCCTGGACCAGAGTACAGAGCCGTTGCCCAAGATCCCGGTAACGGACACTGGCAGTGCGTCGCCAGATATGTTCAGTATATCAAGCTTCGATACGATTGTGCTTGATCAGATGAGGGGTGTTGGTGGCGCACCGCCCGAAGTCCCCGAGTATTCTGGAGGGAACACATCTATCCCTTTCGTAAACCACTATCCCGACGGCTTCAAGAAACTTCTGGCGTTGAACTACTCGGCTATCGGTATGTTTCCACGTTCGATGTTGCCCGTTCCGCATTCAGCCCCCAGCCATTCAACACCAAGCTAACGTACCTATCTATATATGTATCTAGCCCAAATATGCAGGGGTTACTATGAGATCGGGGCCACAGACAACGACTGGCGGGCCAACAACATCACCTACCCGGCCGTGCAATGCGGCGCCGTGCTCGGAACTCCCCTGCAGCCACCGAACCAAAACATCTCCGCCTCAACCTACACCGGCATCGAGACCTACCAGAAGAACCTGTACATATGCGCGTCGGCCGTCCGCGCCAGCATCAAGACCGTCACATTCCGCTACAATGGCACGGGCACACTGTTCGGCAATCTCGAGGCCGTGCACATCGCGGACAAGGTCTACGCTGACGAAATGTCCAAACCGCTCTGGGCGGCCGAGCACAGCTACGACCGCGCCATGCGGTTCGACCCCCTCTGGGGCATCGTCGACAACCGCTACCATACAATGGGCTACAAAGACGGTTTCTACACGCTTCACGCCGAGAAGCTCTGGCTCCCCACCAGCCCCTTTCTCACGGGCAACTTCGGCGAGTCTGAAGGCTACGACGCCCTGGCCGCAGCCTCGGGATTTACGCGCCGGCTCGGAAACTTGTACGGTGGCCTCTCGGACCTGGGCGGCCCAGATTACAGCGGCCAACACGACTACACGCTGCTGGAGCGCTACCAGCGGCTGTCGCACAACGCGACCACCGCCGCGCAGATCCCCAGCTTGAAGATGACGGACGGGCTCGCCGCGGGGCTGGTCGGCACCAAGACGTCCATCTCCACAAAGTACGTCGCCTGGCCCGCCAGTCTGGCCGTCGACGACCCGGCGAGCGGGATCCCCCGCGCAAGCGTCGTCGAGTACAGGCGCGTCATTCGCTACGACATCCGGTATGCGATCCCCGCGTTCGTCATGCTCGCGCTGTTGCTCGTCGCTCTCGTGTGGGCGGTCGCGATCCTCTGCTCGTCCCGCCACATCCTCCGTACCCTGCGAAACATGTACAACCAGACCAGCACGGGCCGGCTTGCGGTAAATACACTCCGTCCCGGCCAGGGCGACCCGCAGCAATCGTCGCGTGAGTGGGTGCGGCAGGATGGAGCCCTCGCGTTGAGATTCGGCCAAATCAATGTGCCAGGGGGTGATGATTTCTGCACTGTCGTCGGTGGGTGCGATGATGCGAAAGCCGATTTCTGCCCAAAGAGTGAGTCGTGTCAGCGAGCGTACGATGGTGGTAATTCGGCTCCACGCCGTCCCAGTAGCGACATCCCGCCTGGGGAAAAGAAAGGAATCGCCGAGACATCGATTACGGTCATTCCAAAGCAAGAAAGTATTGGTGCGTGAGTTATTCGAACACCACTGCTGGCAATGAAAGGAGACAGACATGTGCGTCAGGTGTCTAAAATTGCGTTCGTGGAGGGTTCTGAGTCTAGGAAGTCTACTCGAGTATGGCAGCCCTACAACTTGGAGCGCACCGGTACCACGTCCACGTCCACGCTCTCCGCCTTTTTCAACTCCCGCAACTTGGACCTCAGGATCTTGCCGGCCGCTGATTTGGGCACCGCATCGATGAACCGAAGCCCTCCGCGCAGGAATTTCTGATTGGCGACCTTGCATCACGCTCTTGGGCTTCCCCTCTTCGTGCCGGAAGAGTACACAATGAAACGGCCGGCTTGACCACGTGAGGCGTGGCAGATAGTCCAGGACTACGGAGGGTCCTGACGTTTCTGAATTGGGAAGACTGCGCGGTTCCCTCATTCCCATTCCTGTCTCCACCCCCGAGCAGAAGGATCTTGCTTGGCGGAAAACCGATCTCCTTTGCCGCCACAAGGACAACCGGCAGGAGAGAGGGACGGGTGACGAGAAATGTCGCCGCACCGTCGACGAGTTAAAACCCCAGCTCAGAGGGCGTATAGCCGGAATTGACTAGCGAGACGATGCCACCTGCCCAGACCGACCCCCACATGACGACGACGACAGGGTAGTCCACGTCGTTGGGCGAGAAGAGAGCCACGACATTGCCCTTTCTCCAGTCCGGTATGGCCTGTAGGGCTTAGGCGAATCGGATCGTTGCATATCGAAGGGCCCGGTACGTGTGCTCGTGGGGAGCGTCAACGTCGGAGAAGACAACTGTGTGGTGGGCAGTCCCGTTCTTGCCCTGCCCATGCAAGGCCACGCGAGGCAGGCACGGGCAACACAGTTCATAGTCCATAGCTGAGAGCCTAGCTCTCAAGAGATAGACTCAATAAGAGATCGATGACATGCTGCGGTGCCCTACCACAAACTATGTTTGAGCTGATTAGAGGTGAGCAATCAGAGATGAGCAAGGATACGGCGCGGCGACAAGAGCGCAGTGCCTAGATGACAAGGAGAAAGAAGGGGAAGGGAAAGGAAAATGCTCATCTTTGTCATATGGGTACGGTCGATCGGGTCGGGAAAAAAAGAAATCCCAGAAATTCACGTCTGGAATACGCAGCGTTGCATGGCCAGACGCCGTAGGCATTTTGTGGAATATTCCTTGATCGGCTTCAGGCTCGGTCGGTTCTTAAAGGCTGTGGTCGAGTAAGAGCGCTGCTCCGAGAGGGCGCAAGTGAGTCGGAGTCGTGGTTGAGCTCAAGCTCGATCAGTATTATCTACTACAACTGGACACAGCATGCCGCCGACTCCAGGTCCGAGCCTGGCTCTGAGGCTGCCATTCCAATCATTAAGCAAGCAGCCTCAAGACCGAGTAGGGAGCGGTGGAAGACGAACCAGGCTCAGGGTAGATGCATAGCTCTTCCTAGAAGCTGAGTGAGAACATGGAAGCGTGAGGTACGTGCTTGTGTGGGGGTATTGCTGGGGGACATCCCGGCAACAACGTCTGACTTGACCACGAGGTACCAGTATGCATGGAGGAGATTACCCCCACATTCCGACTTCCAACTGACAGGCACGGAGATGGGATCAGGTGGATCGACTGTAGGTCGTATTGTGCATCAACAATCGCCAAATGATGGCGGCGGTCAGCCAAGGAGGGGTTTGGTGTTATCGGAGGCAGACTAAGCCCAAAGTCCAGTCGTTGCTGCTACCCCATTAGCAATATATGACTGGACCTTTGCAGAGAGGACCATTGAGACAAAAACGCCTGTGTAACACTCATGTCCTACACCTAATGCAGGACGCATTTGTGATGGTCTAGCCGAGACAGACTCTGTGGTGGGAGTGGGAGTGGTGTTGGGCTTGAGAGTTAAAGCATAATCTGCATAGAGACTCATCTCTCGCTGACTGGGCTTCACCCGTGTTCATTCATGAGTGAGGACACCATCCCATCACACGCGGCTTTGGACAATGCGTAGAAACTTGAATGGATAGGTATACTTCCTTATGGGCCTTGAGAAAGTTCCAGAGTAGATTCGGGTTCGAGGCATCTCCAACGTTGCACACCTCCATCACAAAGGATATATGTCTGGGCAATCGTTGACCTCCTATTTGCTTCCCTAGGTTATGTTGAGAAATGGCCGCGTCGAGGTCTCGGCTCATTATGACGGCCTCTCGTACCGGTCACCGATAGGTTTGGCAGCATTCTGTGGGGATTGCACAGGCATGTCAAGCAGACTGGCCTGGGCGGCAGACACGCTTCTAGCTCCCGTGCAGGTCGCAGTCTCGAATAAATTTGGCGGGAAAGGAGAGAGCATTGAGAGAGCAATGAGAGACAGGTGAGAGGAAACTGAGTTTGGAGTAAATGGGTGGTCACGTGGTAAGTGTCAGTGAAGGCCGCTTACGTAACCTGGAATTGGAGAAGTCGTGGTTGGTGGCGGCCGACGCAGGCACCGCAGCTTCGGAACGACATCACTCAATCTGGCTCTGGTTGCAAGCATTCTGCCTACTGAATACTGCCATCGACATCCAGAGACGCTGTCAATCAGGCTTTGTGACTTTACTGTCGCGGGTTCTCATCTTCTACCATCTCAAGGACTGATCATACGTGGCCTGACCCCGCGATCGACGCGCCCATCTGAGTGTCTCCCCGCGGTACGGAGTACAGCTCCTTCGACGAGCAACGGCTAGCCAGTCTCGAGACTGTTACTATACTCCCCCATCATAACAGAATCACCACCACGATGCCGTGCCCGATAAGCATCACCAAGTTTGTGGGGACGATTTCCCTTGGTCTCCTGACCGTAAGTGGCAATCCTCGATCGAGAACATAGGCTGATGCATGACAGGGCACATCCTACACTCTTCAATCTATTGTCCTTCCCTCCCTCGCACTCCTACCCTCGGCGTCGCTTGCGTCTCGCACCCTGAGCACAATTCAAACCCAGTCAACCAGACAGATACTCACTTTGGCGTCAATCTCCTCCTTATCTCTGATTACCGCCTTTACACTAGCGTCTCCGCGCGGCCGCCATCCGTACCTTCTGTGGACCGCACTGGTGAGCTTTATCGGCGGGCAGGGAGTGGAGTACTGGTTCAATGGCCTCTCCCGCTTCCCGTCGTGGCGCCTGGGAAGCCGGTCGGATAGCCGAGGAAAGAACAGGCGCGTAGCAGCAGTGAGAGGGCCTAGTCCTTCAGCTAGTGACGACAGCGGATTTATTGAGGTCGAGTCTGATAGCAGCGACGAACACCAGGTCAACGGCGAGAAGGTCGAGCTGGAGATGACAAGAGAACGCAAAGTGCAGAAGGTGCGCAGTTGGATCGCCGGTATCGGCTTTGTGATGGGTGTAGTGGGCATCTGGGGCGACGGTGCTTGAGTTCCGGTGGTATGGGGGCTGGAGGAAAGAGACTTTGGCGTAGATATGTGGAGGTTTCATTGATGCGCGGAGTCAGACTGCGACACGAGAGCGACCAGTTCAAGGTGCGGACAACTTTACGAAAAGTGCGCATTATCACTATACTCCATCTACAAAAGGCATCAGCACGAGGAAAAGGAATTGATGCAATGACGCAGGACGGTAACGCCAGAATTGGAGTAATGTATCAATCTTCAGCTCTCACTTATACAACACTATATCTTACTCGACTCGACCGAGCTCCTCTCGACAACTCTATTAGAGCAACACTGCCATCGAGAAGAGAATCCCACTCAACCCGGGTGTACTGGCGGTTTCTGGTTCACACGTTGCTCGGGGTCGAACTGTCAGCTCCTCTGCCGAAAGACTGGGTGCAGCCTACTTAGTCCTCTAGGTAGTTTGTAGCATTGAATGTAGAATCATGAAACCTCCAGAGCACACTGTAGCCGCTTTAGGAATATGAGAACTTCTGCGCCCGAATATCATGTTCGTCGCTGCTGTGTTGGGGCATGCGATGACGAGACACAAATTGCGGGGTTGAATATTCAAACTCCTCGACGACGACGACGACAACCTCGAGCCGTGCTCTATCCGTTGTTGTCCAAGACTCTCCATCATCGGCAGAGGTCTCTTGCAAGGATAGCGATAGCACGAGATCTAGAGATGTCAAAATCACGCACCTTCTGTCCATGCTAAGATGAGTCCACGATGACAATAGTCGGTCCCAGTCCGCATCGCCATTCATGAGATATGCCAGCCAGCATCGAGCAAAGACGCACGGCGGCGCCCTATCGCTTCACCTGACTTGGGAATCCGCCACCATGGCTGCTCCTCCCGTCAAGAAGGCGTGCGACGCCTGCCACAGGAGGAAGGTGAAGTGCAGCGGCGACCAACCATGCAACAACTGTGCACAAACCAATCTTCAGTGTACCTACCTCGCTATTCCCCAGAAGAAAGGTCCCAAAGGATCTCGTGGTAAAGTGATCAGCGGGATCCGAAGCACTCAGCAAGACACCAACCCTCCCACCGCTTCGGCGTCTGCTGTGCCTTCGTTTGAGAAAGAGCCTTCGTTCGACTTCAGCAGCCCGCCCAAGTCGCCTCCCAATGCGCAAAATGTCTCGCTCCTGAGCAGGCAGACAATCGAAAATTGCATCGACTTCTACTTCAGCAACATGTCGACTACGGCGTGGATTCTTCACTGCGGAGCACTTAAGCATGCCATCGCTTCCCGCCTCATGACCGACCCCGAGCTATACTGTCTCACGGGTTCGATATGTGCATTTGTCATGGTTCAGCCAGGAATGAATCTGGCCGTGGCCCCCGGAAGCTACTATGAGGGTGAGCCTCCTGAAAATCGATATGGCTATGCCAATATGATCCTGAATGACATTATACGCACCCGGAAGTCTATCAACTACGTCGAGGCTCCCACGTTGGTCTCGGTCCAAACAGCCTTCTTCTTGTTCAGCTGCTACTTCACGCTGGAGGAGCAGAACGTATGCTGGTTTTATTTACGGGAGGCTGCCACTTTGGCTCATTTGATGGGCCTGCACGAAGAGTCGTCATACCTACTCAGTGATCCGGTCGACAGCAGGTACAGAAGGCGTATGTATTGGCTCCTCCTTGTGACCGAGCGAGCATATGCCATGGAACGACACCGCCCGCTTACGCTTCACCCAACAATCGAACTGCCAACCACGCATGACCAACAGGAGGAAGATATGATATCGGGCTTTTCATATCTGATCAGCCTTTTCAGTTGTATTGACGATGAATTCATGGCGCTTTGGAACAAAGTCAAAACCGATTGCTCTGCTACCTGGCTGTCCCGGCTCCAGCAACAGCTGAAGGATGCGTTACCCAGTGAGCTCAAAACGACGGAGAGCCAGATCGCCGATGTTCGGGTTACGATGAACTGGCTCCGCATTATGGTATGGCAGCTTTCCATCACGAATGGATATCTGTCCTCGTCCTCGAACGACTCCTCCATGACATTCAAATATCCCATCGAAGTGGCGAGGGACCTAGTTCGAGAGCTCCAAGATCTATCACTCGATGCAATGGAAGTCCACGGCGTCGGATTGATCGAGAAGCTTTTCGACATTGCCTGCACGCTGACCGATGTCATCGCCTGTGTGCCCTTCGACGTGTCGACGAATGAGACACCATTCGACACACTCAACAAGTTACTCAATCTAATCTCACGACTACGCGGCGGCGCATCCCGCTACCTTCCACTACTCCTCACCAAAGTCTCAGAAACACTACCAAGCATAGCTCAACCCGTCCCAGTTGACCTTGACCCATCGCAGCTGAGCATAACGCAAGGATATGCCGGTGCGACTGATAATCTCCCTACCCCAGCACCGGCACAATACTCTTCTCTGGGGAGTTTCGGCCCGGAAGGCTTCACCTTTGGCAGCCAGTATGCTCTCAACCAAAACCAAGAACAGGCACCACAGCACGACAGGAGTCCAGCCGGGCTTATGTTCGACGGGTACAGCCCGAGCGTCGTCGGCACTGAGGCTACAAGCAACCTCACCCCGAGGACGTTGGGGACACCTCCTGCTGGATACTTTGGGTTTCTCGGGCAGATAAATCCACCGCAATCTCTGTATCCAATTCGCCGGAGTGTACCTGTCGGGACAGAACCGAGTACTCAACACGACGGATATGCTGGCTGAAGTTCAGGGAGGTATGGACCTGCCACTATCAGAGAGCCTGTCTTCAGACACACAAGACCGCTAACCCGGAATATTATTGTTGCACCAAAGAAACGGGTCACAAAACCCAAAATTGGCCGGAAAAGTTGGGAAGAGTCGTCGACCGCACCACTTCCTGAGATCAGGAATATCTATCCATCTGTGCCGGTCTTTGATCAAAGGTCATTGTTCTGTGTAGACACTCTGCTCATCCGAAAAGAGAGGTCGTCGAGTTGTAATAGCGACGAAGATATCTTGGCTGATTGGTCACTTTACGCAATCGAAAACTGCCACAGCTTACAACAGTCCGGATTTACCTTTATAAACAGACCGAATCAACATATTGCCGACCGGATGAAGGTCGTCGGACCCTTTCCTCCCGCGCCCTTGGATTCTGACCCCTTGTACGGAGTATTTGGATAGACCAGGTCCGCTGACAAAAGTACCATGTCTACCACGCCATGACGTCGCGGCCCCATGCACATCCTCCATGGCACTTCTCAGAAAGGCCATAAGCTCCGACTATCGAGGACCTACGCGTGCATTGGCATGGATGGGATATGTTCGTTTCCATCAGACCCTCTTGCCGCACTAAGGCAAGACTAGCCATGAGGCGTACTCCGTAAGCACCGCGGAGATCCCGATCCGCAGTGCCAGGCAAATCAGCCCCGTGAGTAGTCGACCGGAGACTCTCCCGACAACATGCATTCATCTTGCTCATCAAACACGGCATGCACAATGCACGTCTCCACACGACAAGTCATCCCGGCTATAGATCTTGGGCCGTGGCGGAGAATTTTCCAAGAAGGGAAGGCAGTCGAAGCTGCTTGCGGAGCGTGGTAAAATACGAGGAAAGCCAGCACTCATGTCTGGGCTGGAGTATTCCTAGTACCTACGACATGGTACCGGTCTTGCGGTGCATACGCTCTGCGGTGCCATCTTCGCTTGGGGAAAGCCAACGACTCGAATGTACTTACGCCTGTATCTGGCATCCCAACATCGAACAAGCAGTCCCAAGTCTACCTCCTCGTCCCTGGATCGCTGGCTAACGCCACAAAGTCCGGTTCAACTACTTGCGGTAGCGCAGCCCAGAAGGACGGCGCCGGGCCAGAGGCCGCTACGCACGAATTCGGCAACTGGTTGAGACTGATGATTGACTGACGATTGACTGACCGGTGACTGCCTTCTCGACCCGCCTCGAGATTCTACGCTACATTACGCACTATAACAGTTCTTATGATTACGGAATCAGAGATGCCAACTAAGCAAGTGACGGGTAACAGAGGATATGACCGGGATAGTAATTATTACGAGCCAGCCAGCCAGCGTGCCAGCCAGAGAACCCAGCATCACATCTGGTTCCACTCCATTTCGTTTCGTCTATAGCCACATCCGCGTCTCACGATCTTCGCTCGTATCCGCTCCGCTCCGCGAAGAGAGAAGCAAACGACGGACGCCCTCACGCCACAGGCCCGCCCACACGCTCGAAAATTCCAAATCCTGCCGTTGTTGTGTCGTCAATCGTTGATTGGTCGAACTGGGGCACGGAGGGGCGATTTACCCCCGGGGCCGCCCTGCCGGCTGGGCTCCATCGTGTGCGATTATGGATGAATGAGTCTGAGTGCAAATCTGACAGGAGGATGGATGCAATGCAGGCTTGCGAACAGCAAGGGGGCAACTACTTAGCCCGAGATTCATTGTGCGCGGATCCTGTACCTTGTACCCAGTATCCTACTATTCCGAGTCAGTGCATCTGCATCTACATCAGATTCGGATTCGGACTGAACGGAGTGGTGTGGTCTGAGTGGAGTGCAGAACAAGGAAAGGCAGTATGTAAGCGATGGTAATACGTACTCGTGCTGAGGTCTCGCTCGAATAAAGTTGAACCGCGTTTTTATGTCCCCACGTCCCGCGTCTGCGGCGACGGTGTAACCGGGGGGAAGGTTCAAAGCGAAGACGGATCTCCGCCCAGAGCCTGTTGAAGGAGGGACTCGAAGTAGCCTTCGTCAATGACGGCGCCGAATCTATACAGAAAGCCGGGGAAAACAAATTAATCAAACAGATCCCTCACAAATTGATTTTGACGGGGGTAAATGTGTGTTGGTTGGTCTAGCGTCTGCTTTTTTCATGCTGCCCGGCCCGCCCAGCCCAACAAGGATGCATTCCATCCCACCATTCATTCGGTCATTCATTCCACAAACACCGTGGACAGCAAGACCGAAACCAAACCAAATAAATAACCCTACGTCCATCTGGCCCACCAGACACGGGCAGAGAGGAGAGGAGAAGGGCATAGCATAGATTGTTGGGTGGCGCAGGTTAGGATCACGGAAAAGCCAAAAAGGGTACAGGTATATAGGGATCAGGATCATATAGCTCACCCGTAACACGTCACTTCGGGCAGGAGCGTCTGCTTCAGAGTTTCCAGCCCGTCCCTGGTCAAGCCGTCAAAGTTGGGATGTTGTCGGATCCGCTGCCACGCTTCGACCGGCGTGATCTCCCCTTCCAGAGACAGTCTGTCCGAAAAGTCGAGCAGTTTCTCCAGTTCGATTGCGGGGACGGACCAGCGTGTGCCCGAGGGGAGACCGGAGCTCGTCTGTGCCGGTGGCGGTGCCTGTGCGGTGAGTCTCGTCGCTGCTGGACTGGGTTGTTGTTGTTGTTGTTGTTGTTGCTGTCGTCGTGTTGTGGTGCGGCCCGTGGCTTGAGGCGCAGGACTGTGCCACATGATGGGACTCATGAGCATCATGCCGTGGCCGGAACCGTCGTCGGCGTTGGCGTGTTCGGTGTGATGTTCTAGGCAGACGTGCTCGAGGGCGAGCACAAAGTCGACTCCCACCTGCGTGGCGCCGAGTCCTTGCGGATGGGGCATTGTGGTGGAAATCGGCGGAGCGGGCGGAGCAGAGCTGGCGGTTTGGGAATAGATGGACGGCGCGTGCAGCGAGGTCGGTGCTTCGCTGATGGTCAGGCCCGAGAAGAGATCGCTCGAGGATGTGGTCGAGCCGGCGGACTGAAGAGGGTTGTTGGTGTATGAGAGGTCGGCGGACGACGATAATATATTATTATTGACTTGCTGCTGCTGCTGCAGTGGCGAAGACGAGCCCCCCAGGAAGTACGATTCAGGAGGCGGCATCTGGGCACGAATGGTCTGATGGTTGGGGAATCCAAGTAATTCAATCGTCGCCTGCGGGCTCTGGAAATTCGGATCCGATGCCAGATCCTGGGGGAGCGGGATTTTGTGATACTTGATCAATTCTTTGAGTCGGCGGATGGTCATGCGGTAGGCGAGGAGTTCGGCCTCGTGCGCGGAATCACGGGCTCGCAGTTTTGCTACTTCGGCTTCCAGTGTCTTGACGTACGTCGCTTTGCGGTCGCGGTGGGTTCTGTTGGTTGACGTGATCAAGTAGTTAGCCCAGGCTGCATTTGTGTTCAATGAAGGGCGTCTGTATGCAAATCCTGGCTTGGTCTCTGAGACCAACGTAGGCTCCTTTTCGGCCCCCTGCGGACGGATAGAAATAGAATGTCCTTTCTTACCTCTGCGCCCGCCTGACCTGCTCCCGGCGTCTGGCTTTGGCATCATTGTCGACATCCCCTCCTCCTTCAGACGATTGCGTGGTTTCAGTTGCGCGGGGATCTGTGAATAGTGTGGTTGTCGTCAGCTATAGACGCACAAGTCGTCCGGCCATCGGGATGCTCGGTTGCCGGGAGACAAATGCCCGTTGGGTGAAGATTGGTTGACGGTGGGAAAAGAATCAAAGAATCGGAAATGAGGGAATCTAACTCGTGCTGCATTGGGAAGGAAGGTTCTGCATCGATCCGACGGTCTCGACTCTCGTGGATCTTGAACGGGATGGAATGGTACTCACTCGGCGATCGTCTTAGTTTCGACAGCCAGTTTGGCGACGGCTTGTTCGACATGATGCGGGAATCAATGATCAAAGATCGGTGAGGGGTAATTGATTCAATGCCGACCAGCACTGGCCTGGGCGAGTCGTGGTGCTCTGCTTAGCGTTACAGCAGTCTGCCCGCCGCACCAACAGCGAATAGCTACTAGGTCACAGAGGCCTCAGTCGACGAAGCAAAGGGTCCCCCAGGCTTCCCACTCCCTGTGAGATTCCACAACAACTTCTGAGGACACCCGCCAGAGATGTGAGGGCCGGGGATGCCTTCGCGGCGCAAAGACGTGAACGCGATGGGTCGCTCGCTGGTGGCAGAAAGGCTCTGTACCTGAGAGTTAGCCTGAAGAAAGATTATGGCATCAAACACGGGCTCGCCTTCCCATAGGCTGGACTTACAGCAATCAATCATTCGTTCGATGAACCTGGGGCCTCGACAAGCTCGTTTTGTGCTCGAGCTGTCGTTGGGATCGTGAAACAGGGAGACAGAGATTCTTGAACGACTTCAAGTTGACGTTGAGTTCGACCTCTTTATAAAAGCATATGGACCATTAGCTAGCCAGTCCAGCTCCGTCAGGCAATCTTCGACCACTTCCATCTCATACAAAACGGACGGCCTTAGAATGGTAACACGCGATTGGCCACCGCACCATATGCGCGCGAACTGAACTGGTATGGTTCGAGAGGCCGAGTCAGTGGCAGGGTGCGTATTCGCACACAGTAAGCACCAATCCAGATCACACCAGCCCTATAGGACCTGGTGGGATCAGGCTTGCCATCTGTGCTGCTTTTACGAGGTGACCTTTGTCGGCCATTTTGCGCCGAACCAGGGTTGCCAATGACAATGACAAGACCTGGGATTGGCACCGACGCACCGCATCTCCGTGGACCGGCTTGTATCTTGTTAAGCAATCCGAACAAAGTCTCCTATTGGCGCGGCTACAGCTACAGGAGCACTGTCGCTAATGGAGCCCCCGCTACCAAGTCTAACTTGGGGATATCAGGGAGTTGTAGCCACTCCTCTGCCACTATGCATATGGGACGCTGGGCTGTTTGATATCCATAAGCTGGCGAGGCTGTCGATGGACCCGGGACATGTCCAGCCGGTTGCTCATTGTCGGCAGCCAGGACTGAGAGCCAAGTTAAAGGGGAGGCGTGTGGAAAGACACACAAGCAACATGGTCGGCGACAGGGAGGCAAGCCAGCAGCGCATAGGCCACAACCAGACAGACATATGCGGACACACATTTCAGCCACTTCACTCAGCCGGTGCAAGATGCCACTCAGACAATTCAAGATGGCGCTCAGACGATTCAAGATGCATGCGTGGCCAAGTTATCCCAGCCTGGCAATGCCCCTGCCTAAGCTGCCATTCCCCCGTTCCTTCGCGATCAACTAGTTGCCTGATGCAAAGACTGATGCTGACTCTGCAACACACTCTGCCGTCATGCGCAGTACACCTGAACCTCTAGAGTTGCCGATCGTGTTTGCCGGAGCTGGTCGAATGCCTGTGACCTGCTGCGAAGCGCTCTTACCGCCTCCAACCCTGACATGGAGCGAGCTGACCCGAGATAAGCGGCCTGTAAGGTGAAGACATGTGTATGGAGAATCTTGTAGGAGCAGAGCACATTCATGGCCAGCGAACTCGGTCGGAAAGGTGAACTGTGGGCCAACAGTGGATCGATTGTGGTCAACCGTCGCAGTCGGCGAGCTCGGCGAGGCTAAGCGAAAAGCCATCTTGGGTCATGATCAGGCTTCGCAGGATCGGGAGACATAGCTCCACATTCGATTGGCACATTTGTGTAAAACGCGGTGATTAAGGCGATCGACTGGTCTTATCTAGTTAGGCGAAATTGTCGAGCAGCTGCTGATGTGCGTGTCTCAGTGCTGAGGCTGGCCCGCAAGGAAATGCCAACTCGTGTCCCCTGTTTCTTCCCACAGACGGGGTGGGTCATCTTCTACCGTCCACCGCGGAAACGGACACTCGCCTCTGCCCTGGATGAAACCTTCCACCCTGGATCGCGTTCCGGCCCGTGCGTACGGACCTTCGTACGAGGTGGAAGCCGAACACCCGGTGAAGTCGCTTTCTGTGTGAGAGTGCCATTGACCGCAATCCTCATCAACGTACCAAGTGCCGAGTAGCTCAACTAGGCGGAATTGCCTGCTGCGAAGGTACTCGAGCAAGTCTATAATTGATCCCGTCTCCAGACGACAATCCCTCAGCGCCAGCGACTTCAAGTTTCTTCCCTCGTCAAGTAGGGCTCTCAGATCTCCCCACCTACATCTGAAATGGTGCAGAGCAAGTGACCTCAGATGAGGCAACCAGAGCCTCGGGAAGCGATCCAAATTTGTCCTGTCGAACAAGTCAAAGGAATATTCGGATTGTTGTCCGACCGGGAATGCCAGGCTTAGGTGCTCAAGATTGGAAGGATAGTTCAACAGCATCCTCAGTCTTCTTGCAGCAAGATTTCTACCACCGTAATACACCTCTCCATTCCCACCACGAGCAAGCCAGTCACTGTGCGGAAAAGCGCTCACGCTCATCTCCAGTTTCCTGAGTCCTTGGAATGTCTCTTCTAAGACTTGCAAGCCATGATCAACCGTGAGCAACTGATGAGGCATGTCGATGGCTGTAAGATCCGCCACCTCACAGTTAGAGAGGTTGGCAGCGTCGAGAAAGTTAACAAAGTGATCCAAGCAATGCTGTCGTCGGTTCGAAACCCTTCGACGTGGATCTGGGTCGTAGGGCTTGTCACTCGCGAACTTGTCAGGATCGAAGCCCTCGAGCTCTTCTAGCTGGATCTGAGGTTCGGCCATGATCATCTTCAGCCGCAAGTCTGGACTGGACTCTTTGAGCGAGCCCAGAATACGCATGAGCTTGTTCCTGACATCCTGTTCAGCCATAGCTGCCGCCTGCTGATCGAGATGCCACCGATACAAGTCATATTTGCGAGGTAGGTCCGCGGTGAACCTGGCTTGCAGTTGTTCGTGGAACTGTGTGTACTCGTCTCTGGACGCACCTCTGGCAGCAACCCTGCGCTCCCAAGCGGTCGTCTTGTCCTGATAGACTTGAGTCTGCCAGTATCGGTAGTCGGCGTACTCCAGCTGGACGCCGGACGTCAGTGAGACGCAACGGAGTCGTGATGCTATCGACGGCTTCGCGGCTAGCAGCTTGAGCAAGTGCAATCTATGATGATTCGGGACAAGGCGAAACTCGAAGTTGTGAAAGAGATGCTCCTCCCCGATCTGAGCGTATGCTTTACAGGTAAGGCGGAAAGAGCAAAGCGATGGTGGCTCCAGAAACAGACAGAGATGTCCGACCAGCTCAACAGGGAGTTTGTCCATGGTGCTCAGCTTTATTCGGACCGCGCTGAAGAATACAAAGTGCGCCGGGATGTGCTCAACCTCTAAGCCGTAATGACACTCGGCGCGCTCATGCTGGTGCGGCTGAAGTCACGAAGATATAGCATCTCAATCGCGTCAGCCTAATGCTGCCAGCATAGGAACAGGCGAGTGCAGTTGACATCGAGCTGTGTAGCCTAGTTGACACGTACGTGCTTGCGTCAACATATCAGGAGCAGATCAGATGCCTGCTGAATTGCGCAGGGAACTTCCAGCATTGCAAATCGGGGAGTAAGGAGTGTAGGTGAGTGTCTGTCCAGGGCTGTGGGAGCGTGGAGAGGTGAGATAAGAGCCGATGCAAAGTGTAAAAATGGTCCGCCGTATAGATTACGTGCAGGCATTCCGTTCCCACCCGCAGCATCACCCTGCGAAAGTGCGGGCCGGCATCCTTTGACGAGTCAATATACTGTCAAGTCCGAATTATGATGCGGCGCTCGCTTGTGAGAGCTGTCCGTCCTCCGAACACAGCTCATGGCGCAAGACGTTGGCGCTCAAATACCAAGATCGAACCTCCATATCAAGCACCCAAGCCAGAAGAGCAAACCGCGGCACGAAGTCGATTTGATCGCTTCGTAGATCGTACGCCTCGTTTTCTCCGACCAACAGTCACAGGCCTACGGCAGGCCCCGTTTTCACATGTGGCGGCGTTCTTTCTTCTCCATGAATTGACCGCTGTCATCCCGTTGTTCGGCCTCGCTGGAGCCTTCCACTACTGGCATTGGTTGCCGCCCTACTTTGCTGAAGGTGCCTGGATTGCGGCCGGTGTCGAGAAGTTTGGCCGCTACTTCCGCAAGAAAGGTTGGATAACGGAGAAGCAAGAGACTCTAGTAGAAAACGAGACAAGAGATGGGAATGCCGCACATATTGAGAACCAAAACACCGCCTCCAAGTGGTTTGATCGAGGAGAAGCCGCGACAAGATGGGTGGTGGAGTTAGCGACAGCATATGCTATTGTGAAGCTCTTTCTGCCGGTGCGCATCTTCGTTAGTGTCTGGGGCGCTCCATGGTTTGCACGAGTTGCTGTAATCCCAGCCAGAAATGCTACAAGAACGGTTGTTGCATGGACCAAGCGTCCCTCTCCAAAATAAGAGAACTTGGCCCAGCTCGTCGGTCATTTCAGCCATCAAGGAGTAGCTTGGTCCTGGCTTTTGGCTGATGGTAGCACGCATTTGGGCGTTGATCGCAGGTGTGCTGGTTTTTGTCATTGTCCTACGCTCGTAAGTCTATCTGTCCTGTCTTGGTCGTGTCCATGATGGTAGCTGATACTGCCAGAGATGCCACATCAAGATTCCCTAGCTCGTATTGGGTGTGATTGACTTATTTCTCATAGATCCAGTCGTGCTGAGCAGACTTCCAGCTTTGGATCTCCTCGGGGCTGAACCACAGAGCAATCTCCTTCTTGGCGCTTTCAACACCATCAGAGCCGTGGCAGACGTTGCGACCGACATCAATGGCATAGTCACCACGGATGGTACCAGGGGCGGATGCGAGAGGATTGGTGGCACCAAGAATGGCTAACAGTCAAGTTAGCGACGTTTGGACCAGTCAACAATGACGCCAACTTACCACGACCGGTCTTGGTGGCATCACGGCCTTCCCAGACCATAGCCACGATGGGACCGCTCAGCATGTCTGCAATGTCGTGTCAGCTCCAATCGAATTCGGGATGGGTGACTCCCGTACAGGTAACAAGACCCTTGAAGAAGGGCTTGTCTTTCAGGTCTTCGTAGTGCTTCTCAAGATGCTCCTTGCCGGGGGAAGTCATCTTGATGGCAACCAACTTGTATCTTCACCGCCTCTTAGTGTAAAGTCCTTTTCACTTGCGATTGAACCGGGCTTACCCTCTCTTTTCGAAGCGGCTGATGATGTCGCCCACAAGGCCTCGCTGCGCAGTATGGTAAGCTTGGGATGCACATTTCCGGTGTATCGAACCGTACCTGAACGCCATCTGGCTTAACAGCAATGAAGCTACGAAGAGTCCGTGAGTGACCTGTCTGAGGCAAAGGCAAATAGGACCTGGGACTTACGTTTGTTCGTTAGACATCTTGTCAGATTGTAGTGACTCAGCTCTCAGTGGACTCTCGAATATGTTGGTGTCTTTGGCTAAAGGAAGAAGACAAGTTGCAATCAAGGCGAAAGCGAACGCATAAAATATTTTGTTAAAGTGGGGGAGCATCATGGTGAATGAGTTTGGATGGGCACGATTGAGCTGGCTCCAATGCAGGGACCCGCTTAGTGAGAGGGAGCCCAGGGGAGCTAGCCATTCTCAGGCACATGTCTCTTGAAACTTGGGGTTAACAGGACATCTTTCACTAGCGGCTGAGGTCGATTTCACACTTGCTTCGCGACTCTGCCGCCATTGCGTAGGCAGGAATTTTTGGAAGCCGAGGACGTAAGGATGACTGGCTCATCGAGGCGGCCGTCGCCATGGCAGCTGTCCTTTGCTGTAGTCCTGGTGCTGCTATTCTTCGTTTCCCCAGCAGGTAAGCAGTGCGAGTGGAAGGAGATCGAGATTCAATTGCTGACCATCCGCAGTCATGGTCAAGCACCACGACTTCAAGCGATGCGACCAGTCGGGCTTCTGCAGGAGAAATAGAGCTTTGGCCGATACTATGCTTGCGAGAGGGAACTCCGACTCGTCTCCGTATCAGCTAGACGCCGCTTCGATCAAGTACAAAGATGGCCGCTTGGACGCTTCTATCATCAAATCCCTGAGTGGGGGTGATGCAGTCAAACTACCTTTGACCATCACCTTCCTCGACCGTGGCAACGTTCGAATCATCATCGACGAGGAAAAGAGGAAGAAAGGCGATATCGAGCTGCGACATGGCAGTGCTGCAAGAAAGGAGAGATACAACGAAGCGGGCGCTTGGGCATTGACTGGAGCTGGACTCCAGCCTGAGAAGGCGGCCTACATGCGGAGAAAGGGCGTCACAGAGGTAACATGGGGACCAGATGGTCGCTTCAAGGCAATGATTCGACATGCTCCCTTCGGCGTGGAATTCTGGTCAGGTGACGAGAAACAGGTTGTATTCAATGGACAAGGATTCCTTAACATCGAGCATTGGCGGTCCAAAGTTGACAAGCCACCGAGGGATGAGAACAGCACTGATCCCGAACCAACTGAGCCAGCGGAAGACGAGAGCACTTGGTGGGAGGAGAGCTTCGGTGGCAACACCGACTCCAAACCCAGGGGACCAGAGAGCGTGGCACTGGACATCAGCTTTCCAGGCTATGGTCATGTCTATGGACTTGCAGAGCATGCCGGGCCTCTGTCACTCAAGGAGACTCGTGGCGGCGAGGGCAATTATGACCAACCGTATCGGATGTTCAACAGCGACATTTTCGAGTACGAACTCGATAGCCCAATGACCCTGTATGGGTCAATCCCTTTTATGCAAGCACACAAGAAAGACTCCACTGTAGGCGTGTTCTGGTTGAATGCCGCCGAAACGTGGGTGGACATCACAAAGTCAAAGCACGATACCAACCCTCTCACTCTTGGCTTGACTGGTGGTATTGTCGACACTCATACACATTGGATGTCAGAGAGCGGCCTTCTCGACGTCTTTGTCATGCTGGGCTCGACTCCGAAAGATCTGTCCAAATCCTACAGCGAACTGACTGGTTACACGGCCATGCCGGCGTCCTTCGCCATCGCCTACCACCAATGCCGCTGGAACTATGTCAGCGACGAAGACGTCAAAGATGTGGACCGCAAATTCGATAAATTCAACATCCCCTACGACGTTATCTGGCTGGACATCGAATACACCAATGAGAAAGCATACTTTACCTGGGATCCTCTGAACTTTCCGGACCCGATATCCATGGAGAAACAACTTGACGAGACTGAACGAAAATTGGTGGTCATCATCGACCCACACATCAAAAACAAGGAAGGTTACCATGTTGTCGAAGAACTCAAGAGCAAGGACCTCGCCGTCAAAAACAAAGACAACAATATTTTCGAAGGGTGGTGCTGGCCAGGGTCATCATCCTGGATCGATTCCTTCAACCCGGCTGCCCGAAGCTGGTGGAAATCCCTCTTTTCATATGATCGTTTCAAAGGCACCCAGTCTAATGTCTGGCTGTGGAACGACATGAACGAACCATCTGTGTTCAACGGGCCTGAAATCTCGATGCCACGCGACAACATTCACCATGGAAACTGGGAGCATAGGGACGTGCATAATCTTTATGGCTTGGCCTTCCACAACGCAACGTACCACGCCCTCCTGGAGCGCAAAAAGGGCGAAACACCACGCCGACCGTTCGTGCTTACACGCTCATTCTACGCCGGCTCCCAACGCTCCGCGGCGATGTGGACAGGTGACAACCAAGCAAACTGGGAACATCTCGTGGCTTCGATTCCCATGATCCTGAATCAAGGCGTCAGCGGCTTCCCCTTTGCTGGCGCTGATATAGGCGGGTTCTTTGGCAACCCAAGCAAAGAACTCCAGACGAGGTGGTATCAAGCTGGTGCTTTTTACCCTTTCATGCGTGGCCATGCGCATATTGACACGAGGAGGCGCGAACCGTACATGTTGGGAGAACCGTATACGAGCATCATGACTCAAGCACTGCGACTCCGCTATTCGCTGCTTCCGGCGTGGTATACTGCATTCCATGAGGCTGCCACAGAGGGATATCCCATTGTTCGATCGCAGTATTTCGTCCATCCAGGCGACGAGAGAGGCTTTGCAATCGATGATCAGATGTATCTTGGCTCCTCAGGCCTGCTTGTCAAACCCGTCACACAAGAGGGTGGCGAGAGCGTCGATGTATACATCGCAGACGACGAGAATTATTACGACTACTTCGATTATACCGTCTACTCCGGGCGTGCGGGACGAACACATACTGTTTCGGCACCGCTCGACAAGATCCCACTGTTCATGCAGGGTGACCATATCGTCCCGAGGAAAGATCGCCCACGGAAGAGCTCCGGGCTGATGAAATGGGATCCCTACACTCTAGTCGTTGTTCTCGACAAAAAGGGAGAAAGGGCAGAAGGGACCCTCTACGTGGACGACGGCGAGACATTTGATTACCAGCTTGGAGCTTACATTCATCGCAACTTCTCATTCGAGAATGGTGAGTTAAAGAGTACGGATATTGGTAAGAAGGGAGCGAAGACCATTGCGTACCTCAAAACGATGAAGGACGTGAAGGTTGAGAAGATCATTGTCGTCAATGCTCCTGCTCCTTGGTCGTCAGTGGGTGAGGTCACCGTGACAGAAGACGGTGTCCGGGGAAGCAGACAAGTCGAGCTGATCTACCACGCCCCAACTGCCGGAAAGGCTGCGTGGGCGGTGGTAAGGAATCCCGCAACCCCTGTCGGTGTCGACTGGAGTATCTCGTTCCCCGGACCGTCGGAGTCGGCGGTCAAGACAGAATTATAGACGTTGAAATGTACAACAATGAAGGATAGACAATTTTCAAATCCACGAGCTGTTCCTCATGTGTTGCCAAGGTTTGTATTAAGTCTGTGACGATAGCAAGCGAGTGAGGGCGTTTACCATACATAAATCGTCAGGCTCACACAAAGTTAGAGTAGTTATGTGCGTCCTTTC